ATTAACCCTTTTAACTTCAAATTAACCCTTTTAAATTTGAAAGTAGCCCTTTTTTTAGAGCATTAAAAAATGTAGAAAATGGTATGATGTAGAAGCATATAAAGTTACAATTTTTACATTTGACAATTTTTTTGTAAATATAAAATAATTTAGCTCTTAGAAGACCAGTGGAAAATTAAAATTACTCTTTATATGAAATTAAATATAAAAACAGGGGACTGTGGTAGCTGAGTGGTCAGCATGATAGACGGCTCGTAGACCCCACATCATAGGTTTGATTCCCACCGTCAACCGGGCCCTTTTTTCTGCGCTACCCCCTCTCAACTATATATAGTATGAAACAATCAACTACTTACTCCAGCTAATACGTGAACTCATAAAGCCATTAAAAAAATATATAAAATAAATAAATAATGAAATAAATTTTCTTCTTTTAATTTGAGATTTTTTAAATATAAGATGATTGAGCTCTTATAAGAACATATAAAAATTAATTACAATTAAAATTTAACATAAATTAATAAATGACTTTTCAATTTAATTAAAAAGGGTTAATTTGAAATTAAACACTGTCAATTTCTTAAGAAAAAGGGTTAATTTGAAGTTAAACAATGGCAATTTCTTGCAAAAAAGGGGTTAATTTGAAGTTAAACTCTGTTAATTTCTTGTGAAAAGTGGTTCAATTCTCAGAAAAAAGTCAGTGCAGATAACAAATAAAATAAGGTGGCATCTAAATTCTAGTAATTGCTGCCTTTATTTTGATTAATTACAATATTTTTTTTACATTCAATTTTAAATTCACTTACTGTACATCTTCACTAAAACTTACAGTAGTTCTTAAATAGAAGAAAGAAAATCACTTACCCTCAATGGTAGAAATTAATAAAAATTGATCCCATTCATGGTTACTCGTTAAAAAACTTTTGGCTTCATTTAAAAACAAATGAATTAAAGGCTTTGCATTTCTGAACAAATGCTAAAAAATAAAGAGTTTAAAGTAAATAAAGATGTAAAAGAAGTAAAGTATTATAAATAAAATAAAAAGTACTTACTTTAAAAAAATATAAAATATTGCATTGAAGAATAGCACTCGATGGATCACAACAGAATAACCGATAAAATGTAGCTATGTTTTCTGGTGTAAAGAACTCAATAAGGATCTTGTTACAAGCATAAGGCCTTTTTGGCGAAAAAATTGTCCTGGTAAAAAAATGCCACTGTTACTTACAAAATTGTTATTATACTTTTTACATTGTCATTCATTTGTTATAATTTATATCCAACTAGTACAAATGCCAAGTTATCGACTTAATGAAACATTGTCAAAACTGCGTACCTTGGCCAAGAAATATATCCAATGTGAGATTTGTGTAAAAATTTAGTATCATAATTTCTGTCTTTTTTGAACCGTATGAGATCAGTTGTGGAATCCTCTCCTAACGACCAAGCACTAAGATTAACATCAACTTCCAAAAACTGTTGTATTTCAATTTCTGGTTTTATAGTGCTCTCAAATTGTTTAATGGAACAATTAAAGCAGATCAATGCTTCCTGAAAAGAACATAAACCCAATTTCAACATTAGAATCCAGAGTAGAAGAAATTTAGTTTCTTGAATGCACTTGTATTTCACATTATTAATATTAAGCATAACATTTTTTTATTTTTTTAAAGCAATATACATATTTTTGGTAAGGCGATGTTAAATTGCAGCAATAAAAACAGTCAAAATAATCATATTTTTCCCCCATAGCTCAGATAGATAATAGTAAGTTGGCATGCAAGCTGTTTTTGGGTTCTGCTTTGTCCAATTATCAGTTCACCCTTTTGCTGTGTATTTCTTCTATGTTTACAGTGAAAACTGGGTTAAGTCTGAAATTGAAACATTCAAGAAATCGGGTTTAAAGGTTTAAAATTTTTCCAAAATAGAGTAGCAGTTTCGGAAAGAATATGCTTTTATGATTCTCTCTATATTAGCAACATTTCCCTTTATCATGTGCTTAACTCAATTTTCACAATTTTTGACTTACACTCACATGAGCTGAAATGCCCGTTTTTTTTGTTTTTTTTTTCCTTTTCCTTGGCGGGCAAGGTAGACAAGACCAACGTCTAACTCTTTATAATGGAAAACATTCCACTAGTTTTCATTCTAATTAAATATCAGTAATAATTAATTACTTTTCTCAAATCAGCAGATGAATCCAAAAGTGTATTAAGTACAAGGCGAAGAACTGATGGAGAATAAGAAATATCTAAAACTGATAGCTTTCTCAAAAATATCAATCTTAATTTTTCAAACTGCCAATATCTGGAAAAAATCAAGCTTTAATTAATCAGTATTAGTTTATGCATAATGCAAAAAATATATATTAACTTTTAATGCCTAACTGTGGCCTACAAGATTAAATATTTTTTCCACCAAATTAACCCTTTTTCACTTGAATCCATTCTTTCAACAATTAAATAAATTAGGAAATGGTATGAAATATAAGCATATAAAAAAATTCTGTATATTTGAGTTTTGGTAAATTATAAAATGATTGGAATATTTTGTACATTTATTAAAATTAAAAATTATTAAATTCACTATTTTTCGTGGTCCGGTTGACCAATTAATAACATTCAATTAATTAAGGTTTTAAGTTGGGATAAAAAAGTCAGTGTGACATTTGAAAAATGGCAAAAAGGAGGGAAAATTCAAAAGGTGGGGTTGAGATGGGAAGTTAGTGTCCGAGTGGATCGAGGTCACGATAGCTCAAGTGGTAGNTTCTGAAACCTACATCACACCCGACTGCATCTCACGATATCTGAATAACTATTAAAACAAAGTTACTTTGAACGTTGACTTGATTACTTTGAAATTAAAAAGGGTTAATTTGGAAACAGTCAATTTGAAATTAAAAAGGGTTAATTTGATATAGTTAATTTGAATTAAAAAGGGGTTAATTTCATGGAAAAAAGCATACACAAAAAATATGATTGAAATTTTAAAATATCCAATAGTTTTAAAACAAACAATTTATTATGTTGAAGGAGCTTCTCAACAAGTGCCGCGTAGTTTTTTTTTAATTTGGTGTTATTTTCAATTTCATTTTTTCTCCCTATTTCAATATCTGTGACAGATGTACTATTTGGATTGGAAGGATTGACAGTAGAATCGCAAAGTGAGTGCGCTATCGTGACAAGGTCGTCGGGTATCTAAAAAAATTAAAACCAATGTAAATGGTGGTGTCTAAATTTCAATCTAAACCTGAAACTTTTCTTAACGGCATTAAAATTAATTTTTAACATGCATTCAGCCACAAGTTGATTTAAGTATCAAATTGAACCTATTCTTTTGAGCAAGAAAAATTTCAGTGAATTTTTTTTTTATTGTTATTACTATTATGCTTGGCAACTTACTTGTTGTAGCCAATAACGCAAACTGTAATCATCACTGACTAAATTCATGATTTGTGAAAACAGTCCTATAGTTATATTTTGATGGGGAAATTCTTGTTTCAGAATATATGGCCAAATATCTGAAGTGGTAATTACCCTCTTATTATTAACAATCATACAAAGCAGGGTCAGTATATTCTAAAAAAATAATATATTTAATAAAACTCAGATTATTCAATTTCTTAATTTTATTAATTAATTGTTTTATCAAAGAGTAAAAAAGCCGTAAGTCTACAGCCAGAACCCCAATAACCGTGTGGTGGCCCCAGGCAGGGAAAGAACCCCACAGTTCTCAAGATCTAAATGGAGTGGAGGTAGTTGGAAATTTGGTGGCAGGTATCAGTACAGTGACAATTTACGATTATGATAGGTTTTTTTTTTTTTTTAGGAGAAATAGGTGAGCTGGGAGTGGTGACCAATTACATTTAAACAAAATAATTTTACACAGACTTTTCATTCAGTGACAAACATAAGCTATAAAAAACACAAATAAGACAGCAAAAACCTGTAAATTTTTACTAAATTTAATTAGTTGCCTAACTTGCGAACTGAGGGGGGAATCAACATCAATTTCTTACCTTGTATTCTGGAGCGCTTTCAGAATGAGTAGCACTTAAAGTATTTTCAACAAATGGTATTATTAAGTCAATAGTTTTTGGGTGTTTCTTCAACATTGTATGTACCGACGACCTTGCATCACAACTAACCTGGGATACATAAGAATAGTATTAATGGGTATATAAAAATAATAATACCAATATACATACAAAATCAAATTATACCTTTTGAAAATTTATTAAACTATAATTGTAAAACAAATACCTTTGGATAGTGAGAAAGCGTAAGTTGTAACAGTGTGTTTATACTATCACAAATAGTTTTCGTTAAAGGGTACGTTTCTTCATGTTGAATCAATTTCAAAACATAGTTAACGTTTGTTTTGATGTAGGGTATTGACATTAACTTTTTGGCCAGAGGATTCTTGAATGTGGCACAGGGTTTTGGTTTTAATATAACCTTTTGATGCAGAATACTTGATAGAATCTACAACAGATAATTAAAGACCGGAAATATAAACCTCACAATAAAGATAACAACTCCCATTTAACATAGTAAAATTTTTATTTACCTAATAATTATTATCTTAAACTTTTTTTATGATTGATTGTTTATTTTAAGTCAATTATATCCATTTGTAAACCCAAGATGTACAAATATACAATTAATTTTTATAATTAAATTTAAAAATATACATCTGGATTAAAAAAATTAATGTTGTGAAATTTCAATACATTTAAAATATATTTTGTTCTCATTTTCCTTACTAAAATTTGAATTTTGTTTGTTTTCAAAATGTTTTGTAGTAAAATTGGAAACGATTCAGTCATTGAAGACCCGCCTTGCAAGCGGAATTACAGTTTACTCTTGCCTGAGAAGGGGGTAAAACATTTTTTGGTTCCAAGTAGTCCTGTAGCCACAACTTTGGACCCACGGTACTACGAATTTAACAGGCTTCTTAACAACATTCTTAACTTAACCTAACATATCCCTAAACATCCTTAACTTAACCTAACATATCCCTAAACATTCTTAATATAACCTAACATATCCTTAAATGTTTTAACCTCACCTAACCCATCTTTAACTCTAACCAATCATTAATTTAAGCTAACATATCCCTAAACATTCTTAACATAGCCTAACATATCCTTAAATGTTCTTAACCTCTCCTAACCCATCTTTAACTCTAACCAATCATTAACTTAAGCTAACCCATCCCTAACACTAACCCAAAACTCATTTAACCTAACCATCCATAAACATTCTTAACATAACCTAACCCAACCTAGGGGCACACCCAAGTAATGCAAAATCATTTATTTTATTTGTTCTTTATTCTAAATCTATTAAAAGCATATATTTTAAATGGAAATGTTATGACTTTTGTAAAGTTTAAAAACAAATGCAAAAAGGATTTAAAATATTGATTTTTTATTAATTTATATGTACATATAATTTTTTTATATGTACATACAACGCATACAAAAAATAAATAAAAAAATAAAACTATCCAAATTGTTTAATTAAATAATATATAATTATCAATTAATACCTCTATTATTATTTCAAATGCTCTTGTGTTATCTTCATCACACTCAGATAATTTAACATGAAGCCTAATCATAAGATTAAGCAAATAAGTTCTCATATTTTCCCCTGTTGGTGTTTTGATGTCCAATTTTGGAAGTAAGAAAGTCGACATATGGTTGATCTCAGTAGAATCAGTTCTGTAGAAAAATAACATGACAAAAACAACACGAAAATCAAAAATTTGCAATTAAAAAATTAAATAATCTCTAACTCAAATGAGCACGGTTCATCAACTGCTGGGAGAACTGCATTTATTGTTGTCAAACTTTTAACAATATTCAGGTGTTTTTCAATTTCATCCCTGAAATCATATTTGGCCATCATAAATTAATGATTAAAATAATGCATATTTTAAAAACAGCTACTGAATGAAGTCTAAGCTTGCAGCTTTTGTTATTAATTTTCAACCCATACCTTGAAAATTGTGAGTCATTAGCAATAAATCTATTTAAACTTTCCACTGAAGGCCAAATGTAATTTTGAATTATGTTATTCACGCATTTAATCTCATTTGGTCCTGGAGAACAGTAGATTAGTTTAACATCAGAAAGATCTCTTATTAATCCCCAATCCTGCAATAATGTTTAAATTAGGCATATATATTTCTGATCATTCTGGTCCATCTATCCTCACTGTTTTGATTCTCTCACACATTCCACATACCTTTATGGGCAGCTGTTCGAGAATAGAGGTACTATAAGCTGATACTGCGGTATCCATTATTACTTTGTGTGAACTCAGGCTTTGTAAAACGTTACTTAATAATTCTGATGTAAGAAGAACCCCATCTCTAAGTGGAATAATAAAAGTAAAAATGGTTTCAAATAATATTTAGACACATGTTGAAAAAAAAAAATACCTAAAATCAAAATGAATAACCGATTCAAGAATTCTCTCAATAAGGTGGTTATACTGGAGTACATCTGTAGATTGGCAATTTAGTATCTAAAGATTGTAAAAAAAATGAAATAAACAAAACAAAATGTATAATACTATGTTTGGATTACAGAGGTTGTTAACAAAATTACATACATATGTACACATATACATATATTTCTCTCTCTCACTAACCAACTAATGCACTCACTCTCTCTCACACACTCTCTCACTCAATCCCTCTCGCCTCTCGCTTTTTCTCTTTCTTTCTCTCTCAATAACTCACTCTCACTTTCTTACTCATTCTCTTTCTCTCACTCTCACACACACACACACACTCACTCACTCACTCACTCTCCCTCTCTTTCTTTCTTTCTATCCTCCAAATAATATTTAATTTCCTCTAAACGTCTGACCCTTGAATTTTTTTCAGTTAGGAATACTAGAATGTGGGGAGTATCAAAATTGGGGTTTAGGAAAGAGCCCTGTATTTATTTTTCACGTCTTTTAAAATGTTCTAGTAGAAAAAAAGTCTTTATTTTACTTGATTATTATTTTTCTTAATTCTTTTAATACTTCACATATTATTGCATCGCACAAATACCTTGCTTGTTACACAGAGATAGTATAAAACGGCTTCTTTTGATTCGTCCTCTTTAATATTTCCACACTGATTAACTGAAGAGCAGATGCAATCACATAAAGGAGGTAAAAGAATGGGTAAAACCAATTTAGGCCTTGACTAAAACACAAATTAAATTATAAAAAAGTACCTATACAATAATTTCATATTTATTTAAAACTATCCATTAGTTATCTTTCACTGTTTTTACTGCATATTTGAAAAAAGTATATTATAATTTATAGTTATAAAACTTTTATAAATAATTTTATTATTAAATAATATTTATTAATTATTATAATAATATTTATTAATTATATTAATTTTATTAAATAATTTATTATAAATAGTTGTAAAATTTTATTATAAATAATAAACTTAGAATAAGTAAGAACTAGAAATAACTTAGAAATGGTGTTTACCTGACAAAAACATGCTGTGATAATTGCTATGTATTGCCCTGACACTTTTATCTCTTTGAACCCACCAAGTAAAAACTGTTTCCATTTGTTCAAGCATTCCTTAAAAAAAAAAAATCCATTTACATTTGCTGAAAGTACACTATATTTCAATAACAATAACAGACACCATGAAAATTTTGATGAAACTTACGTTAAAAATGTCCTCGGACAAGTTGGGAAGTATATTAGTCATCAATGAATTAATAACCGCCAATACGTGGACATCTAAAGTAGTAAACTCTACCGAATGAGAGTCAACCCGAGTTGGTAAATATGTAGATGTGTCTATCATATCGAAAATAATATTGACAACTTGGAGAATTATTTCTTCAAACTGAATAGTATCAGCATTGACAATAGCTTCTTCCTTAAAAAATGAAATAAAATAATAGCTCTTTGTAAAAGATACTAAATACTACATTGACAATTCAATGATGTATTTAAAGTCACGATAAAAAAAAGCATACAACAATGTATATATGAGATTTAATTGGACTTTATGATTCAAATTTACCCTTTGTTTCTTAAAAACCACAACTTCTTACATTTATCAAATTAAAAGAAGAGTGCCTTATCTTTATATTTTATTTTATATAATCCGTTAGAGTTCGTGGTCCGATTGACAGAATAACTTTTTTTCATTTAATTAATCTTTATGTAAGGTATTGGTTGAGACAAAAAATCAGTGTCACGAGCGGGATTCGAACCCACGACCTTCGGCTTGATACGCCGCTGCTCTACCACTTGAGCTGCCGTGACATCGAACCACTCGGACACTAACTTCCCATCTCAACCCCACCTTTCGAATTTTCCCTCCTTTTTGCCATTTTTCAAATGTCATGTAATTTATTCGATTCTTTCATATAGTCTTCTAAGAGCTGAAATTGCATATACTTTTTTTTAATGCTTTAAAGAAAAGGTTAATCTCTAAAAAAAGTAAATTAATGATAAAAAGTGTTAACAAGATAAAAATTAAAAAGGGTTAATTAAACATGTAAATTAGAAATTAAAAAGGGTTAACTTAAGTTAAAAAGAGTTCATTTGAAACAAAAAAAATGAAATAAGTAAATTTGAAATTTAAAAAAGTGAACAGGTTAAAAAGCGTTATTTGAAAACAAAATTAAAAATTTACCCAGTCAGAAAGGGTTAATTTGAAAGAGAAAAAAAGTAAATTTGAAATTTAAAAAGGTTAACTTAAGTTAAAAATAGTTAGTTCATTTCAAATTTGAAAGAAAGAAAAAACAGTACATTTGAAATTAAAAAGGGTCTGGCTGTATGTCAAATAGACTAAACCAAATTAAAAAATAAATAAAAAGGGTTAACACGTTAAAAAGGGTTGATTAAAAAAAAAGTAAATTTGAAATTAAAAAGAGTTAACTTACATATTTTGTTTTTTTTTATTTGAAATTTTAAAAAAAGTTTTATTTGAAGTTAAAAGTGGTTAGTTTGACAGGAAAAGTACGTATTTCTCATCCCGAACAACTTTTTGTTATATTTTCATGTAAACAATAAAAACAAATTATATCTTTGTTTATCTTACGCATGCTTTTAAACCAAAAACATTTCAGTACACACTTTTGGTTAATAATAAATAAGACACAATTTACTGTTGTTAACTGTTCAGGAAACGGGAACATAGATGAATCCACAATTGGTAAGTTTTCTAAAAACTCAGCGATGGCTAGAAGCGAAGTCAAAACATGAACCATATCATTTCGACGTATATTTCCAATTATTTTTGCAAGTGTTGGAATGATGAATGTGATACCATTTGGATAATTCAATTTGTTGCTGTTTACAAATACTGAAGATGCCGCTGTTATGTTTTGCAATGCAATAATATTCTTCCAGGGCTTGCATATATCATTTATTGAATCTTCATACCTGAAAATATTAATAAATAACCTTACAATTGTCACATACTAAATAAAGACAATTTTCCAAGGATTAATACAGAATTATCTCAAAACATGAGCTAAATTCATGCACCAATCGACTCAGGAAGGTATAAATGTAAACCTGCACTTTGTACTTTCATATTTTTTCTTCTTCACAGAAAAACGTAGAATCATGGATATGTTACCCCAACCTTTCCTTAACCCTACCCTAATAGCCTAATTCTACCTAAACTAACCCATCCCAAACCCTTAGCCAACCAGTACCTAACCTAACCCAATCTTGGAACCCATACGCATTTCTCTCTCCTCTCTCTCTCTCTCTCTCTCTCTCTCTCTCTCTCTCTCTCTCTCTCTCTCTCTTTCTTTCTCTCTCACGCCCTCCCTCTCTCAACATGCCGAAAAACAAAACCTATTTGATAAACAGTAGACAATCGAATACCAGACAAAAAATCCAGGCTGCTGAAGTCATTAATTGTATCACATGAGAATAATGGAATCTCAAGTGTTGTTAAATACATAAATACAACTCAACACCACTGCTATATGTTGTTTATAAAAAGTCCATGGGAATGAAGCATTAAATTGAATAATAATTTTATAACTAATAAATACTATCACAAAAATAGTTTGTTCAAAAATGTAACTATTGTGATCTAAGCTTAAATAAATTATACAATTATACTTACAACTGGATTAAAGTAGGTAGAACAACATTCGGTTTTAATGCTGCCAAGATTTGGACTGATTTTGATACACCGAGAGAGTCTATAAATGGCTGGCGGAAAAGACAATTGAAAAATTCATCTATGTCATTGTCATTTAATTTGTTATCGTTTGATGTACAAACAGCCCAAGAAATATCCCCATTATGTCTCCTTTCTCTTAAAAATAAATAAACAATTAACATACAAGTATGCAAGTATAGAGATACATTTTTTAAGTTAAAATTCTTATTTAATTTTAACTTTTAAATTTTTTAAGTACATAATTTAAGGTTTTAATTCTTTGTTGTTTTTTTTTAACAAGGATATTTCAACTACGAGGTTATATGAACCCTCAGGGTGCCAATGTTTTTGAAAAAAAGCTCATTTGTAAGTATGTCGAGTTCAAATGCAGGGCCGCTGGATTCAAACCCGGTAACTTTACCTTACAGTGATGAGCGCATTGTCAACGCCTAAACCATTGCGGCCACCGACGCCCCTATATTGAATTGTTAAATACAGCTTTAAAAAAATGATATATGTACCAACCTTTTTAACCTATTACTAAAAATTTGGACAAGACTTTCATATAATTGCATCAGATGTTTTGTCCACAATCCATTGTTTACCGAATGACAATATGGAGCCACAAACTGCATGAGTTTTGTCAAATAGAACTGTCCATTAGAACCACCACCCTTAAAAATGCATTAACAAAATTAGAAATTAAAATACACCAAATCAATCCAGTGTTGAGTCAATTGCTTAACAAAACCTCTTAAACAATCCTATTTTAATTTTTGGATGGAAGTTATGTTTAAAAATAAATAAATAGGTTTCAAACAATTTGGTTCAGTTTAGACTAAATTTACCAGTGTTGAAATGATCCATAATGATGCAGTATACAAGTTAACTCCGCCGGATTCCTTTTCTTTGATAGTCTCTTTGAAATGTACAGGAAAGTGAAAACTTGCCAAGATTCTGGAGTATATAAATCCCATGTATGGCTCCCAATTTATAAGTCCCACGTGATTTATCCCGGTGTGAGCCAACAGCGCCATAAAACTCTTTAAAAAGAAAAAAAAATCGAATAGTTCAATTACCATTTTTGAATAACCAATACTACTAAAAAGTATTTTTTATTTATAACATTAAAATTCAGTGCTGGAAATAAATACAAACAATTACATTTTAAAATACTGGTTTAAAATTTGGGTAAAGAATAAACTCATTCCACTCACTCTCACTCTCTTTCTCTCACTTACTCACTCACTCACTCTCACTCTCTCTCTCTCTCTCTCTNACACACACACACACACACACACACACACACACACACACACACACACACACACACACACACACACACACACACACACACTCAACAATTCTAAGGGAAGTCCTTAGCAACCTAAATTTGCAAAACAAAATTTAAATATATAACGAATATATAACAATATTCATTAATTCTCTTAAAATACCGATGAGTAAATTGGGTAAAGAATAAAATTTCATTTGAAAATGACATAATTGTAGCCAGTAATTGATGTATTTAATGAGCTTTTAAGAAATAATATAATCTAAATATATTTAATCACCTTTCTCAGTTTAAAAAAAAAAAAATCTTAGAAAAACACCAGTACCTCCTCCAATTTATAACATTTGTAGGATTCCCAAATAGACATGATATGAGGTAACCATTTATCATGCTGTGGAGAATTCCCATATTCCGTAATGGTTGGTATAAACCAACGAATATATTCGGCTGCATTTTTAAAACTATCTGTGTTAAGCGGGTCCAAAGGATATAATTTGCTTTTCTTGTAGTTAAATATTTCTTCTGTAGCTGCAGCAGTGAAGTATCTACAATTGAAATATAAAAATAGTGAAGGGTTAGTTAATAATTCATAAACCAGTGTAACTCTTTCCCTCTGGAACCCCCCTTAATTTTCTCAATTCAATTGTTGTTGTTTTTTTCATGATAAATAATGAAACTAGAGATACTTACGGTTTGCTGGAGGAGATGACAGTCAATATTTTTCCTTTTAACATCCTAAAATAATAATTCTTTTTACTTCTGATTACTTCATATTTCAAAATATGATTACACAAACTAGCGTTATTTTTATCCATTCAAAACTGATTAAAAGCCCTTGCAGCATATAATACAGACTGTAGTGATTGGGGACCGTAGTCGCCAAGTGCTAGGGCATCTGACTCGTATTTGATGCATAGCGGTTCTGGGTTCAAATCCTAGTAGAGCCCATGGGTTTTCAATGGATTATAATATGAAAAATGTGTTGTCATGTGGTTTGAACTCTCATCTGCAACACCCAATGGGTTGTTGGGCATTAAACCCTCCTGTATGACAGTAATTACTTACTTCATATTTCATTATATTATCTTGAGAATGGTAATTCTTAATGTTAACTATTTTTTGATTGAGAAACCAACTCAGCAAGAAATAGACCAAAATGATCGAAACCAACTTACATATTGTTACTTGTTTTATTTCAAACAGATATGGATATTTAATGTTTATAATTTATTATGCATATAAAATTATTATTAATGTACATAATACAGTGGGCCAGATCAGCAGATTTTTCGACAATTTTCCAAGCTGAGATCCATGCAATACAACTCCATTAATTAAATATATATATAAATAATTAAAAGTTAATAAAGAAAAGTATGAAAGGTGCACAGATTTACAAACTCTCAGACAGCCAGGCAGTCAGTCATAGGCACTAAATGTGTATACTTTCAACTCCAAAATTGTCTCTCAGTGCCCCCTCTACAAAATTGCCTAATGGCTCTAGGAAAACGCAAGATTCCTGGACATGAAGGTATAGAATGAAATAAACAGGCTGACCAACTAGCCGAAAAAGGAGCAGCCCTTTCACCCACAAGACCAGAACCAATTCTACGAGCACAGGAATGTGTGCTTAAGTTGGAACTGGAAAAATGGCTTGGGAAAGAAAAACTCAAGCACTAGGCAAAAGCACCAGCTATGAGGCAAGCTAAGAGATTTATAAACCTCTCAAAAAGGAAGGTGAAGGAACTCCCTTTCAGAAGGCAGGATTTTTAAGAAAAATTATAGGCCTCTATAATGGGTAAGCAGTAGTTAGGGAAAGCAGAGAGAAACATGCCTATTTGTCAAGAGTAACCAGAGACATCTGCACATCTTTAATGAATGTAGTAAAGCATTAGCATGGGTACAGTATGGCCACATCAGTAAGTTTCCTAGATCATAAAGTTAAACCATAAAAGATCATGGTTATAATTTATAGGAGTTCCACAATAGATCTACAAAGGATTTTTGAAATCCATATTCAACCCCCAACCTCAAAAAAAAAAAAAGTTATAATTTGAGCAGTCAGAACACGTGATTAAAACTACTGTGATTGAAACTACTGTCATTGTATTACTTATGCACTATCAAAATGTTTAACTTCAATCAAAATAATTATTGTAGTGTACAGTTAAGAATTTAAAATACTTACAAGTTAGGACGTATTTTATATTTGTTGTTGGATTCGATGAAATTCCGTGTGTATAATTTATCTAAGATTTTCCAGTCTAATGTAAGCTCCTTAGGAGATAGCAGACGTTTCCACCTATTATCAAAACAATATTTTGAAAGAGTATGTTGCTATTAGAAATTTAAAAACTTGACAAACTATACCAAATGGATTAATTGATAATTAAATAATTTGGCGGTAAATAACACATTTAGATTAAAATTTCAATTTAATATAATTCAATCAATCTGACTAAACATGGAACAATGTAAGATCTGAAAATAAATTTGATGAATTTTAAACCTAAAATCTGCCTAAAAGACTTAGATGTACGTTTGCTAGGTGATCACTAGATTTCATAACGGTAAGAATGATTTAAAAAGTCACAATTTTTTTTAATTTGAATTAAATTTATTTTTTTACAAAAACAAATTGAAGATAATTATAATTTATTGTTCAATGTTTTGCCCTGTCCAATTAAATTTTATTAAATCCACTGACTCGAGCAGTTCTTTTAATTGCTTTAATTTTGAAGGGATTTTGTCAAAGTTTTAAAATAACTCAAAAGCATAATATTTGAAATTTTGACCATGTATTTCGCATTCTTTTAGTTGAGATTGTTTCGGTGTTTCATAACAATTTTTGCAGTCAATAGATCAACCCGATACGAAAAAATGATGAAAAATGTTACAATTTTTATTTTGTTCTTCTTCTCGTACAAATGTTGGAAGAAATGTCAAATCGTTGTTAAAATATTAAAACGGTAAATAATAAAAAAATGTACTTACTTTAAAAGTTTGAGTAAAACGTTTAAAGAGGTTAAAAGAATGTCTTCATCCAATCCGATTATATCCAGAATGTTGTATATCAATTTTATAAATGTGATATGATCTTCTTTGGAGAACCGTAGTCTATATATGTTTATGAAACTAAAAAAAATAAATACAAGTTTATAAAAATGGAGAACAAGTCATACGAACACAGAAGAGGCAAAAGTGAATTGTTTTTGTTTTTCGTACAGCAAGATGGAAGTGCTGCGAACTGATAACCAATGATTGATCGTTCTCATATGTTACAAAGGTACATCCAGTTTTGTCACTTATTTTACTTTCGTCAGTGTCTATAGAGTAGAAATGTGTTCCTTTATATTAATGATCAATGATGGAGTGAGTGCGGTGTTCAATCCTTTTTAAAAAGGATGTGTTTCTTTTTCTGAGAAAGCCGAAAATCGTACTAGACCCAGAGTGTGAGATATGTTGCTGTTGATAGTGTATGCAGGATATGCCATTCACTATCGTGTGGCGTTTCATAATATTCAATCATGCAGCAAAGTTTCATTTCTATTAGTTCTATTCCTGCCAGGTGGCATGCAGTCTCAAATGAAATTGTTCTGAAACCTTTTATTATTAGTAGAATTATTTCACATTGGGCTGACCGCAGTTTCTTGACATTTTAAGGGCGGTTCATAACATCCGGCATACAGTGACGGCATATTGCGAAATAGGTTGCACAGCTCCTGAGTATATTACATTGTGGGCCTTCGTTTCTCATTCCTCAATACACCTTTGCTGAATGTGAAAGCGCCTGGATTAGTAGTCCTGTCTTTCACTTATGAAAATTATTTGGTAAGCCCAGTTTAGTGTACGGTCAAACCACACTCACAGATAACACAACTAAGTTACTTCTTCTAATCATTCTCCATTCTCCCCGTTCATAGGGTTCCCTATGTAATATACTGCTAGAGCACTGTATAGAAATCATAAATATTTAAATATGAGATTGGAGGCTGTTTCAGCCATCTGGTAAGTGCCATCAGGCTTTTGTTTCTTCTGTAGTGTTCAGGAAACGTGAAAATTGTATAAATGTAGCGTTTTAAAATGGTACAACGACGATGACGATTGCTTTGATTTTCAAACTTGAAAAGAAGTTATTGCAGATTGTGATTTTGCAAGACAAACCTCACCAGTTTCATGGACAGACTGGATTTTTTTTTTTTTTTACGGATTATTGTCTCACCTAACATAAATGGGTTAAAAACCAACTAAATGAAGTACAAATGAGGAGAGAATTTACCTTCGAAGCCTTTTCAGCCAAAAGTGTAATTTCGGCCCGATTTCCCTTGTGACGAGGCATTCTCCTAGATAGAATTTAACCCGGTTCAAAAATTTGACAGACGACTCGTCATTCTCACAAACTGTATTTAACAAAACGCAGAATTTGTTTTCCAATTGAGGTTGAAAGCCCAGCGAAGATTTACGACACTCGAGCGGCATCTTGTCAAAGGATAAAATTTAAACTGATCCACTTTCCAAGGAGGAAAACAGTCGAAACAGACACGTCAGAATGAAAATTGAAAAATCACCTTAATTCCTATCTGTCATGATTAATTCGAAAATTGAATGAAAAACAGTTTTTTGAGGGAGGTTCCATACTTCAAAGTCAAACCTCCAGGCGATAGCCTTTTATGTAATCAAACATCCGAATCCGGCCAAAATCGACCTTTTCTTTTTTTTAGAATTTCACAAATAAAACAAAAACCTTATAGATTTTAAATAATAAATAAAACAATAAATGTATCACCGTTGATTGTTTGATGCAAGGCTCAAAAATTTCACCTGTGTCCCCTCCAACAATTCAGTAATGTCTGGCAATTTGAATGGAATTGTGTAAAGCGGTTGTTCGGATTATTTTACTTATTTATTTTAAAAATACAAATACGGCTTTAAACTCCTTTACAAGTACATATATTAGAAATAAATGTAGTTTTATAAACAACAACAATAATAATAATTAATAAAATATACAAAACAATCCATATATGCATTTAGTAGTCATAATAAACCGTATTAATCATTTAAATTAATTATAAATTTTAACTAAAGTCTGGAGAGATGAAAAAGCTAGTGTCACGAGGGGATTCGAACCCACGACTTTCGGCTCAATACGCCCTCGCCGCTGAGAGCACCACTTGAACTTCAAGGAAATGACGATAGGTGAAGATAAAACCGACTAATTTGAAACAAAAAAGTAAATTTTAAAGTACGAAAAAAGATTATTTTGAAATTAAAAATGGTTAGTTGAAGAAAAAAACGGTTAATTTGAAACAAAAAGTTAATTTTAAAGCAAGAAAAAAAGATTGAGTTTCAATTAAAAATGGTATTTGAAGAAAAAAAAACGGTTACTTTGAAGCTAAAAGGTGAAAAGATAAATTTCAGGGTAGGAAAACATCTTAATTAAAAATTGAAAAGGGTTATTTGAAGATGAAAACGTTAATTGGAAACTAAAAGGTTAATTCTAAAGTAAGAACATAATTTCACTAATTTCGTGGTCCGCTTGATCAATTAAACATTACAATTAATTAAGGTTTTTAGTTGAGATGAAAAAAAGTCAAGGTCGAAGGTCGTGGGTTCGAATCCCTCTCGTCCCATTGACTTTTTTTCATCTCAACTAAAAACCTTAATTAATTGTAAGAACATAATGTTAATTTCAAATTAGAACGGTTTATTTGAATATGAGAAACAGTTAATTTGAAACAAAAGATTAATTTTAGAGTAGGAAGAAAATGTTAATTTGAAATTAAAAAGGGTTATTTGATGATATAACGGTTAAGCAAAGCAAAAAAAGAGGTATAACGGTTAATTTGAAACTGAAAGGTTAATTCTAAAGTAAGAAAATATTGTTAATTTCAAATTAAAAAGGTTTATTTGAATATTAAAAACAGTTAATTTTAGACTAAAAGATTAATTTTAGGGTAGGAAAAAATGTTTAAAAAAAAGGTTTATTTGAATATTAAAAACGGTTAATTTGAAACTAAAAAATTAATTTTAGGGTAGAAAGAAAATATTAATTTGAAATTAAAAAGGGTTATTTGAAGATAAAAAAAGGTGTTTTAAAGTGAGAAAAAGGTTTGTTTAAAACTAAAAGATTAACTTTAAGGTAAGAAAAACGGTAATTTGAAATTAAAAAATTAAGAGTAAAAATTAAAATTAAGAGTAAGTAACCGTAAGAAATGAAACATTAAATTAAAAATGGTTAATTTGAAACTAAAAGAATAATTTTAGGGTAGAAAGAAAATGTTAATTTCAAATTAAAAAGGGTTATTTGAAGATTAAAAAAGGTTAGTTTTAAAGTGAGAAAAAGGTTTGTTTAAAACTAAAAGATTAACTTTAATGTAAGAAAAATGGTAATTTGAAATTAAAAAATTAAGAGTAAAATTAAGCGTAAAAATTAAAATTAAGTGTAAGTAACACGTGTAAGAAATGAAACATTAAATTAAAAAGGGTTAATTTGATGGAAAAATGCTTTTTTACTAAAAATTTTCCCAAGTGGGATTTTTGCGTCACGAAAAAAGTTGAGGCCAGGTGGCAGTCGCTTTTTCGAACCGCCGGCTGATAAGAGTTGACGGTTGGTTTTGATTTGAATCTCGTCCAATTGTACGCAGCGGACTCGGCGGGTTTTCATCCAAACTCCAAAGCGTCTGCCCGCTGCCGGTGTCGCCTTGTCTCCTTTCGGCCGAAATCTCCGTCTCCAGCCTTCCAGCCTTTATTCTTTGATTTCCCCCTTTTAGAAAAGAAAAAGAATGCTGGCCGAAGAAGAATTTCTTCTTTTCCCGTCTTGCGACCAGCTTTGAGAGTTTTTGTCGTCTATCGAAACATTTGCCATGTACCTGGAAGAGTGTGCCGTCGCCGACGTCCGTGAAGAAGTGGTCAAACTTCTCAAATTGCTCGGGATCAAGCACAACTTGAAGAAAGCCGACTACAAGCCTCAGGTTGATATTTACAACTTTTTTCCTTTTCACTATGTCATTAATAAAGGAAACGAATCAATTCATCTTGACAGTTGGAAATTTAATACTGAATCAATATTACCTGTGAAGATATTGATTACCCGTATCAAATTCGCTTTGACGTACAACAGAGACAAAACTTATACATAAGTATATACCTTGTTTCATTTTTCGTCGCAACAGCAAAAAATACCTGTTGCTTTGAGTATTGATACGGCCATGCAATGTATGTAGAGGTTTCATTCTTCAGTGAAACTTAAAATACTTAGTCCTTTTACATTATTTGTATTATGTCATTTTTCATAATTGATAGGCCAATGGTGAATTAAGTATTAATATAATGTCGCGTATAACGAAAAACAGAACAAAAATAATGTTAATTTACGGTTTTAAACAGAGTCAATCTAATTTTAAGTCCCTTGAAATGCTACTTAAGTGGTTGTTAACTCTCTGCTACCCACAAGTGGCTGATTCATTAATTTGAATGAGGTGTTCGGACAAATTTCCTATTGCACTAAAACAATAACCCAGCCGATCATAAAATGGTCCCTGAACGTTATATATTTGAATTGGAGTTATTGTTTCACGTGTATTTGTACAGCAACTTGCAGTGTAGAGAGTAAGTGAGTGTGTGAGAGAGAAGGGAAAGTGAGAAAGAGAATGAGTGAGAGAGAGAAGAAAGAGTGAGTGTGAGATAGAGAAGGGAAAATGAGAGAGAGTGAGAAGGGAAAGTGAGAAAGAGAGTGAGTGAGAAGAGAACAGAGAGAGTGAGAAGGGAGAAGAGTGTGAATGAGTGGGAACGAGAGAGAGAGAGAGAGAGAGAGAAGAGAAAGTGAGAAAGAATGAGAGAGAAAAAAGAGTGAGTGTGAGAGAGAAGGGAAAATGAGAGAAGATAGTGAGTGAGAGAGAGAAGGGAAAGTGAGAAAGAGTGAGTGAGAGAAGAGAGAGAGAGAGGCTGGAAAGTGAGAAAGAGAGACAAGAGAGAGTGAGACGGGAGAAGAGAGTGAATGAGTGTGATAGAGTGAGAGAGAGAGGGGGGACAGTATTATGTGCTGTTCCGACGAAAAATGAAACACTGGGTACACGCCTCCTCAAAAAAAGTGGCGCAGTTGGAAATTTTGATTTTTGTTTATGTACAAAATTGTAATTTTATGCAAAAGGAAACTTTTTAGTAATATTAACACCGATATTTCTTTAATTCAGGTATTTATCAAAAGATTTGGTTATTTGGAAAATAAAAATATTTCTCAAAAATAAAACAAAGAAAAAAAATCATTTTTTGTATGAACATAAAACATAAGCAAACTTGACAATCTTTAATAGTTATTTAGAGATTGTGAGATGAGGTCTGGTGTGACGTGGGTTTAGAAAAACATTTTCTTTATCGTGCCAATGTTTTGATCTTTATTGAGATCTTCAGGGCTTAAAGTTTGTATTTTCTGTGTAGATGGGTCGTTGTTGCGTGTTGTGTTGAGAGTGTATTCCTAAACCCACATCACTCCAGACCGCATCTCACGATCTGTAAGTAATCATTAACTAACGGTCACTAAACACCACACAAATCTTTAATAGGTTGTATTACCTCCTCTTGCTCTTGTTACACACTCTAAACTTCTCAGCATGCTCATAATTATTCCTTTAACCACTTCTTGAGGAATTTTGTACCAAATCTCAACAACGTAACTTTTAGCTCAGCTAAGGCCATAGGAGGGTTATTTTTTCGTTTTACCCAACGTCTGAGCTCATCCCAAATGAACTCAGTGGGGTTCAAATAAGGAATACAGGCTGGATGTCTTAGGATGTAAACATTGACATCTAAAAGGTTGACATAACAATGGTGGTGACAGTTGGTCTCACATTAACGAAAATTGCTCGCGAATTAACACAACAATATTCCTCAAGAATTTCTGTCAGATTTCTGCATTAAGTGACGTCATATTGAAAATGTATATATTTTTGCCTCCAAAGAAATTCCACTCTATACCATAACTGAACCGGCAATGTTGCATTAGCTGTAGAGCTCTACAGCTGCTCAAGAAACTCGAAGAGAGAGAAAACGGGGACTCATTTGAAAACATACCATTTCTTCATTACTGTTTCCGTCCAATGTCGCTCTCCCTTACAAACCCTCAGCGGTCCCGACAATATGCTGGCCTTGTGGGATGTAGACTCACTTCTGCAACTCTCCTTCTTACTATTTCAGCGTTAATGGACACATCCTACACAGTTCGAAGTTGAGACATTTTAGAAGCATTGGAAAAGCTCAGAGGTGAAATCGGTTGTCGGCTGGTCCCTTGGCCCTTGGGCATCCCTATCCTTGTCTTTGAATAAATCTTGCAATCTCCGGGTACCACTGAAAGTCCGACAACCGTCAATTTAGGTAAATTTAAAACTCTTGTAGTGCAACTCTGATTTCTTCCATCCTCAATGAGTACAATGGCATGGGCAACTTGCTCACTGATTATAGGCATTCTTGTAATCATAGTTTTGCTCCACCAACACAAAAGTGAATAAAAAGCATTTTTAAAGGATTAAATGCCCTTATTGATGATTTACATTGTGGAAATTGTAAACAAATTATTAATTGGTTTTGTCTCACTATCATCATTTTTAAAATAGCAAAATAAAAAATATGGCCAAAACGTCAAATTAAAAGAAAAATCAAAATTCCTTAGTGTTTTTTTTTGTAAGCAAAACCCACCTTAAAACAACAGGTCCTCGCCTGTCACGGAGGTATGTACTGTAAAAAATTCTCACACAAAAGAGGATATATTTATGGGACCAACTGGAGAATAATCACTATGTACATATGGAATGAGCAAACATTTTTTTATGCATTTTTGCAACAATAAATAATTTATATTGAGTTATATGAGTTTTGTAAAAAGAATGTTGAATAATCATTTTTTATTCTGCAATATACGTTGTTGTTTAAAAAATGTATTTTATTTTTTTCAGGGGGAAACACAAATTGAAGTTTATCATGTATTTAAAACTGCATTAGAATTACTTGAAAAAGAGAGCGTCCTTTTACCTCAGAGTGGAGTTCAAGTTGAAATTCCTGTTTTTATTATAGACTCATGTAGATTCATAGAACAAAATCTATTAGTTGAAGGTCTTTTTAGAAAAGCAGGATCTACGTCAAAGCAAAGAGAGCTGAGAGTAAGTTTTCAAGTGATTTTGATTGTGAATAAAATTTTTTTATCATAAACTGCTCAAAAAGGAATAAGGATATTGCCAATTTTGTAGTATTTCCCTTTACTTTACTTTCCCTAGCATTTTGATTTTATTTTATTATAAAGCATTAAAATTTATTAGAAATTATTATGTCCTTTGGTCAAGCGGACCATGAAACTAGTGAATTGAATTATGTCTTTTATTGAAGGAAAATTTAATTAAGGGATTTTGAAAAGGTTTTAATTCCATAATTTTGTTTATTGGATACAATAATTTTTTAAACAATTAATTCCGTGTATAATGTCCTCTGTTAGCTAAAACCTCTGTGCACATGTTAGGCATACTTTTAATAAGGTTGTCACTAATTTCAAAAGGAATTTCACTCAATAGATGTTGCAACGCTGTACTCAGTTGTTGCAAGTCAACTGGCTGCGGATGGTGATCGAAAAGCCTTCTCTGCAACGCATCCCACATGTGCTCAATGGGATTGAGGACTCGAGAAAATGGGGAAAGGGGTAGATGGGAAATTCCCAGCTTTTCTAAACATTGATGAACAACTGCATTGTTATCCAGAAATTGAAGATCCCTGCTAATGAAATCCCTAGTCTGAAAGATGTATTCCTTAATAATTTCTTGGTTATAATGGACTGTGATGAGGTTGCTTTCAGAGTATGGAGCCCAGTTCGCCCTCCTGTGTAAATCCCAGCCCAGACCATTAAACTGCTTCCTACAAACAGAGCATGAACATGCATTGTATGCATCCCCTGTTCTCGGTAGACTCTTGGGCACCTGCTATCCCTATACAGACACAAACGCGACTCATCAGTAAACAACAGCTTACCAATTGGTGTTCTGTTCTAGATGCTCACTGCCCCATATTCTTCTGAGTTGCTGGTGGCAGGCTGTTGCTGCAGGTCATGTCAAAGGGGCATACAACGTGAAGCCAACTTTGTAATCGTTTGTGTTGATAAAGGCCTTGTCCAAACATCTTGTACTTCATTTAGGGTAGCTGGTGGGCATTATGGAAAGGTTTCCGCGTTGTAATGCATTGAAATCCACTACCAGGCCTCCTATTGGTACTTCCAGTCTCGGAATCGGTCTACACCCCAAGAGATGACCTCTAGAAACACCAACTGCCCCTGTGATATCCACTTCCCGGTAACCTCAATGGCTCATTCTCAAAATAGTATTGAGAACTTCTGGTTCAAGATGATGTATTTCCATGGTTAAAGAGAATAAAACTGGATTAAAATGGAGAAAAGACAAGAACGAGTGGTTACAAAATGAGTAATCTTTATGTTTACTGTCCTTAAGTAAATCCGTTATTAAAAATGAGGATTAACATTTGTTTGTTGTTGGTTTGTATTTTCTATTACGTTTTATCCAACTAACAAGAATATATTGGTTAATTTAATTAAAATTAATAGAATAAAAATAAATTACAAATATCACTGTTCATTTTTGAGCCGTTTGGTTATTATCTGATCTGAAAGTTATTGGAATCAGTCTGAGCGGAAGGACCATCCATATCTTTGTAAATTCACACTGCCATGTCAACATTATTTAAAAATAGAAATTCAGATTTCATAGTAGCAAGTTCAAAGAACTTTTACTTGTATTCCTTTTTTCTGTCCTTAAACTGCACTAAATTGGGCACTAACCTTTCTACAAAATTTTCAGGCTCTACTGGATTGTGGAAACCGATTGGAAATCACCGATGAACATCACGTAATTAATGTGGCTAATTTACTTAAATTATTCTTCAGAGAGCTTCCGGAACCACTTATACCATATAAGTTTCACAACACATTTCTCAGGTTCCTTTCTTTAGAGTTATTTATTTATTTTTTTAGTGTATTTCTATTGTTGAATTAACCTTGTTCTTGGTGTTTATTATTTGCGCTGGAAAGGGGACTGGTGGTTGAGTGGGCCTTTCAAAAAGGGCAATTTAAATAAATAATCCGTCCTCCAGCAATCCGAAAATCTATTTAAACGGACAATAAAAATAAATAAATAATAGTAATTTTAAAATCCTCTACTTATTTTTCTGAATGTACTTCTAGACTTTCTTGATGAGAAGTTCCAGCTAAAAATCAAAAGTTGTAGAATTACTATCCAAATTATAATAATAGCAGTTGTGTCCAAAAAGCATTACTTTCGTTAGTGGTATTTTGTGGACGTTCACAATCATCGTCATTTTATTCTTTTTCATCTGACACATATTCATATTCATCTTCAGAAACCATTGACTCTAACATTGTTCTTATTTCTTGGTCTGTATAGAACTTTGTTTCATTTTGTTTTGAATTTTTGAAATCGACCGATTTAAAAAAAAAGTTTACACTCTCTGCTTTCTGCACCCGCTGTTTTGGTGGGTTTTCACTCCCAACATTAAATGGACCTGGTTGTGATTCTGCCATCTTGCGTTTTCGATGTACGATTTAAAAAATTACAAATGCAGTTATAAACAATGATTTAAAAAACGTAAATAAAGAAACTAAAATAAAGTTTTTACAAAATGTTGATTGTTGAAATATTTTTTTACCTTTTCGGTGTACAAAATATAGTTAAAATAAAGTATGTATCAATGTGTATGCTTAAACTTACCTGCTTTATTAATTAAAAAAAAAAAAAAAATAGATTAACAAAAAACAGGAGGAAGTAAACGCACAATAACTTTACAATGGAATGTCTGAGGTAGAAACGAACTATATGGCTGAATAGCTGGTGATCCTGTAACCCCAGAGTAAAAGAGAATCCAACAATACGAGTCCCCACCAAAGCACAAAGAAAAGTAAGGGGGTGAGAACGCCGTCTGACTGGCTGAACCTTTGTTTCGCCAGGGTGGCGAACGCCACGTTAATGGATTATAGTATGTAACATGCTTTGTTTCCCATCTGTAAACATCCATCTTCGGTAGCTCACCATTAATAAATAAGTAAAATAAAAACTAATCGAAAACTAAACACTCATGTATTCATACTTGTTATTTTTATCACGTTTATTACAAAATAGATGATTATTTTCTGTTGACAGGTGTCTCTCTTTAAAGCAAAAAAAGGTGGAAGCCATTTTGTTATGTTGCTTACTACTTCCAACTGATCACTTAAATGCATTGGCATATTTATTAGTGGTATGATTTATTTTTATTTTTATTTTTATATATTTTAAAACTACAGTCAATTCACATCTAATTATCACGTTGTCTTTCAATTTTGTAATTAAATTTGGTCCTTTTTAGTTTTTAAATCGTGTAACTCAACAGAAAGATTTTAACAAAATGGATGTTGGCAACCTGGCGATTATTTTTACACCGAACGTAATGCCAGTCAATGCACCGAAACTTACTGCACAAGGCAGTGTGAAAATAAACCGTCACGTCTTAATTGTGCAGGTATGTTAAACAATGACTCATTGATTCCAACCTGTTCACTCTCCTGTAACATGAAATTGATGATGCGAAAATATCCTTTAAAAAAAAAAAAAAACCTTATGCGTCTATCTATATAAATTTTTAAAAATTATTTTATCCTATTTGTGATTCATTTTTCAATTAATGGCTTGCCGATTATAACAATTACCATTATATTATATACTAACTGTGATAAAAGGTTATGAGAAATTTTAACAGTTTCTTTACAGACGCTTATAGAAAATGCAACTTTGGTTGGAGTTTTACCTGAAGCGATATGTGATAAATTAGGATATTTGAACGTTTCGACGTCCAGCACGGTTGACATGGACATGTCTCAAAATGTTAGCATTAAGAAAAGAAGGAAGAGAAGGAGCAATTCTCTTACAAGTAAGATCATTCAATGTTACTCCAATGAAATTTGTTTCAATAATTTGTTTATGTCTTTATATTATGTGTTGCACTTTTATATTTATAATCGTGCTTTTAATTAAATTTATTTATCTTTTCAAAGTAACTAATTAATTTGTACAGTATTTTATGACAAATAACCCTTTTTCTCATCAAATTAACGCTTTTTTTTTTTTTTTTTTTTTTTTTTTAAAGCGAAAACTTAGGAGATAGTATGAAATGTATGCATGAAAAGTAAAATTCCTTTATATTGGAGTTTTTTTTTTAACTCATGCATTAAAAAAAAAAAAGCTAGAATATAAATATAATGATAGTGTAAAATATAATAAATAATAATAAGAAATATTATAAGTAAAATTTCTGCATTTAAAATAATAATCCGGCTCTTAGAAGATGAATGAAAATTTAAAAATTATATAATATTAAGTATAAATACAATTTTTTTTTAGTATCAAATAATCAGGCTCTTAAAAACCACAATTTAATACATTTGTTCAATTAAAAATATACTAAATAATATATAATTATGTATTGTAAAATATACAATAATATATAAAAATATACAAACGTACAAACAAATCTTACATAACAACAATTGCCTTAAAAACATAATAACTGAGTTATAAATAATTAGAACCCAGCACTACACAAAACTACATCATCCAACAAATCATTAACCCAATCACCTAAGACAAACCAATATACATGTCCATTCCATCGTCCACACATTGTCACATAAATTAAGTACATTTCTCTCCTCAGAATACATTAAAATAGCATAACACATCTATGACTGTAAAATATCAAAACCCAATCCCACAGCATTGACCACACACCATTTCAACAAAATGCAAACACTAAACACTGAACAAAAAAAAACATACAAACACACTTTCTAGAAATGGTTTACATTAACAGAGGCACACAGCATTAATTAAAGAACAGTTACTTGCAAACTCCACCGTAGCTTCATCAACAACATAAACCAAATAAACTATTACATTTTATTTTTATTTATTTATTTTATTTCCCTTTCCTTTGTTATCATCCTTAGCAAATTATGTCCTTTCCAATATTGAATAACCCAAAATCCAATACAGAAAATCCCCATTCTCGGCTTCATTTGTGTCAAATAAAACCACCCACAATGAAAGAAAATTCCTCAGATTTACTGCATTCCCCTCTCTGCCATGATCTTATAAAAACAGCACAATACAAAACCAAACACACATAAGACACCACAAGAATAGCACCACACTTTCTGCGAATATGAAATACCTGGTTCAAAGCTTGTACTTAATCTGTATTGTATTTTTTCCAATAAGCGTATGTTTTGTAATTCACCCAGACCCTGAAGATGACCCGAATAAAGGTCGAAACGCGTAAAAAAAAAAATCAAAAAGGTGTTTTTCTAAACTACCTCATTCTTGACCATTCCTCCCGATTTCAACAAATTAATAAACAACCGGTTGCACAAATAAAAAACACAGATTAAAAAACATTCAAATATAAATTTATTTTTATTTAATTTTCAAATGCAGGAATTTTAATTTACGTGTTTGTATTTGAAACCATCTCCTAGGTCTTTTTGATTCTTGAAAAAAAGAGTTGATTTGAAATTAAAAAGTTTATTTTGAAGTTAAAATGTTTAATGTGAAATTAAAAATTGTTAATTTGATGTTAATAAGGGTTAATTTCAAATTAAAAAGCATTAATTTGTCGGTAAAAAGTGTTAATTTGATGAAAAATAATATAATTTAATAACATAATTTCTAAATTTTCTCCCCAATTTCAGAAATGATCTCTGGCTTTAAAAAAATCATGTCCAAGTCTTCTCCCGATTTCACCGAGGGTATGGATTCTCCTGTGCCTAACCTCAGTGCTCATACTCCGAAACTTATTCTTTCGAGGAAAAGAAAAAATGAAAGCCAAGGATTTTCGAGCAAAAAAAAGTACGTATACTGATTCCATTAAGGCTGGCGCCACACTAGACAGAATGCAACGGAAGTTTCTGCTGCACAAGCTTACATTCAGAACACAGCCAGCGACACACTGAACAGAAATTTCCATCATAATGTCTCCGTCGAGCTTCGTTGGTTCACCAGCGTCCGTCGGCGGAATGTTCCACTGGGTTCTGTTTAAACAGATCAAAATCATGCAAAATAGTTAGGGTGCATCACACTGACAACAGCCAAGTGTAACAGAAGAGGTTGACAGTCGGATACGCAAACTGCAAGTGAAGCTGAACTTGGACCAATTTATTGTGGAAGACAGGCCCTGTCTGTGGAATTTTAAAGGCACTCGTCAAATGAAGCTATAGTCATCCCACAGTATTGGGATAGCATCGAAAATTTCCGACACATTCCGTCTAGTGTGGCGCCGGCCTAATCCATCGAAACATTTGTCTCTCTCCCTTCTACTATCTTGTTTAAAACATGCTGTTTATTAATTTAAATGGCTACTATGTAACAATTAAAAAAAAGCTTCTTATGTGATGATCTAGATATCCTCTTGCTTTAAACTTTGAACACTGTGTAAATAACATATTTTACATTTTAGATGTGAAATGATTGATATGCTGCCAGGAAAAGTTATTCTGCCCAACACACCTTTTAAAATTAAATACTCGTCAACGACAATGCTCACCCCACGTACTCTGATTTCTAGGTATGTATATAAATTTTTATAATTCAATTAAATTATTATAATTAATAATTCAAAAGTCTTTGGATAAATACAGAATGTTGGAAAAATGAAATATGCTGTTTTGAAAGTAATTTTCATTGAACTAGTAATTTTATTCTGTCTTCAGTTTTATATTTTAGGGTTGTTTAGGCTAAATCAGTTTCTTTAATTGTATTCTGTATTTTATGATTTATTAAAAATCAAATGGCTGCCTTAATTTTTTAATAATCTTTGTGTTGTACAGACCCAGTAGAGGATTTCTTTCCTAGANATATATATAATACGCAGTTAAAATTTGAAAGCACATTCAGTCAAATATCCCGATAAACTGATTTATTTATGACAGAAAAATATTTTTTAAGATTAGGCTAAACCAACACGACGTTGCTGTCGTGCAAAACTGTCCACCTGTTAAATAATTCCCCCTTTTTTTTTTATGGTAGTTCACAACAGCAGAGGTCATATCAACCCCCAGGGTGCCAGTATTTTTGAATAAAATCCCATTCAGCATTTCCCCCCGAAATGCAGGGCCATTCATTTCGAACCCGGGTCCTTTATGTATTGAATATTTTTCAATCTCATTTGAGATAAGCAAATTATTAATAAAGCACGTTAATATTTAATGCAGATTTTATCAACTAAGCTTGCGCTTTGGCCAATCCAGGCTCCTTTTTTTAATGTATGCTTTCTCCCACCATAATCAAAACAGTATTGGGTTATATTTAAAGTTTAAAATGTATAAGATAATATTCAGTACGACTTTTTAGATATATTCTCCAATTTACTGATAGCAGTTTTTTTGTAAACCTAAAATTTATTTATTTTTTAGTTTTAAACATGGAAGTCCTCCTCAAAAGCATAAAATAAAACATTTGCAACCAACTGCCAACCCAAAGTGTACCAAGTAAGTAAACATTTTTATTTTATTTTATTAATTTGATATTCTTGTTTTATTGTTTAATTTTCAATATTCTTGTTTCAACTCATAAAATATATATTTTATAACCGCTTACTTCATTCCTAAATTGTCTTAATTGTTAAACAATCAATTTGTCAATAGTATTTATCATTTGTTTAAAATAATTTTATTAATTAACTTTATTTATAAGAATATTAATAGTGTTTTATAATAGTGTGTGATAATTTTGTTTTTGTTTTGCTCATAGAAAGAACAATGCTGCTATGGACATGGCTTCAAGAAAATGTAAAAATGTGGAAAACAAAGTATGTATCTGTAAGTTGTGTTTATTAAAAACAAAAAAGGTTAATTTGACAAGGAAAAGGGTTAATTTGATGGAAAAATCTATTAACCTTTAAGTGTCTAATTATTTTATATTAAAAAAACAATTTAAAAAAGGTTAATTTTATGATTAAAAAAGTTAATTTGAAATTAAAAAGGATTGATTTGATACAAAAAAAAGTATCCCTTTTTATTTTAAATTAACCATTTTTTAAAATTTCTAATTAGTCCTTTTTCCCATCAAAATTAACAATTTTTAGTTTTAAAGTAACCTTTTTTTTTAACCTTAAAATAACCCTGGTATTTACACATTTTTGCACCAAATTAACTCCTTTTAACTTGGCGTTAGCCATATTTAACTTTCTATTAACTCTTTTCAATTTCCAGTCAACCATTTTTTTTTTAAAGCATTAAAAACAAAGATGGTATGAAATATAAGCCTTTAAAGTAAAATTACTCAATAGGTGATGATTTTTTAAATAAAATAATTGGTGTCTTAGAAGAAGGCCACATAAAAATTAATTAAAATTAAACATTATGACAAATTAAATATAAAAATAAAGGATTCTTATGTTATAATTTAAGAATTTTTTGAAAAATATAAACGGGGTTTTTAACATTTTATATGTGGCTGGCTTTTATTATATTAAAATTAAAAATTATGATTATTTGAAGATCGTGAGATGCGGTATGGTGTGACCTAGGTTTTAGAAAAACGTTTTCTTTAACATGCCAACATTTTGATCTTTGTTGAGATTATCTTCAGGGCTCAAAGCGTTTGTTTTCCATGTAGATGTGTCATTCTTGTCTATCGTGTTGAGAGTGCCCTGGATGATCTCAATAAAGATCGAAACGTTGGCACGATAAAGGAAATGATTTTCTAAATCCTACGTCATACCAGACCGCATCTCACAACCTCTAAATAATCAAGTAATGATCACTAAACACCACACAGTAAAAATTATATATAAAAACAAATGATTATTCTATTAATTTGAGACTTTTTAAATATAAAATAATTGTTTGAAAAGATTCTTGAATAAATGGCATTTTTTAAATCAATTTTATACAACTTAATTTTTATGTTCAATTTTTAATTTAAATTGTCATTAATTTTCTTCTTAGACACATTTTTTACATATTTTTTTAAAAACAAAAATCTAAAATATGCAGTGCTTTTATCTTACATGCTTATATTTCATACCACCTTTTTTTTAAATGATTATTTAGAGATCAGTGGTCTGGTGTAATGTAGATTTAGAAAAGCATTTTCTTTATCGTGCCAACGTTTTGATCTTTATAGAGATCATCTTCAGGGCATGGGATTTATAAACATTGTTTAAATTATACAAATACATGTAAAATATGAATTTATATGATGATGTTCACGATATAGACATTTTAGGTTAATTTGTTTAATTTTAAGGTATTTGTACTCACTCAAAGTGAGTGTTTTCTGAGTAGATGTGTCAATGTTGTGTGTCGTGTTAAAATTGTTAGTGAGATATTAATGTTTTTTGTTTATATATGTCTGATTTGAAGGAGTGGGGAAGGAAGTAGGGATAGAAATTCGTTTTGTGAGGAGTCAGCTTCTTTGAGATGAAAGGGACCGACAGTGGGGAAAAAAGGGGTAATGGTTTGTCGTTTGGGCCTAGTTAGCCTTTCAGGATTAATATAGATGGGATTATTAGGGAAAGGAGAGATAAATTGTTGGAAATTTAGACTATGTAGAATTGTTTGATTTGAGAAGTGTAATGATTGTTTTATATGTTGTTTTGTGGGTTATATGTATATTATTGATATTGAATTTGATTTATGATATTTGCGTAGTTGTGGTTGTAGAGACAAACAGCATCAATTACAGAACAGACACATGTAAATTCAGCTGAAGCAATGCTAATATCATAAATCAAATTCAATGTCAATAACACACAAAACATATAATACAACATTGATTATGTTATTTGTTTTAAATTATATTTCTTTATTTGCAGTTATTTGAGACCAGCAATGGACGAAGTTATAATAAATGTGAAGAGTTTACGAACTCGGCAGAAACCACGTCTGAAGAATATGTGAGGATACCCAAAGAAGAATATGAATCGATTAAAAAAAGGGTGAATAACATAGAGAATTGTTTAGACAATGAACTTGAAAATATATTGGGCGTAACAATCAGTGATTACGAGGACAGTACAGTTGAACCTAACGGGTTAGGTTTACTCTCAAACATTGAAACAGCATATGCAAAAACTATGGAAGAATCAGGAAAATTGAATTGCAGTTCTGTTTCCCAAAAATTGCAGAGAGATTTGAGAATAAGACGTAAATCTGATCAGATTATAAGATCTCCGAGCGCCAGAAAAATTGGTTCGATTCGAAGATCCCGTGAGAATATTTCTCTCAAAAATGAGTTGAGGAGGCACTCTTCTTTAAATGTAAATGATAGACGTGTCGGTGATCATGTGACTTCTTCAAGATCATTGCGTCGAGGAAGGCCGAATACGATTTACACGGGGCTTCCTCAGCCTTCCCCTCAAGTGCACAGTACGTTAGATCTTAACGAAGAAATGGATGTAAGTTTTCCTAAAGTGGAGGAAACAAGAGATGAAAAAGACCATCAAAATAACAATTGGGAATTGGCGAAAGAATATTTTTCCAAAAATGAAAAGATGGACATTAAAGAAAGCGGAAGAGTTTCAATTACGCAAATAAGAAACCAAAATCTCGGAATGGTATTGGCAAAGGCTAAATTATATGACAGCTTAGCTTCAGAAAATTTAAAAAATGATACTGAAGACACTAGAGCTCCGGTGCCTAGAAATAAAAAAGGGCAATCACCAAAGATCGCCATACGTAATCGACTTATCCAAGAAGGCTCGCAGATATCAAACCTGTCTACAAGATCGAGCAGCAGTCAAGACATAAAATACAGCAATGTAAAAGTAAGGCCTTCAAAATCGTTTAACACAACGTCAACGGTAAAATGTTACGACAGCCTGTTTGCACAATCTCCTCAGAGAAACAGCGATAGGCTACGACAGTTTAAGACTGGTCATTATCTCTCGCCAAAAAAATTAAAAAGGGCAGGGGACAAATTGTCAAACTCCTCTTCTTTGTCTGACAACGTCACAAGACGGAAATCTCTTAGAATCGTTACCATTAAAAATGATTTAAAATAAAAATATTGTAAATAGAATAAAATATTATTCATAATGATTGATTGATTGATGATTTTGATTGGAAGACAACCTTGTGATTTCATAAAATATTATACATAAATAATTATGCATAATTTTTATGCAATAAAAATACTGAAATATGTACAAATATATGTTTTTCAAACTAAATTCTCCTTTTTGCAATTTTAAATCACCCATTCCCAAATTAAATTTGCCCTTTTGCTAATCAAATTTATCCTTATCCTTCCTCCCTTTGACAATATACAAATATACCCTTTCACAATTTAAATTTACTTTTGCAAATCAAATTCAGCCTTTTGCAATTTAAATTAACTTTTGCTAATCAAATTCTTCTTTCGGTAAATAAATATCTCCCTTTGTCAAATCAAATTCACCATTAAACAAACAAAATTTTCCCTCTGACAAATTAAATTTACTATTTTGCTAATCAAATCTTTTCATAATTTAAATTCACTTTTGCTAATCAAATTCTACCTTTGGCAAATCAATTTCTGCCTTTGACAAATCTTATTCACCATTTTACAAACTAATCAAATTCAGCCTTTCACAATTTTGATTAACTTTTGCTAATCAAATTCTTCTTTCGGCAAATAAATTTCTCCCTTTGGCAAATCAAATTCACCATTTTACAAACGAAATTTTTCCAAACCATTTCACTTTTCGGCAAAACAAATTGACTTTTTTCGCTGATCAAATTTACACTTTGACAAACAGTTTCATCCTTTTGCAAATCAATTTCACTCTTTTGGACATTAAATTCACTCTGGTAAGTCACATTCACTCTTTTGCAAATAGAATTCAGCCCTCTGAACATCAAGTTCATTCTTTTGTAAATGAATTTCTGCCTTGCAATTTAAATCCACTCATTTGCTGTTCAAATTCACTCATTTGCTAATCAAATTCTACCTTTGGCAAATCATTTTCATCTGTTCACAAATAAAATCTACTCTTTTGCAAATCGTTTTCACCCTTTCACAAATCAAATTCACTCTTTTGCTAATCAAATTTAGCATTAACATTTTAAATTAACTTTTGCTAATCAAATTCTAGCTTTGGCAAATAATTTTCACCCTTTTACAAATCAAATTTACTCTTTTGCAAATCGTTTTCACCCTTTCAAAAATGAAATTCTACCTTTGGCAAATAATTTTCACCCTTTTACAAATCAAATTTTCTCTTTTCCAAATCGTTTTCACCCTTTCACACATGAAATTCACTCATTTGCTAATCAAATTTAGCGTTAACAATTTAAATTAACTTTTCAAATAAAATTCTACCTTTGGTAAATAAATTTCACTTCTCGGTAAATCATCAAATTCACCTTTTCTCAATTTGCAAATCATTTGCTTAAATAGGCTCTAGTGAAAATTTCTTAATTTTTTTATTAAAACGAAGTCTTGTTAACCACTTAAATAATTATTTTTCAAATTAGTAATGTAAACGTGTTAAAACATGAATTCCTTCAAGTAATAATAATTTTTAAAATGTATTAGATACTGTCCCAAAATAAAAAAAAATATTTAAAAAATCGGTAAATTTTTTGAAAAACGCTAAATTTTGATTACCAATGAACTTGAAGTCAAATCAATAATAATTTTAGCGTGTTTTACTTAATAATTATTGAGACTCTATTGTCGCAGTTGATGGTTAGAAGAATCATTTTATTGGGCAAAGCGGACGGGAAGGTGTGGAAGTAATTTTTGGCAAAATATTAATTTTATTATTAATTCTTGTCCATTTCCAGAGGCATAAGCATTTAAATCTTTATTGCAATTTTGATCTGACTACCTACAGAAAGTATTTCAGTTCAGGAAAATGAAGATATGAGATTTAGGAGGATAGGCTTGTCTTTTGTTTCTTATTTAGATTTAGTATTTAGTAGATTTAGTAGATTAGCAATGGGTGGCACGACCCAGATGGCAGATTAACATTTTAAAAAAATTGATGTCGTTTTTTAATTGTATTTTTAATTAAAAATTAATAAGTAGTACATAGAAAGGTCGATTTTTAAAATAATACTAGATTTATAGGAACGTATTAAAAAAAAGAAAAAAAAGTGATTAATAAAATAACTTTAAAAGGCCGGTTGATCTTCAATTTGTTAGATCGTCGTTTCGACGCTGGGGACATCCTGTGGGTTGTAAGTGCACACCAAAAGGTTCGAAAAGCTCCACCAGCGGTGTTTTCACATGAGACGGAAGAAACGCAACATGTTCCAGGGTGATGAAGACGTGCCCAAGACTCCACCACCGGCACCACGGGAGAATCGCCCCAGCGGCAGCTCCTTCAGGTTCAATCTGCCTCTATGCCCGGACGACCATAATTGTCCAATATTCAACTTCAAAGAATTATGCTCCGAAGCATCCGTGAGTTTGTCACAAAAGAATATTTATATGAGTAGCTTTGGTTTGTCTTTTAATATATTAAATTTAAAAAAAGTTTGTAGTTTGAAAAAATCTTAGATAATCTATTAAAAACCCTGTATTTCTAATAAATCTTAGGTAAAACCAAAATTGCTTTAATAAAAAATGTGTGGTGTTTTTTTATTAAAAATATTACCTAGCGTTTACATTTTTAATCCTCACGAGAGGATTATACACCCAAGGGCAGCTGGTAGACATGATTATCGTTCTTTTAAATGCCTGGAACCTTTTATTCTTGCAATTTTATTTTGTTCTCTTTTGGCATTACTTATTTAATTTTAAATAAGCTATTTTGTAAAAAAAAAATCCAAATAATTAGGGAAAAGAAGCTTCGAGCTTTCGAGTAATAAAAGGACTTGAAGACCACATTCATTTATTTAAAAATTACTTAAAATTTTGAAACATTTTCAGAGAAAAGATTGAATTAAACATTTTAAATGATCAGTCAAAAAGTTTTATAATTTATAGTCCAGATGATCTGAAAAACTGGAATGTGTTTTCTTTCCAATCAATCAACCTGATTTTTTAAAACATATGTTTTTAACAATCTAAATTTGAAAAAATTAAGTTAAAAAATCAAATAAAAGTCAGAAAAGTATTTAAATAAATTTTGTCGAAAATGTGTCGTACAAATTTTATCCGGGTTGCATGAGCGCACACGACTGAACTGTTTGGGATTTGGATGGATGGTGGTGCTCACGCTATCTAATAAACGGCCAATTTTGACGCGTGATCCAAAAAGCTGGAGTGGTTGGACTTTGCCCGATTTCTCTATGAAATATTATAAATAGGGCACAATTTTTTATGCGGAATATGAACAGTATACAGGGTTTTCCAATTAAATTCACTCATTGGGAAATCAGATTCACAATTTTGCGTATAGAATTATCCCTTTTGCTAATCAGATTCACTCTTTTGCTAATGAAATCACGCTTTTTCAAAAAAATTCAGCCTTTTGCAAATAAAATTAACTTTTTGGTAAATAAAAAATTCAAGATTTTGCATATCGAATTATCCGTTTTGCATATCAAATTCACTTTATTGCGAATTAAATCACGCTTTTTCAAAAAAATTCAGCCTTTTGCAAATAAAATTAACTTTTTGGTAAATAAAAAAATTCACGATTTTGCATATCGAATTATCCGTTTTGCACATCAAATTCATTCATTTTCATATCACATTCCGTTTTTTGCTAATCAAATTCCCTCTTTTGCTAATCAAATCACGCTTTTTCAAATAAAATTCTGCCTTTTGCAAATAAAATTAACTTTTTGTTAAATAAAAAATTCACGATTTTGCATATCAAATTATCTCTTTTGCTTATGAAATTCACCCATTTTCATATCGTATTCACCCTTTTGCTAATCAAATTTCATCTTTCGCTAATCAAATTCAAATTTTTTCAAATAAAATTCTGCCTTTTGCAAATAAAATTAATTTTTTGTTAAATAAAAAATTCACGATTTTGCATATCAAATTATCTCTTTTGCTTATGAAATTCACCCATTTTCATATCGTATTCACCCTTTCGCTAATCAAATTCAAACTTTTTCAAATAACATTCAGCCTTTTGCAAATAAAATTAACTCTTTGGTAAATTCACTAATTTCGTGGTCGCTTGACCAATTAATATATTACAATTAATTAAGATTTTTAGTTGTGATAAAAAAGTCAATGGCACGAGCGGGATTCGAACCCACGATCTCCGGCTTGATACGCCGCTGCTCTACCACTTGAGCTATCGTGACCCCGATCCACTCGGACACCAACTAACTGCCCATCTCAACCGCACTCATGCCATTGACTTTTTGGTAAATGAAAATTCGCGATTTGGGATATCAAATTATCCCATTTGTGTATCAAATTCACTCAATTTCATTATCGTATTCACCCTTTTGCTAATCAAAGTCCCTCTTTCACAATCAAATTCACTCTTTTGCTAATCAAATCACGCTTTTTCAAATAAAATTCTGCCTTTTGCAAATATATATAAAGTGGAAGGTTTATGGGCCGACAAACAGCTGAGGTCATCGCCGGCCCTCCGCGTGTATTCCTTCTCTTTCCTGTCTTTCTAGCGTATTTTGTATTGAACTGCAGCCCTTTTGCAAATAAAATTAACTTTTCGTTAAATAAAAAATTCAAGATTTTGATTTCAAATTATCCCTTGTAGGACGCCATTTATATTTATATTATATTGCCTCGGATTATGAGACGTTGTACGGCCTCTTTGGCATAAAGGATGCCGACGTTTATAATAACTTTTTTTGAACCAATGGGAATTGTTATAGATATATTTTATTATTCGAAGTACCGAATTCTTTTACATAGTCCGTCTTATGTTTCCAGTGGATTATATGCGCTTTCTTTGGCACGAAGGTTTACTTTTATTATTTTTGAATTTATACCTTTTGGACCAATTGTTTGGGTCCGCCGGTACATGCAGTTACTTTTGGCACCCGCAACCCCGTCGGCAAATCTTACCGTTCTACTAATTAGCAGTAATTATTCAGATGTCGTGACCGCATCTCACGACATCTGAATAACTATCGATTAACGGCCACTAATCTCTACACAAAATTAGCAGTAAGTTCTTTGAAACTGGTATTCTCTAAAAAGGGGAAAACTTTCTCGGATTTTTCAGTAATAAGAGAGAAAGAGCCTGTAAAATTGTACTTGCAGCAAACTCGCTAAATTGTATTGCATGCAATATTCATATTTTTTCTTCGTTTTCTTGCAAGATTCTCCTCCTTTGTATAACGATAGAAAAAAAAAAGTGATTGCCGAAATTAATTTGCCAAAGAGTGAATTTGATTTGCAATAGTGTAAAATTAATATGTACAAGGGTGACTTCGAATAGCAAAAGATTGAATTTGATTTGCCAAAGAGAATTTGATTGGAGTAGGGTGAATTAGAATATAGTGTGGTGTTGAAGATACTAGGAAGTGGGATGTGTGCTCCCCAGGCACTGCAGCCTTCTGGCTTATTGTACCTTCCTAGTTCCTTAGTTCTGTGCAATAGGCTCAATCCTTCTCCTTAGAAGTACCAAGTGATTGACTGTCGCTGCTACACTTTCATTCCCGAGATTTTTTCATATGTTAGGTTAAATCTCCATTGACTCGTTGCTTTGCATTCTAAAATGATATGGGTGGCTGTTTCCTCCTCCCCATTATATAATTCATAAATTCATGTTTTTGTAAATCATGTTTTTTTGTGAATATGATTTACAAAACCATGAATTTGATAGCAAAGGTGAATTCGATTTTCAAAAAAGTGAAATTGATTTGCTAAAGAGTGAATTTGATTCACAAAAATGTGAATTTGGTTAGAACAAGGGTGATTTGCCAAAGAGTGAATTTAATTTCCAAAATGGCGAATTTGATATTCAAAAGTTAATTTAATTTACAAATTGGTGAATTCAATTAGGAAAAGAGAGATATTCATTTGCAAAAGACGGAATATAATTTGCACAATGATGAATTTGATTTGCCAATGAGTAAATTTGATTAAAGCAAAGGTGAAAATTGATTTACCAAAAAGTGAATTTAATTTGCAAAAAGGAGAATTTGATTTCCAAAAGGTAATTTGATTTGCAAAAGGGTGAATTTGATTATCAAAATAGTAAATTTAATTTTCAAAAGTGAATTTGATTTACTAAGGGTAAAATTGATTTGTAAAAGAGTGTATTTAATTTGCAGAAGAGTGAATTTGATCAAAATTGGGCAAATTTCATTTGAAAACCTGTATATACATATATTTCTGAAGTTTTATTGCATATAAATCCAGTACCTATTTATAATACTATATTAATAATATTTTATAACATGCATAGAAATTAGCCACTTATATTGAACAGTGTTTGTGGTTGAAACCTTTTTTAAATTTTTTTACCTGTTTTCTGCCTTTTATCATTTATTGTAATTTTTAGTCTAAATCTCATCCACTTTTGCTTTATAAACAGCATTTGTTGGGGTTAATTAGTAGTTTATGCTCTGAGCACTTTGCAGCAAATAATTATCTCTCTTTGGAGACATTGATTCTAGTTTAAAGGACTCAACATACAAACTGAACTAACTTGCCTCTGTAAACCCCCAAGTGGTGTAAAGGTAATGTATATTAAATAATAAAGGAGAACCAAGGACATATCCTTGAGATAAGCCAAAATTTTTTCCCAAAGGTAAGCTGCAATATGTTCATCTCGTCTATATTCAAATTTCCTATACAACAAGCATGCAACCCCATACTAAAACATTTTATCTTCCGCAAACTCTTTCATTTTTAACATTGAAGAATGTTATGGTGTTATCAATATAATGTTTGGGGATATTCTAATCTTTCTCTGTAGCTTCTAAGGGGTTCTAGCATGTTATAAACTAATGATTTTGAGATCATCACAAGCTGCTAAAGAAAACAAATTAGGCCTTAAGATATCACCTCAAAGAATGCCCTCAGTCACAGTTCCTTCAGACTTTTTGTCTCTCTCTCTTTCTCTCTTTACCCTTAAAAATTTTGAATGTTTTATCTTATACATGCACACAATCTCATCTTGTTTTAGAAGAAGAACTGCAATGCAGGCAGTGAAGACAGTTCAAAACTTACCTGCTTAAAAGATGGCGACTTAGAATTAGAGAAACCACAATCAGTAAGCATATATAATACATTTTTTTTTTAACTCTAGTTGAATTCAAGCTAGGTGTTTTTCACTCGGCTTACATGAGTAAATGTTTTGTAATAGGAAAGAATGTATTTAAGAATAAGTGAGAATATGAATGTAGATAGCCCCAGAGTTTAACCTGATGGAAATCCGCAGGCCACCTGGACAACACTAGGTGCAGAATCTGATTACAAAAATGTCAAAACTATCAAGCCTAAATAATTTATTACCATTAAATTTTGTTAATAACTATTAAATTAAATGTGTGTTTTAGCATGTCAAGTATACAATGAAAACATACGTAGAACTTGCGTCTGGCTATGATGAAGATGATTCGTTTATTGATAATTCGGAAGCAGTAAGTTTAACAGTGTAAACGTTAAAATTTTTGGTCCTCCAGGGCCAAATTATGCAACTGCTAATTTTGTATGTTCATAATCTGTAAGAATAGACTTATAAATAATTTTTAATCTTGTGATAGATTTTAAGTGTATAATATTATCCCTTACTGTTTTTAATCCATATTTTTATGTAATGGTAAATTTTCCTTTGCCCTTTCATATATATTTAATATAATTTCCTCTGATAATCTACCTTTTTAACTGCGATTTTGTCACTGGTATTAATCAGTAGATTTCCAGTGTAATTCCAGTGAGCAGCTTTTCACTGGGAACTATTTTTGGGGATTTTTAGCAGTGAAGAAACAGGGAGCATGATAAATCTTTTTGTATTTTGTGCTTGTATGTGATTTTTGTTTTTCATTAGTAATTTCACAACTTCAAATTACAGTTTGAACTTTAATTTAAAATTTCCCCCTTTTTTACTTCAAATTAACCATTTATGTTGAATTAACATTTTGTAAATTTCAAATTAACCATTTTTGTCAAAATAACTTTTTTAAATTTTAGATTAACCATTTTGTCAAATTAATTCTTTTAAAATTCACATTAACTTTTTTACATTTCAAATTAACCCATTTTAAATTCAAATTAACCCTTTTTATTTTCAAATTAACCCTTTTTAACTCCAAATCAATCAATTGTTTGCATCATATTGACTTCAAATTATCATTTTTCCCTTTTGTTTTTTAAAATTCAAATTAACCATTTTTGTCAAACTAACCCTTTTAAATTCCATATTATACCTTTCTTTTGCACCAAATTGACCCTTTTATCTCCAAATTAACCATGTTTCTCAAATTAACATTTTTTACTTTCAAATTAACGCTTTATAACTTCAAACAAACCAATTTTGTCTAAGTAACTCTTTTTAATTTCAAATTAACCCTTTTTAACATCAAATTAAACTTTTTTGTATCAAATTAACAATTTTTAATTTAAAATTTACAATTTTTTTCAATTAACCATTGTTTACTTTCAAATCGATTCCTTTTAACTTCAAATTACTGTTTTTCATTTCAAATTAAATGTTTTTGATTTCAAAATTAATATTTTTAATTTTAAATTAACCCTTTGGCCAAATTAAATCTTTTTTTGGCACCAAATTCAACCAATGAAGGGTTTTTGGCAGCAAGGAGGTGGGGAGCATGATAAATCTTTATGTACTATGTGATTTTATGTGTTTTTTTAATTCTTTTATTAGTGAATTAACATCGAGAGGTTAAAGCAAGAGAAAAAATATGAATCAGTGAGAAAGAGGCAAAAAAAGAAGGGAAAATAAAACTCACAATTTTCTGTGACTATAAGAATCTTTCTCATATTATTAAAATTTAAATTTTACCTTTTTAAACTTCTATCCATTATAAAAAAAATAATAATTTTGAAGTTTCTCAGTTTTTTTAACTTAAGAAAGAAAAATAATTTCTCAATATTTAAACTATTAGTTAAAAGGTTGAAATTGATGAGGCAGATGCTAAAAGCACCCAGAAAGATTAAGTCACCCTTTACCACACCACTGTAAGGAACTTTGTACTTTTTTAGTGTAACGACATGATAGAAGGAGTTGAAAACCTTAACGGAAAGTTTTATGTTAACTGCGGAGCGCTAAACCTCAACAAAAAAGATACAGTAGTCAAAGTGAGTATTTCTGTTCCAAATTTCAACAATAGATAGAAAAACTGTGATACGTGTTTCTACTAGGTATAAAATATGAGTTTTCTTTGATCCTATAGTTGTTTTTTACTGCACTAGTTAAATGTGCATTGATTATTTATAAAATAAATTTTAAAAAACTTATTGAATATTTTTCTCATTTTCCTGCAACATCCTGCACCATATCAATAAAATGGAGAGTTGTAAGTGTCAAAAATAATAATAATTTTTTTTTAATGGCATTTATTCAAAACCATTTTCAGAGCTTATTTTTAAAGGCTAGCCTTTTTTTAATTATTTTTATTTTATTTTTGTTCAAATTATTTCTCATTCTTTACTGTTTATACGTTCAATTTTAGGAACGTACTTTTGGAGGTAAAAGTGTATCAACTAAAGCTAAGAAAGTAAAGCCTAAGCAAGAGAAAACTGAAAAAAAGAAGACTAAAGGTATTCAAAAACATTTAACTTTTAAAACATAAATTTTAAACATTATATAAAAGAATAAAAATGATAAAGTTAGTGCCACGAGCGGGATGTATGGTAAAAAGGATACTAGGAGGCTGGGTTTGCGCTCCCCAGGCACTGCAGCATTCTGGCTTATTGTACCTTCCTAGTTCCTTAGTTTAGTGCAATAGACTCAATCCTTCTCCTTAGAAGTATCAGGTCATTGACTGTCGCTGCCGCAATTTGATTCCCTGAGTTTTTTCCGTATGTTCCAATCTCCATTGAGCTGTTGCTTTGCATTCGAAGAAGATATGAGTGGCTGCTTCCTCCTCCTCATTACATAATCTGCAAATGGGATCGTTGTATATACCCATGTTGGGTAGATGTTTACTCAGATGCCAGTGACCGGTACTCCTCTGAGTTTGGCCCTCTCTAATTGCAGCAATGCTTTTGCCAGTCTTGGTGAGGGTTGTTTTATCATAAGTTTACTATGTCTAGCACTGCTAGAGTTTATCCACTTCTCCTTTTGTTTTGTTTGGATCCATCCTGCGATGGAGGATTCTATATTTGTTTTTTGTTATCCCAAGTATAGGTTCAGGGCCTATGTATGATCTTGCAGATCCTCCTCTGGCCAGACTGTCTGCTTTCTCGTTAACCAAAATTCCTTTGTGCCCTGACACCCAAGATATCATCAGGTTGTTGTGTTTCCCCAGGTTTTGGAGATTTTGGATGCATTCACTGACTAATTTTGATGTGATTATTTTACATACTAGTGCTTCAATAGCTACTTGGCTATCAGATCCATCTTCATACCATATCATTGTATCTGATGCTCTCTTGTGTTATTCCTTTCCTTTATAGTCCGTTGAGACTTTGTAGGAAGTTATGAAGAATGTTTCATATAATCAGTCCCCATTTCTAATAATGGGTGTCTAATTTTGTTGATTATGGTTGTATGCCTGAATTGTTAAGTTCCTTTCCAATTTAATTGTTTCTGGAGCCTAGAGCTTTTCCTAACCTCTCCTTGTATGAACATTTCCAATGGAGGTAGGTTTAGCAGAGTTTCTAATGCATTTGTAGGGGTTGTTCTCTTTGCCCCTGTGATACATAGGTTTGCTAGTCTTTGTATGCTGCCTGTTTGGGTAGCTACTTTTTGTTGAGCTTTGTTCCACCAGATTGGTGGTATTATTATTGCCGTGTATAGCCAGCCAATAGGCCATTTTCAGTTTTAATCCCCAAGATTTTCCTAGGGTCCTTCTTTTGGTCATTAGCGATATTTTACTTTTTGCTATAGTTTGTTGCCCCCCCCCTTGCTGGTGAGGGTTCCAGGTTAATTTCTTATCAAAGATTATTCCTAGGTATTTGACCTCATTTTTTAGTTGCAGCATTTTGTTATAGAAACGTAATCCTTGTATTTCTATATTTCTTTTCTTGGTGAAAGCAATTAAGATTGTTTTTGAGGGGTTTACTTTAAGTCCCAATTTTAAACACCATTGTTCCACCAGGTTTAGTGCTCTTTGGGTGTACTCTTTTAACGTTGAATCGAATTTTCCCCTGACTAGTATGACATTGTCATCTGCATAGCCTTGGGTGTAAATTCTGCTTTCATTTAGTTTGCATTCAAGGTCGTCCACTACCACATTCCACAGCAGAGCTGAGAGTAGGCCTCCTTGTAGACACCCTCCCGCCCCTGCTGCTTCTACTTTTTCGTGGAACATGGAGGCCTGCACTTTTCTGCTTTTTAGCATTGATTCTATCCATCTGCAGCAGGTTTTGTCGCTTCCTCGCTGTTTGAGCGATGAAACCATTGCTTCGAAAGGAGTATTGTCAAATGCTCCTTCAATGTCCGTCCAAGAAGGTTCTCAATGCTATTTCTTGGTTGTTCAGTGAATCCTCTATTCGTATCATCAATTGATGTAGTGCTGATTTACATGATTTTCCTTTCTGATAGACATGTTGATATTTGTGAATGGGTTTTTCTTTTAGAGAACTTCAACTACCCTTTCAAGTGTTTTGAGTAGAAAGGATGTTAGGCTAATCGGTCTGTATGATTTTGGGTCTGTGTAGTTATGCCGAGCAACTTTAGGAATGAAAACTACTTTTACAGTTCTCCATATGCTTGGAATGTATCCCATTGCCAGGCAGCTTCTGTATATTTTTAAAAGTAGGGGGATTAATGTTATTTTTCCCTTTTGTAGTAGTATTGGGTATATCCCGTCTGTTCCTGGAGATTTTGATGGGCTAAAGTTATCTATTGCCCATTCAATCTTATCATAGGTGATTACTGTTTTGGCTATTTGCCAATCTTCTCTGCTGGCTTTGTGGCCTTTGACCTTTCGACTTTTCCCTCCTTTTTGCCATTTTTCAAGATTAATCAATTGAAAGAAGTAATTTGGTCAATAGACCAGTAAATGTAATGAATTACATATGAGGGATTAAATTGATCTTTAAGTCCCAGAATAAATTTTATTATTTTCACTATTATATGTGTGCATGTATTTGTGTTTTATTTGTATTTAATTTCTTATTGCTTTTGGTCAAGTATATATATTTAAAATGACGAGATTTTTGCCTAATTTTAACAGAAGCCGGTGAATGCAAGAAAAAACCAAAACTATCAACCGACACAGTGCCGTGTTTGATCAATGTCAGCCAACCAGATATTTTAAAATTAATTGATCAATTGAAAAATTACACCAAAGAAGTGCAAAGCACTCAAAAAAATTTCTTCGACAAGAATATTGTCCAACTTCTTGTTGAGTGAGTAGAACGGTTTTTCTCAATTTTATTATATTTTTTTAATTTATTTTTTGCAAATGTTATAGGAATTTTACATTTATTATTCCACTTCCTTCTTTCATTATAGGAAATTTATTAAATGATTAAATTTCTAGGTAATGAAATTCTTATTACACCTTTTTCCATCAAATTAATCCTTTTTTAATTTTTGAAATTAACCTCTTTTAAAAGTATGTAAGGTGAAATTCGTGCCTATTTCTGAATTTTAAAAAATATAAAATAATTGGGCTCTTTAAAACCATACACTTAATTTCAATAAAATTTCAAATTATATAACATTAAATATAAAAACAATGATCTTTTAATTTGACAGTTTTTAAATAGCTTTTTTCCATCAAATTAATCCTTCTTAATTATAAATTAAATTCAAACTAAACCTTTTAACTTCAAATTAACTTTTTTTTATTTCAAATTAACTCTTTTATTAACTTTTAATAAAACTATTTAACTCAAACCTTACTTTAAGGCATTAAAAAAACTCAGGAGATAGTGTGAAATATAAGTTCATAAAGTGAAATTCATGTATATTTTTGAATAAAAAAAATAATAATAAAATAATTGGGCTCTTAAAAACTATAAAATTAATTGCAATAAAAATTAACCATTAAAAGTTATATAGCATTAAATATAAAAACAATGTTTCTTAATTTAACAGTTTTTAAATAACTTTTTCCATCAAATTAATCCTTTCTAATTATAAATTAACCATTTTAACTTCAAAATAATGTTTTTAAATTTCAAATCATCCCTTTCTTAAAAGAATTAAAACACTTAGCAAAAAGTATGAAATATAAGCATGTAGATAAAATTCTTTTGTTTTTGGGAATTTTTTATAATATAAAACAATTTGGCTATTAAAAAACTACATGAAAATTAATTATAAGAAAAATTAAAACTTTTATAAAATTAAATTTAAAAACAAATTAATTCCTTTTCATTTGAGATTTTGTTTAAAAATAAAATAATTTGCATAAAACTAATTACAATCAAACTTTAAAATGTTAACAAATTAAATCTAAAAATAAAGGATTTTCCTTTTACTTATTATTTATTAATGTGGGAAATGTGAAAATTTTTTGATTTTAATAGCACCATTATTTTATATTACTTATATACAAGTTTTTGTATGGTTTTTATGACCCCAATTATTTTATATTTTTTATGCAGGAATTTTATTTTACCTACTTACATTTAATGTTAACTCCTAAATCTTATTTTTGATGTTTAAAGAAAGGGTTAACTTGAAATTAAAAAGCTTTAATTTCAAGGTGAAAAAGAGTTAATTTGATGGAAAAAAAGATATTTATTTATTTTCTTTTACTGTTTCCTGTTCAGATTTTTTCTTCTTGTTAATTACTTTATTTATTTTGATCATAAATTTCATTTTCCCCTACACTGTCTGTGTGTCAGTATTGTTTTTGAAGCAGTAAAAATTGACGTAATAATTAATTAATGAATCGTTTAAATTATTCAGGTTAGAATGTCAGTGCCGGAAATACTTAAAAAATCCTTCAAGGCAATCAGTTTATTCTCATCTTTCTTATTTCATGCCAATTTCCAAAGGAACACTTTTAAGAAAAGTGAAAACTCTGTTCGTCCAAGGAAATAGTGAACTCGACACTTACATGCAGAAGTACTTAATTATTAACTTATTTTATTTGTGCGTCTTATCCTATTTAACATTTTAAATTTCATTTTCTAGATTGAAAGACATTGCTAAATCGGAGAACAAGCTAGATGAAATCTCTGCCCCTGAAAAATTGTAATTTTCTTTATTATACTTTAACTGGTTTTGTAAAGTTTGTAAAGCTGAATAGTTGACTGCTGAAAATTGATATTTCAGGTTGTGTTTGAAAGAAATAGCAAAAAGAGTAGTACGCCAGTATGTAGTCGCTATAAAAAGAAAAGGGACTCTTCATAATTATATAATGGCCTTCTATACTGAAAAGCTGGTACCGTTGTGGCCTAACGGCTTAATGGACGAATCGACATTATTCAGATATACTAAGGATGTAATCGCTTCGTAAGTAAAATAGAACTTAGTCTTTAAAAAAAATATATATTCCTAAAACCAAACGAAAAATATTAGATGTCTATCCAATGGGCCCAGAAATTGTGTTCCCAAAGCTGCCACTGCTCAAACTTTCTCAATTTGAATTAAATTTTAAGAGAAGTTAGTAAATTGAAAAATATTAGACATATATTGGGATTTGGTGAAATTAGCCTAACTCTTTTTCCCATTTCTTTTCTTCTCTACTATCACGAAAATAACTCAAATCCAACAGTTTTTACACCTAAAATATTATTTTTTATTGGCCCCTGGGATGGAACCTGCAGAACATACCTAGTATTTTTTGGCCTATTCATTGCCAATTGTTGACCCTACAATCTTAGCCTCTTGTAAGAACTAAAAATCTATTTCTGCAGTTTTCACGACTGGGTATCCTTTGACCAGACAAGACTGGTGCAAAATTTTATCGCATAGACCTCATCTCACTATTGTATTTATATTATATAAAATCCAAATTATTTTATTTTTAGAGAAGCAGCAGAATACAAAATTGATTATTTAATGTCGTCTCCAAGCACTGACATAGCAGAATGTAAACTTTTGGACGAATGAGAGACTAGCATTAAATGAAATTTCTGTTGAGAGTTATTCCAGATGTCTACATTTTACTTATACAGTGAGGAAGAAAAAAATGTAGTAGTTATTACAGTGTTAATTGTTAATTAAAAGAAAAATAAATATGTGTGTTTAAGTTTGTTTTCTTTACATTGCGCAACAATTGAGAGTACTTTGGGTGTGAATGCATGATTTTTCCAGTGATGAGTCACTGTTTGACACACTGTTGTTGTTTCAAATGTTAATGAATTACGCCTTGAAATGGTACAATTTAGTGCATTTAGATGTAAATTAAAGTCTCATACTCAAAATATACCCGGTTGGTAGATTAAAATGTTTCTTGCGAATCTGAGAGCCTGCTCTCATTACGACCATCCACTGATGGCAAAATCCAGGATGAGGCCAAAAAAACTTTTTAAATTTTTTTTTATTGCAAGCGGAAACACAATAAATACACAAACATTATTGTCCGAATTGTAGTTTCTGTTTGAAAATACAAAAGTTAACACATTTATATGTATAAATCTTAAGTGNCAAAAGAAAAAAATCAAAATTATCTTAAAAATGGAAACTTTTTAAAGTTTATATTTGTGAATTAATCTTTAAAAAAAGTTACATTTATTTACTCAATTAACAAATTGTGTTAAAATTCAATTTTATTTTTTAAAATGGCATCAACATGTGTACTCAGTTCCGTCTACATGCTCAAGGTAACAAACATACATTAGTCTGAATCAGTCTGAACTAGGACCTTTAAAAAGATTTATCAAGTTGAGTTGTAATTTTCAATTTTTACCTTTATGCAAATTAAAAGTATAAAAGGATTTTTTTTTTTTAAATAACCTGAAGAAAAAATCAAATGGCAAATCATCAATAGATTAATTTTACGAGTCCTATTATTTAGAGAATCAGATATCACAGTGAATTTCAAATATTTACTTATAACATCTAGTCTTACAATCTACTAAATACAGAAAATGCACTTTATTATTATTCTAAGTCCGCATTATGTATAAAAAAATAGTAATAGTAATACAAAACTGTCAAACACAAAAGTCTGAAATTGAAAAGTTAAACGAAAACATAATTTTCATGTAAATTTAGGCAGCACATAGGTCAAGATGATTCAAAATGTATATACATATGTAAATAAGTTAAACATGACTTTTAATCAAGTCAAAATTCAGAAGAGCCGGACGACATAAACAACGAGTCGTTGAGGTTTCGAGTGTTTCCGTAAGAGAATTGCTTTCTTTCTGGCGAGGTTCTCCGCCCAGGACGGACATACTGTGATAACGATTCGCTGATTAAATCATGTGGTGTGTCGAATCCTAAAAATATTTTTAAAAAATTAAATACAAAAATAGTTGTCAAATGAATTTTATGTCGAATTTACCAGCGGGAACCCTGATCGGCCGATTTGGTATTGTGTTGTACAGTCTATATAAGGCAGCGGGTGATTGTTCGGTGAAGAAAAATATAACTGAAAAGTCAAAAGAGCGATTAAGTAATACTTATGATTATTGTTGTGAGAAGATTTAAATAACAGAAAACTTTTAAAATTTATGAAGAAAACATTTGTGATACAGGTTAAGTGGATGACTTTAAATGACATTTTACTATAGCTTGTTGCCGAGAGAAAATTTTTTTTTACCTTTTTTAAATACTGGGAGAGTTTGGAAATTGTTGTGAAGCTTTGAAACATGTTTAATTTTAAATAATTAATGCATTGAAATATAACAAATTTACTATTGATTAAAAATTATAAATAAATAAATTCATTATTATGTGCTTATTTCCCCCTTAAAATATCAAGAAATCAATAAGAAGAAAAAAATAGTATTAGCAGCTATTCTTGGGCTCTCAGAATTTAGTTTTCTTTCACTCCATGAAGAGGGAACATTAATTTTTATGACACCTCAGGCATGCAAGTTTCGTTAAAAAAACATTCAACGATGTCAAAATCAAAAGAACTTTGAAAAGAAAGAAGTTAAATATTTTCTGGAGGATTTCCTGATAAAAACGCACAAAATTTGGCACAATATATAAACAAAGAATTGAATGTAATAGCATAAACATGAATGAAACGTACTAAATAAAATAAGAAGGCGAGAAAATTAACTTTCTGTTGATTCACGTGCTATGATTATCGCGAACCACCGGATTAGCAAATCTAACCAGCAAATTTCCCTTAAATAATACCTAAGCTAAGTGTTGATTACACTGTCAAAAGATTCAAACCGGTGAAGGTTTGGCAAGCGGACAACAGACTGGAAGGCCCCAGATCATGATATCAGCAGAGGATAGGTCCATAATAATTAGCAGCCAGCTATATAGGCTTTACTGCTCCTGCAAACGCTTCAGAAATAAACTCTAATTGAACTGATCCCATCAGTAAAACAATGAAATATAGACTTGTAGATGCTGGACTTCATGGATGCATAGTGGCCAAGAAACCATTATTAAAATCTATTACACGATTGGAATGGGATAAAAAACACGAAAGTGGGACAAATGAAAACTGAGAGTGACGAATAGAAGTTTGAGGTTTCTTTAAATTATGGCAGAGGCCCACTGGGGAATGTTTGTTTTGGCGGTAACAAGGTTGAGAATAATAGCAATACCTAGTTATTCCTAAAAATGAAATGCCATCTGGTGTGAGTATTTTTCGCAAGAAATTTACATTCCAGCACTACAATGAGCCCAAACACACTTCTAAATTTTGTAAAGACTATTTGCAACAATTAATGCAGGAAAACAAGCTGGAAGTATTGGTCACCTGATTTGAATCCTACAGTTACTGTGGAACCAGCTCAACAGAAATATTAAGAACATGTGTCTCTCGAAACAGAAAGAATGGAAGGAAATGTTAACAGAAAAACTAATTCAAAAATCGCCTCAACATTGCAAGGCTGTGATCAAAGGCCTATTGAGGAGTTCAAAATCCGATTTTTTAGGGGCTTCGGTGGCCACAACAGTTTAAGCATTGTCACAGCACTCATCACTATAAGGTAAAGGTCCTGGGTTCGAATCCAGCGGCCCTGTATGGCATTTTTTACAAATAGTTCTGTTCTCTTCCAGATGGTTCATATAACCTCGCAGTTGAAATATCTTAGGAAAAAAGTTATCACCATTTTTTTTTTTTGCGATTTTCAAAAGGTGAAATATTTGAGAATTTTTTCCCCAACAAAAATTTGTATTCAGGGTTTTTTTGGGTTACAAAAAATGGCTGCCAATCTTGTTTCTTGCTACAGAAATAGTTTAAACTACTTTGTTAAGTTGCTCGGTCACAAAACATTGGTTCAAATATGCTTACCCGTGGGTTTTTTTCATGTAAAACTAGATTGAAATTTGTTTGTAGCAAGAAAAAAGTTGATATTTGTTTTCTGCACCTCCAAAATCCCAAGAGTAAAATTTTTATGAGAAAATTAAAAAGCAATTTTTTTCCTTCCAAAAGCCTATTTTTTTTTTTTTTTTTTTTTTTTTTTTTTTACTGAAATCATAAAAATATAGTGGTAACAACTGGTAACTCAACCAATCCACAGGAAACTGTGCAAGGATTTAAAAGCCCACAAACTACATGTAATGGTCCCGAATTGGCCTCCTTTAAATACATTAGAAACGGAGATGTAAAATAAAACTTTTGAGTTTTTATTTTTTTCCGTCCTTATCTTCCTCATTGACAAGGACATAAAATCTAACTCCCGTTTACAAACAACGAAAGAAAAGATATTCAGTTTTCCAATGGTCGTAAATATAATTAAATTTGGTTAAAATACAGAAGAGTTATGAATTTTCAAGAAGAATGCCATTTATCAGAGAGGGAAAAAAAATTCGCCTCCCTCTGATCAAGCCCAAAAATGCATATTTTTTGTTACAAAATTTTGACCTTTAAGATTGCTTAAAACAATCTGATGGTTAAAAAAATGCATTTTAGCTTTTCTTTTTTTTTAAAAGTGTCTTTTGATTTTTGTAAACATGTTATAGATACATTCTGATATTTTAAGGTCTAGTCTCACGAGACTATTTTTTCAGGAGTTACTCTAGATCGAGGGGACAATTGGAAAAATGATAAATAAATAAAAACGTAATACATAATAGAATCACATCCCAAACATAAAGATCATGCTCAAGGTATATCTCTAAAAAATGGGTAGGAACTAAAACCATATAAAAAAATTGAATGATAAAATTTAAATTTTTTTTAAAGAGTTGTACTCACAATAAGAAATACAAAGAGGGGTAAATATAGCTAAGAGCCATAAGCCATAGTACATAATATCCTCGAATCTCTCCTCTGTAGTAATCAGCGGTAAAATAAGCCTTTTTAAAGGATCTTTAATTTGTGGCAGCGTCTGTTCATCCAACTCGTCATCGACTAGAAGAGGAATCTAAAAGGAAAGAAAAAAAGTTTACTTTAGGGAAAAATAGTTTGCTTAATAAAATAGTATTTTGATGCTAAACTACAAAGCAGTTTGTAAATAAAAGAAAATAGTGAAACGCACAGGATTACATTTATAATAATTTCTCATTAGAAACACGCAAGTACAAAAACACTTTACGTCATGAACACAATTTTCTAATTATCTGAATTTATGGTCTTCTTTTTCTTTTTTTATTAAGGATGTTTGTTGTGTTACGTTTAGCCTACGTATAAGACTTAGAACTAATGTCAACAACAAAATCTCGAGTAAAATTGTTATTTTTAAATAAATAATTATGTTAATTGTGAGATTTCGCCATGTCAATGAACTTGAAATTCAGTTGTTACCTTGATAAGTTGTTTTGTCAGTGGCGAACTAATTATTACATAATCGTCTTCATATGTCTTTACTCCTTTCCAGTAGAAGAAATCTATAAAAATTTTATATTCGCACTGTTTTCGAGACATATCACATGTAGGATTTCCAACAATGTACAGCAGTCTGTTATTTACATCGACCTGCAGGGAAAATATGAAATAAATGAAAACCTTTTATTTATTTATTTATTTATTATTAAATGACCTTCAACCACTATGGGTCATTTAGAAAGGAAAACGTTAATAAAATAATAGAAAGGTATGTTGTAAATACAAAATAATATATATAATACAATAATAATTAAAAAAGAAAAAAACTAAGATCTGGCCTTCTGAAGAATGGCATAAAAAATTATGAGTGAAAGTTTTGGGCAATATTGGTGGGCTGCAGATGGCACTCACAGAAGGCTCTGAAGAGAAGAGGAATCGTCCTCACCAGAATAAGAATAGGCCATACGAGGTTGACACACAGATGCTTATGGGCCAAATCACTAGTTTCTGGTATGAAGAGAAAGGTTTTAGTAGAAATACTTAAGGTATGTTTCATAACCAGTGAAAGGTTTGAGGAATGTTGTTTATATTTTATACCTTCTCTTAAGTTTTATTTTTATGTGTAAAAAAAGTTACATTCAAGTTAAAAAATTAGTGACGAAAAAATTGATATGAATCAATCAATATATATCCAATAACTAAAATATATATGCATATATATTTTTTTAAATTAATTAACAATGTTTTTTTGATGTGGGTACCAACAGTTGAAGTCATTTCAGCCTCACCCAAGCTCCTCGTAATGACTAATGGGGTACTCAATATTACACCGTCGGTCCTATGCTGTACATTAATGACACACTCACGATAATTTAATTACTTACAAATATATCATATACAAATAAATATCCGCACATATACATACAATATTTATAAATGAGGAAAAATCCCTGACCCATCATTACCCCCCTAAGTACCATCATTACATTAGGACTCATGCCTACACACTCCCTGTAAGGGGCCAAAACAAGCACTCTTCGATCAGGTGTGGCACACTGAGCAACCTACCACCTCTACAAACAGGACACATGTGCGGGTTTCGACCCAAAAGCAGGTGCCCATGTGTCAAGATTGGCCAATCCTTAATCGTGTTAACATGATACATTCCTTTCGTTTCAGACTCTCATCAACTAATGCTTTTAACTTGCAGGCTTTTATTGTGTTTTTAGGCCAAATTCAGGTGTAATTATTTTTAAAAATTTAAAAATACATCATACAAAAAAATAAATAATTAAAACTTACTGTTATTTGTGACAATACTTCTGGAATTCCAGATATAAAAAGACTCTTTTCATTAACGTCCTTTTCAAAATATATTCTCCGGTGCAATACAAATACACTTGGAACGTAATGTATCAGAAGAGAGTCCGGAGACACAGTTGGATTGTAGTAATTGGCTCGAATACTTATATTTGCCATTATTATGCTAGTATTATACGTAGGCCCCGTCAATGTAAATATTTCACATCCGTAATAACCTGGAAATCAATATTTAATACATGAGCTGTTGTATATTGCACTTTTATAAAGAATATTTTTTTGTCACAATGACAATTTACTGATTAATATGGTCATGCTTTTAGATCTATCAGTATTTCTTTTGTATCAAAATAAGTAACCAAGATAGGACAGTTTGTGAAATATTTTGTTCTTGTAGGGTCGAAAAGGAATTAGTACAGGCTTTAAGAAGACAAGTTAATTGTGAAAAAGTTTTGATCTTAATGTGCTGAATTATAATCTTGAATTAAAAAGAGTATCTCACAGCTAGAGCATAAACTATAAGTTTAAACTGCAGACAAGCCAAATTAATTTGAATTTTTTGACATCTTTCCAACATTTATTAAGTATTTCAGTGATTGATTCTACGTAAGGAGTTCCACAAGGAGACCCAAAGTCGCCACAATTATTTTCAACTTATTTTAAAGCCGACTATAAAAAATAGTTGCTAATGACAAACAATTTACCTGAATTGAAGTCGAATTTTGCTTGAACGGCGAACAGGTGTTCGATAGGATAAGAAGTCTGAAGCGTATTGAATCTTATCTCACACCTAAATGCGAGAAATTTCGGCACTTCAGAATTGACGTTGCAAGGCGTGGGCATGTACTTGACAGGTTCTTCTAGATTTTTAACAGTTCCAAATAATACTGGTACGAAAAATACTTCTCCTTCGACTGAATTTGAAATCACATTCTGTGGTAATGGACCTAGTTGTAGCTGAAAACATGCTTTTTGTATAAATTACAAAACATTATTAAGTATCATAATTAACTAATATTAATACATATAACGACTATATAACAATATAACTTTCACCTTTTCTGTGTAAGAAATACCCACAATTTTAGTTCCTTACTAATATTTTAAATACAAATTTTAAAGGAATATGATAATAATAATTACCATTTCAGTAGGAAATATTTCAACTGGTAAATATGATGATATATATGCCCCAGCTTGAACTGATTTGAATGAAAGAACTGCTGATCCTTGTCTCATAGGAACAGCCAAGCCGTATTCATCAATTTTAACAGTATCACTATCAGAGTGCCAAGTACCATTGAAATTGCCCATCGTTGTGTAACAAACTATCTCATCCAAAGCAAGCGTTTTCTAGAAAAAAAGAAAAAAAAACCAATTGGGCTAATTATACTTTTTATCTAAGAGGAGGGATGCGAACCCAAGAGACCTTCAGCTGGGTTCGAATCCTGCTCGTCACACTAACTTTTTTATCTTAACCAAAACCTTAGATAAAAAGTATAATTAATTGAAATAATTTATAGGACAATTATGACTGAACATATATGATTTAGGTTAATTATAAACAATAAACGGGGTAAGTAAAAAAATTGCTGCTTCCCGTTAAATTTGTTTTGCAGACTGCGCTCTCATTCTACTGTAATGTTATAATTAATTTTTAACCCTTTATATATATATATGGTTTAAAAAATTTTGAGATCATAAAGCATAAAAGTGATGCAGTATGAAATTATGGTTTGAAAATTTACAGCAGCCAAAACTTACACTCTTGATTCAAAACTTCGAAGATTTTAATTTCAAATGAACAGGTTTAGCACTTGAAGGGTTGATATTCAATGCACCATTATCGGTCCTGTCACACTAATAAATACATTCACTACCAACATAAGATGGTGGCATACACAATATTCCTCCATCAACCTTTTCACTTACTAGATAACTAATCTAACTGAGGGTCGGTGGGGAACTCAATATTCCGTTAGTGGCTCTATCACCCTAATAAATACATTCACTCCCAGTGTAGAATGGTTGAGTACTCAATATTCCTCCACCAACCTTCATACATATTATATAACTAATCTAATTGACTGTCTATGAGGTATTCAATATTCTGCTTTCTGCAATACCCCACTGCTTTTACACTAATAAATACGTTCACTCTCAATTATGTTGGAGGACTACTCAATATTCGTTCATATCCCTTTATATAACTAATCTAATTGACTGTCTATGAGGTATTCAATGTTTTGTTAGTGGATCCATCTCACTACACATTCACACTAATAAATAGTTTCACTGTAAATATACACAAAACAAGATATCTACCAAGTGATAGATATAATAAAATAATCGTTTTCACTACAAATCGGAATAGTGGACCCACCCAAATACTCACTTAATTGTAATATCGGGTGGCAATCCAACACGCTTTCTGTAAGGAGCCAAGGAATGACACCCTTCAATTATGTCACATCAAGCAATTGTATATATTTCGCTATTGTATTAATAAATTAATATTACCAAGTAAATTAGCACAAATTAAAGATGGTTTTATTTTATTTGAAATGGTGGTAAACCAGCTCATCATGAATTGGAATAAAATGTCCAAGTTCCTTTCAAGATAGTTAAACATTATATGATAAATAATGTATTTATAAAGATTGGGCACAGTTTTATATATAGAGAGATAAATACAGGTGACAGCAAAAATGACATTTTAGTAAAAATTATAAATTTTTTTTGCTTTATTTTATGATTATATTATATTATTTATATTTATTCTTAATAAAGACAATTGCTATAATAAAATAATATTAATTTTAATTAAAATGTACATTTTTAAACTCACCCTTATATACATAAAAGATTTAAAAGAAAAAGTTACCTTTGAAGGAAATATATGATTTCTCACTGGTAATTTTATATAGTCCTCAAAACCACCAATTATATCGTAAATTCTTAATGTCGTGTTTCCCTCTTTTTCTAAAGTTATTTCTAATTCATCTTTTCCATGAGGAGAAATATTAGTCTAAAAGCAAAAATTTTAATATCAAACATTTGGAAATTAATCATTTAATATTTCATCAACAGCTGGGGCTAATTAATGTTAAATAATATTACCTTATCAAAGACATTGAACTGTGCATCTATTTGAGTAGGAGCTGCATAAAATGGGGTACCGAACTGGTCGTGATATGTCACTGACAGTTTAAGATAAAGCCCTTGAGGCAGTGAGTGCAAAAGTACATTTGGAGACAGAATTTTATTCTGTATATTCAGCATTATATAATGAACTGGTCTTATCTAAAAAACATAAAATAAAATAAATAAAAATAAATAAATAAAAAGTACAATTATAACAAACAGCTATAACATAACTTTAAATTATGATTGACGGCGAGCTACACAATTATTTAACCTCAACTTAATAAAAAAGCATCAAGGATTGAACCCATAGTTTTAGGATATAGCAGGATAAGGACAGACTTATAGAATTTTTTCTGTCAAATTGACCCTTTTTAACTTCAGATTAACCATTTTTTGAAGTATTAAAAAACTTTGGAGATGGTATGAAATACAGTAAAACCTTCATTATCTAGGATCCGATTATCCTGGCTCCGAATCTTATGCTGAAATTCTGGAACTACCCACTAAACCCTTCTCCATTTATGGACATCATTCTTGAACGACACATCTCTTCTGGAAAAACCCCGCTTTCGAAGCTGGGTGTAGGGTATTGGGGTATTTTTACCTCATTACTGTGAAGACCAGTTTTTGATTTGACCTTTTGTAAATGTTTTACGATTTTTTTAAGAAAAAAAAATTAAACAAAATGTTTTCGTTAGCTATATATAAAATATGTGCGTTTCTTAGTGACCTGTTGTTTTATTATTTGTTGAAGTCGTGAGGAGTGGTCAAGAATGAGGTAGTTTGGTAAATAATGGGTAATAATTTACCTTTTGGTAAATAATGGGTAATGCTTCAGCCACATTATCCTCTCAAGATTATATTGACGGGGATAATTAGGAAAAAGGAATCCAAATTGTTGTAGAATTAGACTATGTAGGAATATTGGATGTGAGGAATGTAATGATTGTTTTATATGTTATATTATATGTTTTGTGTGATGTGATGATATATGTATGTTATCGATACTGAATTTGATTAATGATTTTAGCGTAGCTGTGACTGAGTTTATATGTGTCCGTTCTGCAACTGATGCTGTGTTTATCTCTGTTGATGTAAACCTTTTCTAAAAAGTTACATTTATGTTTGTTTTATTCTGCGTGTAACATTTTTGGATTGTTGAAGTCGAAATTGAGTTGTTCAAAATGGTGGGTAGCCAGTGCTGTAGGATTTTGTTTGCGTTTTTTGCAGTAATAGATATGTTGCATTGCTCTCTTATCCAGAAGTTGGGATGTAATTCCGATGTAAGCTGCCGGGCAGTGTAAACAATTGACAAAATCAATTGTTTAAATTTTTCATAAAACTAAACATTCAAATAAATATTTGAGCACTGAAATTCTTACCATAACATTTAGTGATATTATCTGTAATTCTCCAAGATAATCTTTGTACGAAGCCACAATGACGCTATTTCCTTTTTGACTATTAACATGGACTCTTCCGCTAAATGAATCCACTAAGGAAACTCCATAATTCTCTGCCCTAAACTCTCTGGAAGTGACACTTCTGTGTGAGCTATTGCTCAGATTGATAATTCTGTAATTAATGGGTCCTTCCTAAAAATTAAAAAAAAAATTAGTTATAGTTAAAAGTTTTATTGTAGATTTTGTTACTTACCAAATCTCGGTTAGTTTTGATGTTAAATTGTGAATCAGGAGCCACTATTATAGAAGGGATGCTTACAAAATTCGGGTTCTCCCAGTGGAAACTGCTAAGTACTTGGATTTCAATTGTCGAATTGAGTACTATAAAAGAGCCGTCCCAGCTATGACCGGATACTGCAACGTGTATGTGACTGTGTCCGGGTTTAAGAGCCTTGACTCTCATAGATAAACTGTTGTCATGATCCAACTGAGAGAACAAATTTAAAATGTTACAAACTATTTTTTATAGTCATGTTTAATCACTCACCTTTAAATTAGCATCCTGAAAAACATTATAGATCTGCAGTACGCTTGGCAAACTTACACTCCATTGAAAATGTAATGGTGGATTAATAGAGCCGATGACAAAAGGCGTGAGTTGGCTTGGTACACCCGTGACCCATACAGGCATCACATTGCCAACTAACAGATTGCTTACAGGTGCAATCAAACGAATCCCTGACAAAGGTATTACACTAACTTCAATACTGTCTTCACTGAAGATTTCACTCAAAGCATTAAATGCCATAGCTTTTACTTGAGTCTTCCCTTTAAAAAGTTAACAAAAAATTAATAATTTAACTTAAAAAAAAAAAAAAATATTTGGTTTATTACTTACCTATATGTAATCCTTTGATAACACCAACATTATCAACTGAAACAATGTAATTGTCTATTACGCTAAACTGTATGTCACGTGAAGGGTGGGATGGTCCTCCGGTGACGGAGATTTGTATTTCAGCACCAACACAAAGCACTAGAGACTGAGGGCTGATTTTGACAGAAGGGAACACCTAAATTATACATTGAAAATTAATAATTCATAATTTGATAATTGGTCGAAAAATGAACAATTAACAACCTGCACTATATGAGACTCGCTAAACAAATCCAAACATTTAGCGACAAGTGTCGATTCTCCATGGTTTAAGGATTTTAGCTTAAACATGATTGAACCAGCTGAATAATCAATTTCACCAGTTTCCACTCCTTCAAGTTTAATAATATTCGGCGAGGAAATAGAAAGGTGGGTTACTAATTCCACCATGGTAGTTGGAGGAAAAGTCAACCGTTCGTTGTCTTTCCCATGGAAGGAAACGGTTGCTGTAAAAATTGTGTCTTTCACAACTTTTTCTACTACTTCAAGTTTTATCATTTTGAGTTCTACGATCTGAGAAAAAATCACAAAACAAAAATGTAAGCATTAACTAAATTTATCCGGGATTTCATTTTTTAATAGTGTTACATAACAAAAACACAAGTCTATAAAGTTTTTAGAATGTTAGATGTATCAAATACTTTTTTTATTCGTGAATAAATAGGATCTGAATGGGAAAAGAATCAAATGTTATCAGTCAAGATTTTGATTAATTTTAGGGCTACCATCAGGATTAAACAATTTTAAAGATGTCCACAAATTGTCATAATTAAATTTTTATAAATGGGTTCAAGTTTCTTTGTAGACTTAGCCCCAACATTGCCAAGGACTGTGATTGAACCATTTATAAAAATTTAATTATGTCAATTTGTAGACATATTGTTTTGCCCTGATGATGTACTTAAAGTAGGGAGAAAGCTTGGCAGATAATTGAATTTGTTATTTTTCATCCAGACCATACTGAGATCAAGAGTATTCATGAAAAACATAAACAAAGGATTGGGCTAGACCTTGCCCTTCGGAAATGAAAACCGGGTATCACTGAGCTTGATTCGACACAGCAAAATCTTACAAAAAGGAATTTTTGGACTTGAACTTTAGAGGAGTGGATGGTCGAATCAAGCTCCGAATATCCTACTTTTCATATGGAAAAGTAGGACAAGGTCTAGCCCAGTGTGCTGTTTATGTTTTTGTTATGTAACAATATAAAATATATTTACACTATACCTTTATATCTACTAGTGCTGAAGTATTTAAAATGCAATTGTCTTTTACAGACAAAACTGCACTGCCTTCTTGTATCGGTTTAACTTCAATCATGTTTCCATGCTTTGTATACGATATCAATCCCTTTGGACTCACAGCGATGTCAATATGACCAGATCCATTTGAAATGTTGATCTCAGCTCTCACATTTGGATGAGTGAAAAGAGAAATCGTTTGGGGATCTGTAGTGATTTGGTGTACAATTTTTACAGGAAGTTTACCAACCAATACGGGAATAGTTTTCAGTAAATTTTCGTAATCATCGTATATTTTATTTAAAAAATTCACAGCACTCTTTTGAAAGCCGACGAGCTTTGTTCTTAGCTCCGTCTGTCCAGTCTTATTTTTAGTTAGAAGCATTTTGTAGTGACCATTGGGTATCGCAACATCTGGATACATTGACACTTCATGAAGTTGGATAGGTGATTTCTTCTCAATACTTATCAAATCAGCTTTATCGGGAATCCATTCAAACAACAAGCTCGTGGCATTATCAAAATCATTCCCTTTATCATCTTTCAAAATAACGTTCCACTCGTATTTTGATGATATTTGGCAAAATACAAAATTTGTACTTGCGAGTGAGCAAGTGGAAGGCAATGATGGTTCTAGGCTTATTATCCTCGGATGAGCACATATCACTGTAACGTAAGCTTCCACAATAACACCTTTGCACAATTTCAACACTGGTTCTGACTTCAATTCCAACTTAAAAGTAGTTTCTCCAAGATTAACGCACATTACAGAAAAAATATACAATTGATGCCTTTCTATTATGTCGTGATGTGTTAACAACTGTTTACTGTATTTTATTGAAGGTATAACCCTTCCAAAATTATGGTTAGGTCCATTTTGAAATACTATAGGGCTTGATGAACCTAAAGCTAGGACAACGGGTTTTCCTTCTTTTGGATAATTTACAGTCAAAGGTTCAAAAGCTGATATAAGCGTACTGGAAGTTAATTCAATGCCATTGATTCTAAGAGATACTCTTAACTTAGATACACCTGGCTGTTTGCCAACTATCGACAAAACGGTGCAAGCGTTTTTCACCTTTGGCTTTTGTTTCAAGGAATTGTCATAATAGAAATTATCAGCTACTTCGACTTTATAAGCGAAATGGTCACAGTAGTCAAGAGGTGTCAATGTACCTTCATAATGACCGCTGAGGGAAATATGAATGTAAACTGGACTTCCGACAACGACCTCATTGATATAAGGTATGATTTCCATGGCGATCGGCTCCACGACATACAGCTTCGCTTGTGTAAATTTTGTAGGGTCCACCGTCATGCTTACTGTCACACAAGTCGTTCCGATACCTCTAGTTTCCACTACACCATTTTCCAAAACAGTTGCCACAGAAGAGGCCCCTGTTTTCCAAGTATAAACTCCATCCCCTCCAGAAGCGACATAACTGACTTTCAACCTAAAAATAAAAATGCATTTTAGTTACACAGAGGTAAGTCTTAATTGACTAGCAATCTGACCTTGGCATTGTAGGATTCCAAGGAACAAACAACACTTCTGGAAATAATGTGAGGCGAGGAAATACATTAAGAGTTACGGAGGTGGTCAAATTATGTCTAGGCCCTATTTCAGAGAATCCGATCGAAAGTGGGTTGACTGCTGCTTTAACGCTGTCATAACCAGAATCGCCCCCATAACCATACACCACAGATCCATTTTTTGACCTCCTCTCTATGTGAAATAACTTGGGTGGGACTGTTATCATTATCTCTACATTTGGTCCCAAATGAATTCGGTGATGATCTCTGTAAAAATGGCCTAATTATGCTATACTCTCTTACAGGGGGGGGGGGAAAGTAAAACATTGTCTATATTTACCTTGTAAATAACTCAGCAGTTATCACTGCATAACTACCAGTGACTAACATCCAGTTATCAATTGGATACATAACTAGATTAATGTGAAAAGGTTCACAAATTGTAAGTTGAGAGGAGGGCAATTTTGGCGTATCTATTTCAGAATTTTTCTCTTGCAATGAAATTTTAACTACACCCAAATCAGTCCCTGTTACTGTGAATTCTCTTATTTCTACTAAATTATCACTGTCTCCTTGAATTTCATATTGGCTACTCACACTCGGATCAACTTCTATTAATCTACTTTGTTTAACCTGAATAACAAAAAATATTTATTGCTTTGTTTAATTATTATTATTATGATCTTAGAAGAGTAGTAGTTAAAAATGCTTACCTGCAAAAGGCGATAGGTAATTGTATCACCTTTCAATATAAACGATTCAACAGGCTCAAGAATAAGGTTGACAATAACAACTAATGACACCTCTACCAATTTTACATGACTGTATTCAGGATATGGTAAATGCACTGAAACCTAAAAGTAAATTCATTTCAACATTCATATAAAAAAATAAAAATAAAATAAAACAATTCACTATTAAAAACATCTATGAACAGTGTATGTGAACATTAAACATTCCTACTGTATTTTTTACGAGGTTATATGAATCCTTGGGGTGACGGGGTTTTGGAAAACAAGTCCATTTGCAAGTATGCCAGATTCGAATGTTGGCTGCTGAATGGGTAAATTAAAAACATATGATGATTGGATTTTTTTTCAACTATGGAAAGTTGGAAATTAAAAATACATACAATTTAACTATATATAAAAGTGAATGTTTGTTTTAAAGATTAAAACGAAAACTACTGAACCAATTTTGGTGAAGCTTTCACACTTTTATTAGTGCCGAGTGGGGGTTAGAGACTATAAAATGAGCATATAACAAATAATGGGCATCAGGATTTACAAAAAAGAGAAATAACACTTTTTATTATCCCCCTGGCAAAACCGGGTTATAAAGCTAGTATTCTTTTTTGAAGGATTCTTCATTAAATTTAAAAAATTGTGGTTTTTATAGCACAATTTTTTACATTTTTCTAAAATTTCGAATTAATTCTTTTTTTTCAAATGTAGGAATTTTACTTTACGATGTTTTAAAGAAAGGGTAGAGTTGAAATTAAAAATGGTTAACTTGAAATTAAAAAGGGTGAAGTTATAAAGGGTTAATTTGTCAGGAAAGTGGGTAAATATAAAAATAAATGATATTTTTAAAAATATATAAAAGAATTGGGCTATTAGATGACATGAAAATTAATTACAATTAAAAATTCTATAAAATTAAAGGATTTTTCAAATTTAATAAATTGTGGGTTTTAAAAGCCCAATTATTTTATATTAAAAAATCTCAAATTAAAAGAAATATCATTTGTCTTTAGATTTAATTTGGTAGCATTTAATTTTGAATTAAAGTTAAAAATAGTTTAATAAATTCATTCAAAATTTCCTTAAGTTTTTTTATTATTTATTATTAATCTTTCCACTTTACCAATCTGTCACTCACGTTTTTTTCCTTTCCTCTATCAATTTTTTCATCTTTGAAAAAGTAATTAAAGAAGCAATTACACCACTAAAAAGGATATTAAATGGAGTACATTTTATAATATTTGCTGGTCTCAGGTTTGGAAATAGTAGTTTAGAACCACCATAGCAATTTTTCAACTTTGAATATTATATAATTTCAAAGTTCTGGCTACTAAAATACTCATTTCACCAACATTTACATGTTTAGTATTTACCACATCTTATTGGAAATTTACTGTAGTTTTCAATGGTATCAACGGATTTGTCCAAAACCATTTAGTTTTGGAGTTATCATTGTTTATTTGAAGCAAGGTCGTGAAATCTTAACAAAATCAGAAAAATGGGAATAACTCTGAAACTGTTATAATTCAAATCATAGTTAATTAGGACATTTTGGTTCCATTTTGAATATAGAATCTACTGGCAAAGTTTGTAACACAAGTAAACTTAAAGGACTTTTTAATATGATAAATCGTGGGTTTTAGCCCAATTATTTTATATATTAACAAAAAAAATAATTAAAAAAAATTCAAAGAAAAATAATTTTCTTTATATTTATTTTTTTTATAATTTTTATGCTTAATTAATTTTCATGTGGTCTATTAAAATAACATTTATAATTATTTATTTAAGATGGAAAATTTTTACTTAATGTCCTTATATTTTGTACCATCTCCTAGGTCATTTTGACATTTTAAAGAAAGAGTTAATTTGGTGAAAAAAAAGGTTTAATTTCAAATCAAAAAGGGGTAATTTAATGAGAAAATTGATGAACATAAAAATAAATGTATAAGAATGTTATACAATTTATAATATAAAATTTGGCTCTTAGACCACACGAAAATGAATTATAATTACATTTAAAAATTATATAAAATTAAAGGATTCTTTTAATTAGAGAAATCATGATTTTTAAAAGCCCAATTAAAAAATTCAAATTAAAAGAAAAAATGTTTTTATATTCAATTTTATATCATTTTTAAGTTTAATTAATTTTAATATGGACAATTTTTTAAAAATGCAGGAATTTTACTTTAAGTGTTTATATTTCACACCATTTTTTTTTTTTTTTTTTTTTTACGATGGTTCGTAACTGCAGAGGTCATATAAACCCTCAGGGTGCCGGTGTTTTTGAAAATTCACACCATCTTCTAGATTTTTTTTATGTTTTAAAGAAAGGGTAAACTTTAGGGATAAAAAATTTAATTTGACGGAAAAAGGGTATAAGACTGAAATATAGTCCAAATTGCTTTGTGACAATGAATTAAACATAAATTGAATATCACATCAACTGCTAATAAAGTTCAGAAAAATAAGACCATAGTGGAAAAACAAAGCCAAATAATTAAAAATGAATAATATTTTGTTTCAAAATTACATTAAGCACCATAAAACAATACCGAAATTGTGTCCTTTCAAAAATAACACATTATCATTTATATTTGAATCTTGTCCTGTCAAATTTGAAAAGTAATTCAGACGCTACTACATACCCTTGCACTACCTGTTGTGACTCCTTCAATGAGAACAATATGACCTTGCTGTTTGTCTTTCTCAAAATTGACTATTGTGCTTGGTGTTTCGTATAGAGAGTCGCGGAATGTTATGAATTTCAGTACAGGTTGATGGTCCACAGCCATTCCTTCTATATTCCATTTAAACTCAACTCCCTTAAGGGTGGTGAATTCGTTACCTTTGAAATGAAAAATAAGTCAAACATATATATTTGTATCTTATTGAGTTGTAGAATGGACATCTTGATTTTAATTATACTATAAATTTTCTAAAGTTTTCTTAAGTGAAAATATACATACCTTGGTCGTCATAAGCACGGACTTCAAACATTTCTGGAGGTTCTTCCATATAGAGTTCCCTTGTTGTAGTGACTATGTTTAAAGAATGTATAACGTCAATGATAACGTCCGCTCGAAGGACTTCATTAGTGTCAACTTCCTCAGCTAACACGATTGCAGTGTTTCTCATTAACTCAGTCGTTTTAACAATTACCGTCGCGTTGACAGAGCAGTCGCCATGAGGATCTTCAAGGACAACTTGAATCAAATCTGATCGAGAAGTAGACCTGAAACCAACACCTGGCTTTTAGTCTGTGAACTTTTTCTTCTAGTTCTTTAAGGTTTCAACTATGGGTCATATCAGCCTCTGGGGTGACCATTTTTAAGTATGTTGGGAGATTCAAACCCAGGAACTTAGTTATATATGTTTTTCTACAAATAACTGATAATTTAAGCTAAGTTGCTGCTAAGTTCAAAAAATACAACGTAAATGCATACTTGATATTTGAAATCCTCGCAAATATAAAGTACACTAAAAGGAAGGATAAACAAATGGTGATAGCCTGGGTAGCTCCCGTAGATCTAGAACTTAGACAAAAATTGAATAGACTAGCAAAAGATGCTGCAAGAAAAAATAACTTCTCTATACCCTGTGAATAGAATTTTGAGTCTCTATTTATTATTAAAAAATTCTGTAAAAGCATTTTCTAATGACTTTGGATCAATAAATTGTAAATGTTGTCCAGGTGTCTGAAACAATGGTAGTCGGTAGGCGAGAGGTCTGGGGAATAAGGAGGGTGAAGTAAAACCTCATAACTAAGATCCAACAGTTTTCATGTTGTCATATAAGACATGGGGCCGAGTGTTGTCGTGTAACAGATCGGCCTTTTCTGATTAACCGACGACGGTTTCACCAATTGTTGGCCAGAAGCCTTTTTCTGAGTCATTGCTTCAATTTGATAGCAATACATTTAAGCATTGAATGTTTCACCACGATTCAAGAAGCAGTACAAAATCAACCCAACTGAAGCCGACACCAAGGTGTCTAGAACAACTGTTATCATAGAGAATCCACTTTTCATGAAACATAACAATTCTATCCAGAAAAGGTTTGTTTCTGTTTTGGCGAAGAAGTGTTGCACAAACATCATAACGATGATTTTTTTTGGCAGTCGTTTAATTCATGACCATATGGATATGTGGGATTTACAAGTGAATCTAAGAAAATCCAAAATCGTGATATTTAGGAATGGAGGAAGACCAGCCAGAAGTGAGAAATGGTCTATTGAAGATGGCAATGCCGAAACGCATTTGAACAACTCAACAAGCCCGTGAGTGAAGACAGACCTGATAGTGACTCTACGCTCGTATGACTAGCAAACCAATACAACCGAAACCAGTAGGGTTCAGAGGCTTTTGTTTTTATCATTGGGGGGGGGATAAAAATTCCAGGAGCGACGGTGAGGATCGAACCCATGACAAGCTAACCACTCGGCTAACATGATCTTTCATGCTACAAATAAAATATAAAGTTGTTACTTCTGCATACTATATATAATATACATAGCATTTTAGCAGAATGTAAGAAAATCCTCAAAAAGGAGCATTTTCATCGATGCAGTTATGAAAAATGTGCTTGGCAAATGATGACAGCCGATAAAAATTATTTTTCAATACAATTTTTTTTTAAATGTTAATCACAGAACTGGGTCAAACGTATTGAAACAAAACGTTAATTTTAACAATTGTTGAGTGAAAAATTCAAGTTTTAGAGAATTTTGAGATAGCAGAAAGAGGTTGCTGGTCGCCCAATGGAAGTGGTCGTGATAACGTTCCCCTATCTAATTTGGACGGAGAGCGAAACGAAACGGACCCACAAGGTGAAAATCTCAGGAGATGCGAGACAAAGAGACGGCGTTATATTAAATTAAGGAAATAAATGCTAAACAAGAGTTTGTACCATCTGTAACAGCCGATGCCGGGTGTCACTTCCAGAGTGTAGCTGGTGGAAATCTCACGGAATATCGGCAGTAATATTCTTGGCACGTTCAGCTTGGACTTGGCCTCGGCCAACGAATAAAGGCAGACGGCGAGGAGAGTCAATATTTTCAGAGGCCGCCACATTTTTATTTTTGGAGGATCAAAAGACTAGACGTTCATCATGTTAAACACGTTTTATCGTCGAGCCTTCCCACCGGCACGCATGGAGGCAAACAACCAGTAGGCAACAACATTCCCTCCTACTGATAGCAAAGCTATCAACATAACCCACCTTTTATTATTTTTCCCTTCATTGTACCTTTTCCCCTGATCAGCATTTTTTTAAAAACTTTTTCATTATTTTTGAACATTTTCATGTAAATAATTCATCTTCTTTAAAATTACAACAACAAAAAAAAACTTAAAATGCGTGCACACTGTTTGGCGAAGAAGAAACATTTCTTGGTGAATTCAGTTTGGGGGCGACAAAAACGTCTGCCAAGCGAGTGAGCAGTGTAGATAGCTTCCTCAAATTTTGTATTATCAAATTTGTATTGTATTATTTTATTTTTTATTAAATAAATTATTATTTTATTAAATTTTTTATTATTTATTGTATTATTTTTATTTGTATTGTATTATCAAATTTTGCGCAGGCGTATGTGTTAATCTAATTGGTATAAAATTCATAGGGGATCATCTAGAAAGCAACGCGCATAATATCTGAAATTTTCATAAGTATCCGATGAATGGTTTCGGAGGTACAGCTGTATACGTGATTTTACGTTTGTGCGTACGCAGGCATGTGTTGGTCCGATTAGTATAAAATTCATAAGAGATCATCTAGATAGCGACTCGCATAATCTCTGAAAATTTCATAATAATCCGACAAGTAATTTAGAAGGTATAGCTGTGTGCGTGATTTTACGTTTGTGCGTACGCAGGCGACACCATTGTCCATTCGATTCGATGAAATTCAGAGGGGACTGTCTAGAAATCAACCCTCACAATCTAAAAATTTCTTAAAAATTGGCCTCAAAGTTCCGGAGTTTTGCCAGTTATGAGGAATTGACCACAGACAGAGATGGAAAAAAATGGTCTGAAACGCGAAATGCGATTGGAAAATTTCGTTTTGGAGGAGTACACATTAAAGTAGAACAATGGAGAATAATATATAATAAAATTGTTCATGAAGTTCTGGAACGCAAAATGGGAGCGGGTATTGTAATTTTGTAGAAGAAAACATTTTCCGATTTCCTACATGAATCAAGGCTTCCCTACCTCCGACAGTAGCGAAGCAATACAGGACACCTTCGGTTTTTCTCTAAAGGGCATGCTAAAATTAATGATGTAGTTTTATTTATTCCTAGTTGCATAATCAATCTTAAAAACTACCCATCAAGGATTATAAAATAATATAGTAATGACTTTGAGTACAGATATTCTCATTCCACTTGGTGTGAAGCCCTCGGGTTCACTCGCTACTCTGGAAACTTAAAATAGTTTCATTTTACCTACTAACTGATCCTAAAATCCCACATAACCGACAGATACTTTTAAGTCATCATCCGCCATCCTACTAGGTAGTGGGTAGTAGGGTACGCCTACCTCTATTGAAAAACTATCTATGGGGATGATACCCGTGCTATCAACGTACTATGTTCAAACATCAGTAGCTCAAAGATGGCGCTGAATAGGAAAATTAAACTAAATAGATTAAGTATGCAAAATAAAGTCACCCTCTGCTGTCCTAGGAAATGTGAGCTACCAATCTCAACCATAGACAAAAGGACAAAATGAAAATGAGGAAAGGTGGAATCACTCATTTGACATAAACAATCCAAGAAACTTCTAGCAAATTTCAGAAGCAAAGAAACAACAGAAGGCATCAAAGCAAGGAGGAAAAAACTTCGAATATTAACAGGATTCTTAACAGGGCACTGCAGACTGAATGGGCATCTGTAGAAGTTTGGCATAACACAACACGTCACGTGCAGGTTCTGCAAAGAAGCAGGGGAGACACTAACACACCTATTAACAAACTGTGGCGCCACATTTGCCCATAGGAGAGAGTGTTTTGGGATGTATAACGTAAGCGTAGAAGAAATTCAACCAATTAGACCCGGGCCTAATAATCGTTTGTTGATGAACCGGTGTGCTATAAGCACAGATTGGGAGATACAATAGCTCTTAAAGGGCGCAGTACGTTAACAATTTGATACAGCTACATCTACATGATATCGGCACCCTTTGCCTTCGTAAAGAATCATCTCAACCAGAAAAGAATTATACACAACATCCTTTGATGGTTCTAGCGTTAAAATGACAACAAACGTACAAAAATGTGAACGTGTTTAGTGAAGAAGCCAATTATTTTCAAACTTTTTGCAATAATTTTGTCACTTTTTGATCCATTTAAAATCCAATTGCACCATTGTTTTCAACGTAAAAAAATCCTTTAAAATGATGTGTCAGGATGTATAGGTCATATTTGAAATTTTGAAGTTGAACTGGGCCTAAGGTACTCTGTATAATTTTTCACCAAAAAAGATAAAAGTTTGAAACTAGACTATAAAATATGAAACACTTATTTCTGGTTTTTTGATATTGTCATTGGTTCAAGAGAATTTCAACCGGGCCATCTAAAAAGGACCCAGTATATACACTGACAGGCAAAAAATTCCACTCAATTGATTTTTTCATTTTCTCGATAAAAGAAAACTTTGCCCTTAATTTGTCTCATTGTTCTTACCAATAAATATTTATTTATTCGATGCTTTAAATTGGGATTATCAATTAGAGGTAAATACACTTAGTCCTTAATCCAAAACAAGGATGAAGGATTTTTCAATGTTTACCTTTTACGGACTTTAAAATGTTTATTCAGTCTCATTTGGATTCTGAAGCAATAAACTGTTTAGTTTTCTTAATTTCAATTTTTAAACTTGAAATTGCCCCTTAGTGATGAGGATGTTGCGCGTGGTTTGGCACTTATTGATGATGGACGTTCCATCCATGCGGCCATTGCCATCGGAGTTCCATTCGAAACTCTACGAGACGCCGTTCGACGTTTTTGAGAAACTAACCTACCATAGAAGACCCGGTTCTGGACGCCCTAAGGTAACAGGACAACAGGATGACAGTTTTTTGACTTAGAGAATTTTACGAAACCGGTACCTAACTGTTGTTCAAGCGATTCATCAGCTCCAGGAAGTTCGAGGTGTCCAATTTCTGAACGGACTGCTCGAAAAAGATTAAATCAGTATGGACTGATGGCTATTCGCCCCGTAAGAGGACCAGAATTGACCAGAACACACAGAGTTGCACGACTCGCATATGCTCGAGAACACAGCCATTGGTCTTTGGACGATTGATCTGCTGTACTTTCTATGATCTTCAGATGGGCGTGAAAGATGGAGTAGGCGAAATGAAAGTTACGAAGCCTGTAATTTTTCCCAGAGCCAACCTTTTCAACGTAGCTCAATGATGGTGTGGGCGGGAATTACAATGGAGAGTAGCACAGGGTTAGTTGTCCTTCGTGGAGGGTTTTTGACGGCCACTCGCTATGTGGATGAAATTTTGGAACATCACGCGTTGCCTATCCTTGATGAAATCAGCGACAATTCTATGCTAATGCACGATAATGCCCGTCCTCATGTCGCTCGCATAGTACAAAAGTACCTTCCAAAGTATCAAATCAGGTCTTAGCCTGGCCAGCCCGTTCTCCAGACTTGAACCCCATCGAACATTTATGGGATAACCTCAAAAGACGAATAAGAGCACGTCCATCACTTCTTGATACACTCCACGATCTTGAAAGGTCTCTTCGTGAATAATGGGCTAACTTCCAGCAAAGAGACATTTCCAGACTGGTAGAAAGTATGCCGGGGCGTCTTCGAGATGTAATTAAGGGAAGAGTAGAAAATACGCGATATTGAAATGTTAATTAAAAATGTAAAACAAAATTTAAGCAAATTTTATCTGTCCCTCTTTTTTCTCATTTTTCATTTCCTTAGGATTTACATTTGTTTCTTTTGTAGACAAAGACTCAATTATTCAAAGATAAAAAACGTGAAACTTTGATTAATATATAAAAATACATACAAATCAGTTATATTACAACATGTTTTGCCTGCCAGTGTACATAAAATTTTTGTGGAATTGTAGTATTGTTGCAGTGGATGCAACGACTTATGAACCCGTTACATTTCCTTCGCATTCTATGAGATTCCATCTTGGGATCTGCGAGGTGATGAACGTATAGGTTGATCTCGGTCATTCTTGCCCCTTTTTGTAATTGAACGATTATGATTCTGTCAGAGAGAGTTGGCTAAATAAAAATTCATAACAACAAATGACAAAATGAAAACAATTCCTCGTGAATTTTGTCAAGACGAAAATAATCGTAGAAAAATCTACAATTCCGTTCACGCCTGGCATACTGAATAAGTCACATTTAAAAAAACCGTTACGGAACGGGGCGGCGTAGGTGCTGCAATTTCACCTGCACTCTGCCAAAAAGTGGAACACAGTTTCTAACAATTCTCTAGACAAGAAAGACAATTTGCAAAATCTTTATCGTAAATCTTTCCGGCTACTAAATCCGTGAAACCCATGAATATCAGACCAAGGCTGTTTTCTTCACGCGGTCTGAGGCGTAACGTACCTATCGTTTCAGATCATTTTGGTCCGCCTACCCTCGCTGTTCCGAGTCTCAAGCTTCAATGTAGCATATCAACTATTGTATTGTACTTTAAATTAATAAACATATTTTTATTCTATTCCAAAATGAAGAAAGTTTTTCTGTTTTCTAGATCCGGCTACGTTGTCGAATTGAAAAATCGATGTAAATACTATGTTAGTAGAGTAGGTCGCTTGCAAATGTTTTTGTATGAATTTATTGCCAACATTTGGCCAAATATTCTCAGGCTAGATCACAAGAGCCTCAAATTTGTTTAAAATTATAATATTCTTTTAACACATATGTAAATTCAATCACAATTTCCATAAAAATGACTTCAGCTTAATTAGTTTGACGGTTAGGTCTTATCATCTGGGACTTGGATTTTAATGGTCAATAAACATTAAAGAAAAGTCTTGCTCGGAGTGACGGTGAGAGGCACGGAGGGGAACTAAGTGTGTCAAGCCCCCGGATGAAGGTCGACCTACTGACCATGGACTTGACTCCTATCAACATCAGTACACTTTCTGCACTCAGCCATGAACCGTCTGCTCCTCTTCTTCGCCTCCTTGGCCACCCCTATGATCGCAACGTCAATCTCTTCTGGTAGGCGATTTTTACAAACTTGTTAAAGATTAATTAGTAAATTTTAATTACATAAATTATTGTTAAAACCTGACGTTTGGGAAGAGTTCAAAGGTTCATGCTTGTCGTTTTGGTTTCGACTTTTTCGACTATAAAGAAAATTAGCTTTAATATTTTGTCGTGCAAATCGAACAACGGCTACTACATATTTCTAACATGTACATAATAATATATATATATATTCTGACACTCAAGCCCTGCACCCGGAGGATGTTAAGAGTATCCTGACTTGGGCTGGATATAAGGGATTAAGGAGCGAATTCTAGAGGTCATAGTAGTTTATGGAGACATGGCGGGTTCTAAATATAGGAAAGTGTAAAAGAGGCTTTGGCAGTATTGTTAAAATGGATCGAAAACTTAGTGTGGTACTTCTGGAAGCGATATCGGATCACCTCAGTCAAAAGTAATGTCGAAGCCATTCCGTATCGTAAAGTAAGTGACTGGTAAGGAGTTTTGACAAATTCTCCGAGGACTTTTGATCGGAAGGAGCAATAAATATGGAAAGGCTTGACGGAACCCACCCGTTCTAGTCTGTGTGTCGAAAATTGTATTAGTAATGTCTTGTTTGGAGTTGAGCTTTGACGGTTAAAAAAAAGATCTCTGTCCTAAAAGTCATGGTAATTGTCCAAGTCTTTTATCCTAGGCAGTCTGCTGTCTAGGTATCGTTACAAGTATCTGACTCAAGTGGAAGTTGGTAGCTCTTTGTCGATGTACAGTGGAGGACTGTTTTTTCAATGTGAAAAACATTGGACCGGGTTTGACAAGGTCAATGTTTTGGATACCACCAAGAAGTGCCAATACGAGGTATCGAAGTTATCGTCCTGTAAGTGTACAGGAAAGTTAGTATAAATAATATAAAGTGTCGGACGTAAAATGCTCCCTTGTGGGACGCCGGCTTGTATCCGTCTGATATTTGAGTACTCGTTGGCTTAATCGTTTCCAGGTCTGGAGAGGCAAGGGGAAGAAGTCCAGGGATCACGGCCGAGCGAATTCGACCTGTCGAGACCGTGTACATGCCACGGAGTAAAGTGCGAATGTTGTGTTGACTTCAATATGACCTATGTCGATTTAGGAGGACCAGGTAAAAAAAATCACTTTCCCTTCTTCACTAATGTCTTTTGATCAAATGTACAAACGCTTACTTCGACGAAAACTTGCGGCCCTGGTTAAACCTGCACTGCGAAATTTAAAATTGTCGTTTTGACAGGATGTATAACAATGAAATATCTATCCAAGGAAGAAGGGTTATTCCTCAACGTTTCTTATGGAGATAGTCAACTTCTTGGTGAACAGATAAAAGGTAATATCTTAATCATGGTTTACTATGTTAAAACAATCAAGGTTATACGTTTTTTTGTCCTAGGACCGAACACGAGTGTCACCTGTATGAACGTCCTGCTAGATTTAGCACAAATGTGCGCCAGAATAAGCAATATCGCCATGACCGAGGACGGGATGAGAGCATGCGCCGACTTAGAGCCCACTCTTCTCGGCGATCCTCAGGACACCTACCACCTTGGGTGTTTCCAGATGAACCCAGAGGGGATGCAAATGATCAATTCGACGACGTAAGCACTAACAAGAAATTTTACCTACAGTTTTTCTCATAATTTGGTCGTTACTAATAGTTTTGGTTTGGCAATATATGCGAGGCATGTTCATCACCCGTAGACAACAGGGAGTCTAGTTTTGCTTAGTTTAAATTACAGGCAGTATTACTTTTCTAATTTCACTCATTTCTATAACGTTTAGAGATATTTTGTTGATGTCTCCGAGGTGATGAACGTCTTAGATTGTCTCCGATTATCCTGGTCTACACGACATAGGTCCTCGCTGCTTCAATCAGCCAGTTTTGAAATTTCTTATGACGTTGGAATACTAGGAAAGTTTTGTACTCCCCAAGCACTGCAGCTTTTTAGTTATTGTACTTTTCCCAGTTGCTTCAGTTCAATCGATCTATCCTTCTTTCTAGGTTATTACTGCAATTCTTTTCCCCAGGTGTTCTAGGTACCCTAGGTCTCTCCACATTCCATTGAGCGTTCGCATAGTGACAGTTTCTTCCTCATCGTCATCTAAAAATACCTGTCTCTCTGAATTTTACCCTGTCCTGTAGTAATGTGTTGGTTTTTGGTAGTTTCTTAGCTTCTCCTTGAATAAATGTTTCTAATGGAGGTTTAGTAGTGTTGTCCCCATGCATAGCCCAATTTTTGCGTAGCTGGTTTTTGTTGAGCTTCGGCACACCAGATAAATGAGCCGTAGGTTACCTCAAGTTTTATTACTATGGTACCAATATTTTTGGTTTTAGTCCACAAGATTCTATGGGTTTTCTTGATGTTGATATCTTACTTTTAGTCATGATTGTAAGGTTATTGGGTTAAGGTTACATCACTATTGTAAGGTTATTTAACCTCATTGTTGAAGTTGCAACATTTCATTGTGGTCACATGGGTCTTTTTCTATGTATCTTTTCCTGGTATATGTAATTAGTGAACCATGTTCAGTGCTCTTTGGGTGCATTTTGTTAATGTGGCGAATTTTCCCTTTTCAGTCAATGTGCTTAGCTTTTTTCCGTAAAATTAACCCTTTTAAACGTTAAATAACCCTTTTTAAATTCAAATCGACATTTTTTAAATTATAAATTAACACTTTTTCAACTGCAATTTAACATTTTTTAATTTCATGTTAATGTTTTTTAATTTCAAAGTAATCCATTCTCTAACGCCTTAAAACATGAGATGGTACGAAATATAGCCATGTAAAATAAAATTCCTGTATATTTCAGATTTTTTAAAAATATAAAATAATTGGGCTCTTAGAACACCATTTGAAAATTAATACAATTAAAATTAAAAATTATATAAAATTAAAGATAAAAATAAATGACTCTTCTTTAAGTTTGTAATTAAATTTTGCTTTAAAAAACAGATTACTTTTTGACTAAGATTTTTACAAAAAAATGGGTTGATTAAAAATGGAAAAGGGCTAATTTGAAGTTAAAACGGGGTTAAATTGACGGAAAAAGGAGTAATTTGAAATTAAAAAGGATTAATTATTGCGTTATTTACTTAATTATTTTACTTTACATGCTTACATTTCATACCATGTCGTAAGTCTTAAAAGGATTTAAAAAAAAGTTTATTTTTAAATTTAAAAAATTAATTTGAAAGTGAAAATGGTTGATTTATTTGAAATGAAAATGGTTACATTGAAGTTAAAAAGAGTAAAATTGACAAAAAAAGGGTTAATTGAAAATTAAAAAATGTTAATTTGAAATTAAGCTAATGGAAAAAATGTTAATTTGAAGTTAAAAAGTGTTTAAATTGACGGAAAAAGGATTAATTTGAAATTAAAATGGATTAATTATTGCCTTATTTATTTAATTATTTTACTTTACATGCTTATATTTCATACCATGTCGTAAGTCGCAAAAGGTTTTTAAAAAAAGTTTATTTTTAAATTTAAAAAATTAATTTGAAATGAAAATGGTTGATTTAAAATTTAAAAATGGTTAATTTGAAATTAAAAATGGGTTAAATTGACAGAAAAAAAGCGTTAATTTGAAATTAAAAAGGATTAATTATTGCGTTATTTATTTAATTATTTTACTTTACATGATTATATTTCATACCATGTCGTAAGTCTTTCAATGCTTTAAAGAAAAGCTTAATTTGAAATTAAAAAGAGTTAATTTGAAATTAAAAATGGTTAATTTGAAATTTAATAAAGGTTAATTTGAAGATGAAAATGGTTAATTTGAAGTTAAAAAGAGTTAAATTGACGAAAACAGGGTTCAGTGCAAATTAAAAAAAGGTTAATTTGAAGAAAGGGGTTAAATCGACGGAAAAGGGTTATATTAATGGAAAAAAACTAAAGGTCATCCATAACCGTTCCACAGGAGAGGCGAAAGCGATTACTTGTGACATCCTCCTTGTCACAACTTAACTTTTTCGTGGAACATGGAGGCCTGCACGTTCTCCTTTTTAGTTTTTGTCCAACTGTAGTATGTTACATCAGTTACTCGCTGGGATTCATTGGTACAAAATGAGTGTTACCATGTGCACCGTCAACATTCGAGAAAGTTCCTAATGCTGTTTCTTGATTGTTAGTTAATTTTCTGTTTCTGTAGCTTTGTGATGAACTGCTGACTCAGGATTTTCTTTCTAGTGTACTTTACCTTAAGTGACTTTCAACTAGCCTTTCGTTTTGGGTAAAAAGTATGACTTGCTCTGGGTTTTGAAATAAAGACCCTTTTACTGTTTTCTGAGGGCTTACAAGTCACCGCGCAGTTTAGGCTGACCAGGATGGCACGAGATGATCGTTAAAACTTTCACTTTACCCAAACCAACCGGACATTTTTTTGATAATTCCTTGCTCTCGTTCATTTCGATTTCGTCGTTGTCGTTCTGTCGTTTCAGCGTTCCTGTTCCTTACAAAGAAAAACCGCTGGAAGGTATCGGACTGAAACCGGACAATACTGAAGAATCCCTGATTGCCGCTGTCAACGAATCCGCAGAAGAAGGGATCGCTTGGTTTACTAGTTTCTTAGGTTTGAATTTCGGCAAAGCACAAGCCAACGAGACGAAAGACACTGTAACGGACTCATGAGGACACCGTCAGCAAAACCTACATGATCTTCATATTTTTTTTTTAAATATTCAACTTAAACTTAAAATACACTATTTATTATACCAAACAATGCGCCAATTTTTATAAAACGAACCCATATTTTAAACAATTCCTGCATTTGGAAGGAAGCATCACTTTTATTCTGGTACGAATGAAGGCACAATCTTCGAGATGTGCTGTATTTTATTTTGTCACCAAAAGTTGACCCATTTTTAATAAAGTTATGCATTAAGAGAGAACTTTTGTAGCACTTACCGTTACACAGTGAGTCACTTTCTCTTGAACTAAGGAAAACTCGAATGAATTTAAATTACCCTTTTCTGATTTGAACGTCTTCAATATACATAGTTATAGTTAATAGCTATAAATACAGCTTTTTTTCCATTTAATTATTCCTTCTCAGGGCTAAGGCCGATTAAAACTGAAGTAACTGCCGACGGCAACTTAGAAACAATATTGCAATTTCATTGTAGGCTCAGATCTTTATTCTAGCTCATTAAAATAATGTGAGTGATATGTAGTTAATGTGTTAATAAATATTCACAAGTTAATGAAACTTAACGTCAGTCGCCGCCGAGAAATAGACTGTTGTGAAATAGCTTTCAGCAATTCAAATTATCCAAGAATATGCGTGCGGATGGAGATTCCGTTTAATTGTCAAATTGGTTATTAGATATCGGTAATAACATCATTAAAAAAAACTTGAAATATACCAGGCATTTTTTCGTTTTGTTTACGAGGGTTCGCAACAGCAGAGATGCCTGCCCCTCGGGGTGCCGGTGTTTTTGAAAAAAAAGCCCATTTGTAAGTATGTCGGGTTCGAATGCAGGGCCGCTGGATTCGAACTCGGGACCTTTACCTTACATTGATGAGCGCCGTGTCAACGCCTAAACCGTTGCGGCCACCGACGCCCCTTCCCGGCAATGTTATACGATAAATTCACTAGTTCGTGGTCGGCTTGACCAATTAATATATTACAATTAATTAAGGTTTTCAGTTGAGATAAAAAAGTCAATGGCACGAGCGGGATTCGAACCCACGATCTTCGGCTTGAAAAATGGCAAAAAGGAGGGAAAATTCAAAAGGTGTGGTTGAGATGGGAAGTTAATGGCCCAGTGGATCGAGGTCACGATAGCTCAAGTGGTAGAGCAGCGGCGTATCAAGCCGAAGATCGTAGGTTCGAATCCCGCTCGTGCCATTGACTTTTTTATCTCAACTTAAAACCTTAATTAATTGTAAGTTATACGATAATTTAATTGAAGAGTTTTATCCGTTAAATTTATCCGAGGAAGAAGTGAGTAATAGAGCTGTAATGACAGGTAGAAATGATGAAGTGAAAAAAATTAATCATCTTATAGTGAATCGACTACCAAAGGAAATTGTTAAGTGTGTTTCCACAGATCGTGCAGAGTCACTAGCTGGTGACAAAGTCGACAATGAAAACGTAAGTTTACAGTATCATTTTGAATATTTACAACCAATAACACCTTCGGGTTTGCCTCGTCAGAACTACACTTAAAAGCAGTATGTATAGTTATGCTATTGAGAAATTTATACATAGAAGATGGATTGTGTAACTGGACCAGTTTGATAGTAGGAAAATCGATAGGACGGTACTACACTGCGAAATATGAATAGGGAATAAAAAAGCAGATATTGTGCACATCCCTCGAAGTAAACTGCTCAAAAATGAATAGGGATATTTGTAATTTATACTAATTCTATTAATTTTAATTAAATTAACCTATACATTATTTCTATTTAGATAAAACAAACCAAAAACAAACAAATGTTAATTCTCATTTTTAATAACGGATTTCCTTAAGAATAGTAAATGTGGGGGACGTCGGGGACCGCACCGGTTTAGGCGTTCACACCGCGTTCATCACTGTAAGGTAAAGGTCCAGGGTTTGAATCCAGCGGCCCTGCATTCCAACCCGATATACTTACAAATGGGCTTTAACCATGGAAAGACATCATCTTGAACCAGAGGTTCTTAATATTATTGTGAGAATGAGTCATCGAGGTCACCGGGACGTGGATATCGCAGAGGCAGCCGTCGTTTCATACTGAGAGTTGTGTCTGGGGCTTTAGCCCGATTCTGAGGTACTGGAAGTGCCAATAGAAAGCCTGGTAGTGGATCTCAGCTCATTACGACAGTAAGGGAGGACAGAAATGTTGTCCTTGCTTCAAGGCGGAACCCTTTCTATAGTACCCTCCAGATCCTTAATGAAGTACAAGATGTTTTGGCAAGGCCTTTTTCAACACAAACGATTACGAAGTTGGCCTAACATCGTATGCCCCATTGACACGACCTGTAGCTACTCTACACCCACCACCAGCTACTCTGGAGAATATGGTGCAGCGAGCGACTAGAAGAGAAAACCAATTGGAATGTTTACTGGTGAGTCACGTTTCTGTCTGTATAACATAGCAAATAGCAGACGCCGAAGAGTCCACCGAGAAAAGGGGATGCGTACAATGCCCCAGTTAAGTATTATAATAATAATAATAAGTAATAAGTATTATATACATTTAAAAAAACCTTTATCTAAAAAATATTTTATTATAATTCATACATAGACAGTTTAAAAAAAATGTAATATCTAGTTTTTCAAAGACTTTATTAGTTTATCGTTATAAAGTTACGATTCGTAATCGTTTGTGGGAAGTTGGCCTCACATCGTATGCCCTTTTGAGACGACCTGCAGCAACAGCCCGCACCAGCGACTCAGGAGAATATGAACACCAATTGGAATTTATTATGTTTACTGATGAGTCGCTTTCTGTCTGTATAGTGATAGTGCGTCGAAGAGTGTACTGAGGACGGGGATGGGTATTGTAATGAGTTCATGCTCCCTTCAGTGCAGTTGGGAGGAGGCGGTGTAATGGTCTGGGCTGGGATTTACACTGGAGGACGAACTGGACTCCGTATTGTTGAAGACAACCTTACCGCAGTCCGTTATGTCCAAGAAATTATTAAGGAATACATCCCTCAAACTAGGGATCTTATTGGTTGGGATTTCTGGATGGCAATGCCAGAGTTCTTCGTCAATGTTCAGAAAACCTGGGAATTTCCCATCTGGCCCTTTCCCCGCTGTCTCCAGACCTCAATCCCATTGAGCACACGTGGGATGCGTTGCAGAGAAAGCTTTTCGATCACCAACCGCAGCCAGCAGACCTGCAACAACTGAGCGCTGCATCGCAACATCTGTGGAGTGAAATTCCTTATGAAATTAGTGGTCACCTTATTAACAGAATGCCTAACAGGTGCACAGAGGTTTTAGCTAACAGAGGACATTATACCTGGTATTAATAGTTTAAAAAAAATACTGTGTCCAATAAAGAAAATTATAGAGTTAAAACCTTTTATTTTGTTATTTTTCAAAATTCCTTAATTATATTTTCCTTCAGTAAAAACTGTACTAAATTTAACAGTAAAACAGTAAAATTTGTACTAAATTTTAATGCAGTTTATAATAAAAATACAAAATTGGCAGTATCCTTATTCATTTTAGAGCAGTTTATTCAAACATACGAGGAGATATCGAAATGCCTTTGTTTTGAAGCGGGTGCAATTTCCAGTCCGTCTGGCATTTTCTATGACAAGGACAAAGTTTTGGTAAAATAAGTCCACTTCACGGCAGCTAGCTCCTGCTTGCTTTTTCGAAAGGGGATGAGTGGGCAACGAAAAAAATGGAGCAGCGATGTCGCGAGCTACGGCGAAGTATATTTTCAAATAAATCTCCCATTATAAGTAAATGGGTTTTTTCGGTCAAATTGATTTCAAATTAATGCTTTTTAATTTCAAATGAACAGGTTTTTCAACTTCAAATCAAACCTTTGATGGTATGAAATGTAAGCACATAAACTAAAATTCCTGCCTTTGCAAAAAAATTAAATATAAAATAATTGGGCTTTTAAAAGGTGATATTTAAATTAGTTACATTTAAAATTAAAAAATATATAAAATTAAATTTAAAAATAAATTGTTATTCTTTTAATTTGAAAACTTTTTTTATTGTAAAACAATGTGGTTCTAATAACCTCAATTTCTCTCTTTACAAGGAAACTCTTTTATTGTTATATTTAATTTTATATAATTTTTAATTTTAATATGGCCTTCTAAGACGTCAATTATTTTATATTTAAAAAACCTCCAATTAAAGGCATATATTTAGCTTTCCACCGTCAAATCAACCTTTTTAATTATACATTAAGACTTTTTAATTTTTACTAAAAAATAACGCTTTTAAATTTCAATGTAGCCCTTTTTAATTTGAAATCAACCCTTTCGTTAAAAACATCAAAAAATGAAATGTAAACACGTAAAGTAAAATTCCTGCATTTGAAAAAAAAATATTCTTCTTATAATTTGAGATTATTAAAAAGTATAAAATAATTGGGCACTTAACATCAAAATTTTTGACCTTTCTCAATTAAAAGAAAAATCCTTTATTTTTATCATTTTAAATTTTCCTCTTAATTGTAATTAATTTTCATATTATATATTTAGAACCCAATTGTTTTATATAGTTTCAAAAAATTTTCAATTGAAAGAAGATTAAGATAGATTATTTGTTTTTATATTTAATTTTAAATATTTTTTCATTTAATTGTAATTGATTTTCATATAGTCTACTAAAAGCCATATTATGTTATAATAAAAAACCCCCTCAAATATACAGAAATTTCACTTGACATGCTTATATTTCACACTATGTCAGTTTTTTAATGCTTAATTATTTTGAAATTAAAAATGGCTAATTTGAAATTCAAAACAAAAAAGTTACTTTGAAATTAAAAAGCGTTAATTTGAAGTAAAAAAGGGTTAAGTCGAAATTAAAAAAACACGTTAATTTAAAGTAAAAAGAGTTACTTTGTAATTATTACTGGCAATTTTCGACGTTATTTGAGGACGTGAAGATTGAGGATGCATTGAGTGTATCCAACCCTTAAAAAAATTAAAGAAGTATATTTTGAGCAATATTACATTTAACACGTTCGGAAACCCAAAGGATTCAGTGTATTACATGTCTTCATGAACAAATAGGAAAAACGTTGTAATGCGATAATAAAAATAATTTATACTTTAGATAAAAGATCAATTTAACATTAAAAAAATATATTTTTTTAAGAATGATTATACAATGCAAACATGAACGCAACTTTATTTAATAAGAAATTTCGATCTGGAAATTGCAACTAAGAGCACAGGATGAAAAGTCCAAAGCGTGTTAATTAAAAACTTTAATGACTCGGTTTTTAACTTATTTCATAAATAATAAATAACTATAAACTAGACAATAAATATGTTTTTCTCACAAATAAATAAGTCTTAGTGAAGGCCCCTGCGAGGCGGGGAGTGGCGACTCCCCATGACAAAGGGGGTTAAAGTCTTGTCGTTAAGAGTTTAGGGTGGATGTCACACTTAGGATCTGGCCAAGGGTGGGAGCCTCATCCGCTTGTGCTGCCTTGCACTCCTGACAGGAGGAAACGCGAAGGAAGTGTAGTCCTGTTTGGGCGGTGCGAAGTATCCCGTGAGGACAGGTATGGGAATCATTCTTTCCTTCGGATAAGAGTTGAAAGGGGAAGGCCGAATCAGTGCTGAGAGGCCGGGGAATCTTTTCTCCTGTTCTTCCAGAGTCATCGTCCGATAGTCGCCTTTCGGAACGTAACTTCGAAGTTGGCGGAATTCTTCTTCGTCTTCTTTTTCTCCGTCCAAGGACTCGCCGTCCGAAGTCGCATCAAGAACGATTCCACTTTTTTCCGTCGAATCGTCTTCTTCTTCTTCTTCTTCTCCTTCTTCTACTTCTTCTCCTCCCTCTTCTTCTTCTTCTTCCTCTTCTTCCTCTTCTTCTTCTTTTTCTTTTTCTTTATTCGCCGCCTCTTTATTTTTATCGCCGAGCCCGGTGGATTCTTCGACTTTGACGACTTCGACATGCGGTTTCTGAGTGGTGACGTCGTCGTTCACGGCGTTTTCCGAAAGATCGACAACCGGATCGGTGACGGATTCTTGTTTCGAGGCAGTCTCTGTCTGGGTCGAAGGCGGCCGCATCGTTTTTTCAGTAGTGTTCATCGGATTGCCGTTCTGTAAGACGTTAACGTTCATTTGCGTTGAATGTTTTATCGCTACAACTGTTCCCGGGTTCTGTTCGGCGGCCGAGGAAGTCGACTCTTCGGTAGCGGTCGTTTCTGTGACTGTCGTAACCTCGGATACGGATTTCATCGTCGAAGTCGAAGGTGCCGGAGGGTTGTCCGTAGTCGTCGCAAGCTTTGTCGGCGACGGGTTGGCAGCGGTCGTGGTTTTCTGCACCTGGGTCACTTTTTTTTTCTTTTTGCTGCTGGACGAGCCGAAGAAACCGTCGAGGAATTCATCGCTCAGAGCGCTGAAACCGGTGTAATCACCTGAATCGACATCATTTTCCGCATCGTCGTCGTCGTCGTCGTCGTCGCTCAGTCCGAAGTCATCGTCGTCGTCATCGTCGTCGTCGTCGTCATCATCATCGCTCAAACCATAATCGTCGTCGTCGTCATCGTCGTCTTCGTCTTCATCTTCACCGCTCGAAACCGGAATCGGTTTACCTGGTTCCAACTAAAAAATAAAACGGGCACTGTTAAAAAAAAAAAAATAATAATAATAATGCTGTCCTTTCAAACATATTAGCCAAGCCTCAAGTACGTAATTTTGGGATAGGGAAATTGGTCAAAAATTCCACGAATCGAACCCAGGACCGCGGGGTTACGAGCATGCACGCTAACTACTCGGCTACCGCGGTCCCTGTTTTACTGGAAAAAAAAACTTTGATTATGTAAAAGGTACATATGCTTGTTTTTCCCTTGATTTTCTCAAAAATTACTCAACTTAAAAAAAATTGAAATATTTTTTTAAAAATCATATGCTCTGTTTTTAATTTGTACAATAATTATTACGGCGGGTATGTTCAATTTTTTAAAGATAGAAAGTAAGAAATTTTTATTTTCAAATGGTATTGTACGTTTTCATTTACGGATTTATTATGTAAAACTTATGATTTTTTAAGTTGAGCAGTTTTTGAGAAAACCAGGGGGGACGGAAGTAAATATATGTGTTTATAATTATTCAGAAATCGTGAGATGCGGTCTGGTGTGATAGGTTTCAGAAAAACATTTTCTTTATCGTGCCAACGTTTCGATCTTTATTGAGATCATCTTCAGGGCCTAGGATTTACAAACATTGTTTACATTTAACAAATACATTTAGGATGTGGAAAAGTGAATTTATACAATGCAAAAAAATATTTTTTATATTCAATCAAAGTATTTCTACTCACTCAAAGTGTTTGTCTTCTGTGTAATAGTGCCATTCTTGCGTGTCGTGTTGAGAGTGCCAGTGAGATGTTACTGTTTTATGTTTATATACGTTGGATTTTGAAGGGGTGGGGAAGGAAGTCGGTATAGAAAAAATCTCATCAAAATTTAGTATAATTTTAAATGTAATTAATTTTAATATGACTTTCGAAGATCTCAATTTTTTTTCAATTATACGAATTTTACTCCACATGCCATCACAATATTTCGTACCATCACTTATTAAAAGGTTAATTCGACGGAAAAAAGCTATATTTTTTTAAGTTAATTTTTTAAAATACAAAAAAAAATTTTTTTTTCTTTTTTTAACGAAAGAGTAATTTGAAATTTAAAAAAGGGTCGTACAATGACAAGATATTAAATAATTAAAGAAAAAATTAAAAAGGGCTAATTTGAAGTTTAACAACTGTTAATTTGAAACTAAAATGTATTAATTTGTTGATAAAAGAATGTTAATTTGAAATTAAAAAGGGATAATTTGACGGAAAATAGCTTTAGTAAAAGCACAATTCTCAGCATTTGTTTTTATATTTAATTTTACTAGAGTTAATTTGAAAATAAAAAAAAATTAATTTAAAAAATGCTATATATTTTATAAAATATAATTAGAAAGAAAAAAACAAAAATACAGCATGTTACTAAAGTGAATGAAGGGACGTTAGGACGTTCAAATCCAACGTATTTTTCTTACATAATTAATGTGTTATGAAGTAAATAAACCAAAACTTTGGACTAAAGCGCAAAACTGGGGGGGGGGGGAATTCAATCCCCCCTGGTCCTTGAAGGTCAGTGGGAAGATAAATCTGGCCAAAAACGAAAGGATCAGTAGTGAGTAGGCTAAAAGGCTCTGGTGATGAAGTTGCTCCTGAACCTAATGTCACCGACCTGGAAGAGGTCAAAGAGGCTTCGGCAGAAACAATACTCAAAAGATTTTGAAGGTCGAGTAGGAAATGCTACGCCTGGCTTCGCAGCCATGGGCACAGCAGAGAAGAAGCTGAGCTTTCAGAACAGCAAAAGCCAGCCTTCAAAGAGGGGTCGAGATGTGAAAAAGACCCCTGAGCAAATAGAGAATAAGAAAGCCAAGGTGGGAGAGTTCTCCGGCAAAAATCTAGAGGCCCTGTCAAAAGGTCTTACGCAGAGGCTTTTAAAGAGGTAAGACACGGGATCGTCCCTCTAGAATATGTGCAAGTTCTCCTGACGGTTGAGCAATTAGATGCCATCCAGTTGTGCCTGTTGGGGAGAATAGAGCAAGTTGAGGAAACCATAAAACCAGCCTTCAATGGGCTTATATCTTTTTAAAAAGGATGGTTGGTTCTAAACTGTGCCAACGTAGTTAAGTAAGCATGGATAAAGAGCCTAGAGAAGGAACTAACAACCTGGAAAGACGCCACGCTGCACGTGGTAGAACAAAAAGGCTCCCACGACCGCAGATAGTGGTGGCATACTTCTCAAACTGCGATATAAAAAGGGACACTAATGAGAAAATCCTCGGATTTTTCAAGAAAAAAAATGAAGGATTCCAAGTAGGCCTGAAAGGTTGTCATAAGAAAGGAGAAGTTCAAATTAGAGATCCCATGGCCATCAATCACGAGTCAACAAAGGTCTTGAAGAAAATGGACAGGGTAAATTTCAAATTTGGTAAAGCAAAGATGCACATCGAATTAAAAAAACAAGACATGCAAGAAACGGATGCTTCTCTGAAGGGTTCAAAAAACTCCCAGAGGAAGAGAACACTACACCAACCCAAAGTACATCTAACGAAAAAGAAACGCTCATCCAATCTCAAAGAAAGAAAGTCTCAAGCGCCAATTATGAGGCAAGCTAAGGGACTCTCAAAACGGAAGGCGAAGGAACTCCTCTGGCTCAGCAGGCAGGATTTGAGGAGAATTATAGGTTACTATCATCTTAAAACGATGGGAACATGCCAGTTCTGACAGGAAGAGACGTCGACACGTATCCTTTGCGATTGTAAAGCGTTTACGGTACAGCCACATTTCTCATTCCAAAAGAGATCCACGAAGAGGCATCAAGGAAAGTTTTCAGTTGTATAAAGAATAGCGCACTTTCGAAGGAATGGCTGGCTATAAGCTATAGGGGTTCAACAATAGACCTGTTTAGGTCGCAGTGGAAAAAAGAACTGTCTACTGTCTAATGTCTTCAGCATCAACCCCCCCACCCAAACCTTTAAAAAACCGGGTCAGAAAGTGTGGTCGGTTTTTTTTCTTTTTGACCGGCACTTTCTCGGATGAGGCATACCATCCGATTCAAGTTTCCAAGAACCGGGTGGTCGGCAGATTCAGGAATTTAAGCGTTGACGCGTTTTGTTTTGATTTTTCCGGATCATGACTGATTTTCAAAATTTCTGTTTAAAACCGCAAAATATAGTAAAACTCTTACTTTAACTCCTTGAGGGCCGAATTTGAAACACGACACCCTCAGGGCGGCTTCGACGTCGTCCAGGGCGCGCAATTCCAGCGCAAGGCACGCTTTGAACTGTTCACCGTCCCTCTGGATGCCGTAGATCCTCCCGCAGAACTTGGACACCCCACCAGGAAGACCCATGCAGACCGGTCTCGGCTTTTTACCTAGTAATAATAAAATACTTTTCTTTTTAGATGAAGAAATTGTGAACATTAGATTCATTTTACAATCGTGAACTTAATAATTCCTAAGAAAAGTCGATTGGTACATTAATATCCTTAAGAAAACCGGCTTCCAGACCAATCGAGCTGTTAAGTTTAAGTTAAGATAAAAAATAATTGAACTTTTAATTGCCTTTTATTTGTTTTATTTGACTTTATTCGGTTTATCCTTGGACCAGGGTAATTTTCTTTCCATGGATGTTTAGGCGCACAGGTCTAGAATTTTTGTCCTGTGAAATTTTTTTGATTTCAATCCTCTTTAATTTCACGAAATCAATTAAGATCTAAAGAAATTCGAAAGTATTTTATAGATTGAGACTCCCGGCCAGTTTGCATTGTGCTTGCACTCCGCCTCGCTGGGCCGAGATGATGATGAGAAACGACCAAACCAAAAAATTTACCTGTTAATGTCATGTTTCTCAGCACCCTGTCGCCGAAGCTCATCGTGAGTCGCATCGAGTCACCGTTTAGGTAGGTTATCGTCGCGCAGCCTGGGGAAAAATTGCCAATATTAATATCAATGTAATAAAAGAGAATCGCATTGATTTGTAGATACCAGGTCCTTTGATAGATACGACTGGAAGTGAGAAATCCCTGCAGCAGTTGCACATGAGGTTGGCGCATTGACAATAGCGGTTGGGCGCGTTCGCCGGCTTGGTTCCTGGCACCTGCCTCAATCCGATGTCCTTTTTGGAATGTTTGCTTCCTAGGGAGATTATTTAATTGATATAATTACTGCAAAGCGGAAAGTGAGAATAGGAGCGATATCCTAGAGAAGATAGACACAACAGAACAATATTCAATCCTGTTATACCTGAAGACCTCATACCACACCATTGAGAAGAATTCTGTAAACCATTAGCAGAGCTCGGACACAAAAGATGAAAGTTAGAAGACAATAGGACTTAAAGTGACTGCATCTACAGACTTCATGGTAAATTTGGCGATGGTGAAGCTATAAACTACTACAGCTTTATCCGTCCAATTGTTAATTTCAAAACTAATAGTTTTTTGGCCTTCAAATTAACCATTTTTAATTTCAAACTAACCTTTTCATTAAAACATAAAAAGCCTAAGAGATTGTATGAAAAGTAAGTACGTTAATTAAAATTACTTTGTTGAAGTCGTGAGGAGCGGTCAAGAATGAGGTAGTTTAGAAAAACACCTTTTTAATTTTTTTTGCCGACGTTTCGACCTTTATTCGGGTCATCTTCAGGCCCTGGGTAAATTACAAAACATACGTTCGTTGGAAAAAATACAAATTAAGATGTAAATATAAATTTTAAACCAAGTATTTCATACTCACATAAAGTGTGGTGCTATTCTTGTGATGTCATAAACAACACCAATATGACACCACAAGAATAGCACCACACTTTATGTGAGTATGAAATACTTGGTTCGAAATTTATATTTACATCTTAAATTGTATTTTTTCCAACCAACGTATGTTTTGTAATTTACCCAGGGCCTGAAGATGACCCGAATAAAGGTCGAAACGTCGGCAAAAAAATTAAAAAGTTGTTCTTTTTAAACTACCTCATTCTTGGCCGCTCCTCACGACTTCAACAAATTATGAAACAACAGGTCAATAAGAAACGCACATTAAAATTACTATACATTTGAGGATATGTTTTTAATTTCAAATAATTGGACTCTTAGAAGAACATATTAAAATTAATTGTAATTAAAAAATAATATAAAATTAAATTAATCTTCTTTTAATTTGAGAAATGTAACAAATTGTGGTTTTTGGGAGCTTTTGCTATAGCTATTTTCCGCCAAATTAACAATTTTTAATTTCATATTTATATTTTTTTTTGCCATCAAATCAACATTTTTAATTTCAAATTAACCTATTCATTAAAACATAAAAAAACCTAGGGGATTGTATGAAATGTAAGCACGTAAATTCAAATTACTATATGTTTGAAAATCTTGTTTTTAATTTCAAATAATTAGACACTTAGAAGACCATATTACAATTAATTATAATGAAAAAATTATATAAAATTAAATATAAAAATGAACGAATCTTCTTTTAATTTTAGAAATGAAAAAAAATTTGATTTTTCGGAATTTTTATTATACATATCTTCCGTCAACTTAACCCTTTTTAATTTTAAATTAACGATTTTTTCTCATCAAATTAATCATTTTTAATTTCAATTAACCCTTTCATTAGAACATGAAAAAACCTAGGAGATTGCATGAAATGTAAGCATGTAAATTAAAATTCCTATATAAAAAAAATCAAGATTAAATTAGTGGGCTTTTAGAAGACCATATAAAGATTAAACACAATTGGAATTAGAAACTATATAAAATCATATATTATACAACAATAAAAGATTCTTATTTGATTTGAGAATTTTTTTAAAATATGGCCTTCTAAGGGGCCATTTTTTTTTAAATGCAAGTATTTTACTTTACATGCTTACATTTCATACATTCTCCAAGGTTTTTATGTTTTAAAGAAATAGCTTATTTGGAATTAAAAAGGGCTAATTGTAAAAAAGTCTTATTTGAAATTTAATAAAAAGTTAATTTGTCGGAAAAATGCTTTATATGTACAAATTAACCCTTGTTAATTTCAAATTAAAATTGGTTAGTTAAGAATTAATTTGAAGTATAATAAAAAAGATTATTTTCAAATTAAAATTGATTAATTTGGTGCGAAAAGGGATTAATTTCAAATTTTAAAAAAAGGCTTACATGACGGAAAATACCCTTTTTATTTTCAAATTATGATTAGTTAAACAAAATTAATTTGTAGTTAAATAAAATATTAATTTGAAATGAAAAAGGGTTAGTTAAGTTCATCTTCTAAGACCCCAATTATTGGATATTTTAAAAATAATCTCAAATAGACAGGAATTTTACTTTACATGTTTATATTTCATTCTCCTAGTTTTTCGAGTGGTTAAATAAGGGTTAATTTTAAATTAAAAAAGGCTAATTTGAACTTAAAAAGCCCAAATGTGAACTTAAAAAGATTTCTCCCTCTCTCTCTCTCTCTCTCTCTCTCTCTCTCTCTTTCTTTCTCTCTCTCTCTCTCTCTCTCCTACACCACTCTCTCTTACTCCCTTCCAAATCATATTCAACTAGCTATATATTTTTTTAAACTTTTTTAAATACTCATTGTATTCTCAGACAATGTTGCATGTTACCTCACAATGTATACTTTAAAACGATCATTGGATCCGTATATAAAATAAACAAGGATAGAGTCGTAGCGATGAAGGAGCCGAAGACTTTTCCCCTTTGAAATTCTGTGATTTTGAGAATTTCTCATGACAAATTTGAAGCTTTTCCAAGATTTCGTTCAATTTCTTTATCGGTCTCTAAAACTCTATTAATCGACCAAGAAAGTTTCTTCCATCCGATCGGGTCCTGATGTTAATAACACATACAAGTATGGAAAGGAGGAGTGTTAGGTTTCAAACGAGGAAATGAAGGCATCAGAAGGCCGAAACGCAGGGCGTAAAGATAAAGGTTGAAACTTTAAAGTGGAATCGGGCCGGTCATTCAATGCGGGACGGGATCAAACGGACCAAAAAGAGTTAGTTGCTGGCTTGACACCATGGAATGAGCAGATCTCCCTCGTCGCCAAATGTGCTTTCTGCCTGATGATGCGAAACGAGGCCGCCTTCGTATACAAACACGATTTTCGCATCATGATCCTAATTTTCATCCAACTATTAAAAAAAGGAAAAATCCTTCGCCGAGATTAGTCTCGGCCCGTGAAGAGAGAGAGAAGCTCCGGGGAGGGTTCATGGACCCAGTAGCCCGTAAATGGGTTAGGAACATAATTAGTCAGGATTCGTGATCAATGGGAAGTAATTAAACGATTATCTCCCCACTCTTTGTAACGGTGCTGTTTTAATTAAACTAAAAGAGCTTCCTTTTTTTTCTTTAAATCACATTTTAAATTGTTAAGGTTCACTTACCGACATTCCTCGACGCGGCGAAAGCGATAAAAAGGAATATCAAGAGGAGTTCGAACACGGTGGAAAGCCGCATTCTTGAAGAATCCAGTTTTCACTCAGTGGGAAATGTGAAGAGAACACCTGGAAAAGAAAGACTAAGTTATTGCTTGATTTTACATCCACACTATCATGCTTTAAAAAGTTGAAATAAAAACGCAAACTCGGACCATAGCATAATAGATGTTATACATCTGAACATTGTTACGGACTATTGGCGTCATTTTCACTTCTTGTAGTTTTGTGTGTTTGTCAATAGCCAAAATTAACTTACCACTCAAGATGGCAAAGCTTAAAAGGGTCTGGCGGGCCAAAAACTAGATGAACGTAAACGGTATATTTCACTTTTTCATTTCATTAATATTAATTTTTTTTAAATTATTGTTTTAATAAGACAACAACCACTCGGTGTTATATCTGCCTTGAATCTTTACCTTTTTAAATTTACAGGGGGTTCTTTTATGACAACCATGGGTGATTCTTGTTTGCCGAATTCTAAGCGTGAATAATTTTCTTTTCACGAGTAACTAATTGAGTTGTCGCATTCTTTAATGTCTGCTTTAATTTCTCTATGTTTATTTTCCCGAGTGTTGAACTATTCACGTTCTCATTTTTCATTTATTTAAGCTTTCAAGTTACAAAATCGTACTACCCCATTTATTTTGTTACTTCTGACGGCACTTTACTTTATATAGGTTTTTTCCGTCAAATTCCTTTTTGACATCAAATCAACCCTTTTAAATTTCACCCTTTACCTGGCAAATTATCCCTTTTTAATTTCAAATTAACCTGGCAAATTATCCCTTTTTAATTTCAAATTAACCTTTTCCTCGTTAAATTAATTATTTTTAACTTCAAATCAACCCTTTTTAATTTCACTATTTACCTAGCAAATTACCCCTTTTTAATTTCAAATTAACCTTTTCCTCGTTAAATTAATTATTTTTAACTTCAAATTAACCCTTTAATTTCAAATTAGGGCTTTTAAATTTTGAAAATAACCCTTTCTTTCAAACGTCAAAAAAACACAGGTGTATGAAATACAAGCGTGTAAAGTAAAATTTCTGTATATTTGAGAATTTATTTTTAAATATAAAATAATCGGACTCTTAGAAGACCATATGAAAATTAATCACAATTACAATTAAAAATTATATATAAAACTAAAGGATTCTTTTGTAATTTTTCTTCTAATTTGAGAATTTTTAAAAAGTATAAAATAATTGGGATCTTAGGTAAAAGACCATCTGAAAATTAATTGCAATTAAAATTAAAAAATATATAAAATAAAATATAATAATAAAAGATTGTTCTTTTATATAATGGTTGCGAAATTTCTTAAACAAGCTATAAGCCATACAAAAATTAATTTCAGACAAAATTAAAAATAATGTAAAATTTAAAAAAAAACAAGTGCCTTCTTTTAATTGGAGTTTTTTTATATAAAATAATTGGGCTATAAAAACAGCAATGACTCATATTTCTCAAATTAAAAGAATAATAGTTCATTTTTATATTTTATTGTTCATCATTTTTCTTTTTAATTGTAATTAATTTTGTTTTAATTTTTATATGGTCTTCTAAGAGTCTAATTATTTTATATTAACAAAAAAATCCCCAAACATACAGGCATTTTACTATAAATGCGTGTATTACATACCATCTCCTAAGTTTTTTATGTTTAAAAGAAAACATTAATTTGAAATTAAAAAGGGTTGAGTGAAAAAAAAGAATTTGATTAAAAAAAATATTTTCAACAAATTAATCCGTTTTAATTTCAAATCAATCTCTTATTTTTTTAAATTTAAAATTGACCCTTTTCGCATCAAATCATTTTGATTGAAAAGTAACTCCTTTTAATTTTAAATGAATAATGGTTAAAGGTTAAGTTGAAATTAAAATAGTAAAAGGTCCGAAAAACTACAGCTTCTCAAATTTCTCAAATTAAAAGAAAAATCCTGTATTTTTATGTAGTTTTTAATTGCAATTAATTTTAATATGGTGATATATGAATATATTCTGAGAACCCAATTATTTTAGATTTTTTATATTATATACCAACTCCTAGGTTTTTCCACGTTATAAAAAGGAGTTAATTTGAAGTTAAAACGGTTCATTTGAAAATAAAACAAATGTTCATTTGAAAGTAAAACGATTAGATTTGAAATTAAAAAGGGCTACTTTGTGTTTTAAAATGATTGTTGGCGAGTTGAAAAAAGTATTGCCTTCGCCTTTTCTGATCTGCAAAAGGAAATCGGGCCCAATGCTGGCAAAATGTTGCTGCATTTTTTTGAACCATTGATTAAACAAATTAAATATCATATAAGAAGGGATTATTTTAATTAAACTTTGATTCTAGATTGGACTATTATTCTGATTATTCTACACCTTCTTAAATTCTGCCAATAATTGATTTAAAAAAATGTATATACCTAAAAACCACATAATTTTTGAATAGTTTGCAATTGTTAAAAAAGGTATGAAACTACGACAAGTATAGTAAGTATATAATAAAAGACGATTGAAGGAAACAAAAGTTTCCCTCATTACTTATTTTGCTCGAAATGTGCAAGGAAACAATTTGAATTTAAGTCAATTTTGATATAACATAGCAAACTAACAAAGAAGATTCAGTGAAAACATTTTACATTCACACCGTGTTGATTACTTTTTGAAATCCTTTTTACGATGAGGCCGGAACGGACTGGAAAGTTTCTCGTACCCGATTTCACATACCTCGGATCGGTATGCCAAGACCATAATCTCACTGGCCGAGTTTAAAAAAAAAAAAAAAATACGATTACGTTTTGAATATTCAAAAGGAATAATAAGTCTGTTTGTTTTGTTTTGAAGTACAAAGTTACTACCATGTGAAGCCGATCGGATCGCAAGTCCTGGTTAAAGCTCCAAGTCGCTTTCTTTCCTTTAATTATCATTCAGACCTGGGAACCCTTAATAAAAATAACATGCCATGAATTTCGGATAACATTTACACTTCTTCGCCACTTTTCACCGGCGATGGAAAAACATTTCTTTCACTTTCTATCCTCAGATCTGGGGGAAGATGAATTACGGACGGTTCCGGTCAATTCGGTCCGCCTCACGTCGCTGCTTTTGTTTTGGACCGTCGGAGTTGAGAAGTATGAGGACTGTAAGCTGATGTATTTTTCGCCTGATATGGCAAATTCAGAGTAGTTATTTTTCTGATGACTCCAATCGCCAGAACACATTAATTTATAAAATATCGGTTTATCATCCCGCAGACCGTAAGAAGTAATACAGGGTTTCTAAACTAAATTCGTCATTTTGCAAATAAAATAAAATCAAATTCACTCTTTTCTGAATCAAATTAAACTTTTACTTATGAAATTCATTCTTTTGTGTAAACAATTTACCCCTTTTGCAAAACAAATTCACCTACTTGCATATCAAATTCATTCTTTTACGAATCAAATTAAACTGTTGCTGATGAAATTCACTCTTTTGTATAAAAAAAATTACCCTTTTACAAAAGAATTCACCTGCTTCCATATTAAATTCACTCATTCGCTAATCAAATTCACCTTTTGCAAATCAAATTCACATTTTTGCAAATCAAATTTACCCTTTTCAAAAGTAAATTCACCCTTTTACAAATAATCCCACACTTTTGGATATCAAATTCGTACATAAAATAAAATCAAATTGTCTCTTTTGCGAATCATATTAAACTTTTGCTAATGAAATGCACTGTTTTGTATACCAAATTTACCCTTTTTTTCAAAACAAATTCACCTTTTGGCATATTAAATTCACTCTTTTGTCAATCAAACTTTTTACTTATATATATTGTTAACTATTTTAACATATATATGATATATATAAACATCAAATAATGCTAATTCATTAGTCTATTTATTACGAATGATCGAGTAGGAATTATAATAAAGTACAAATGGCATGTTTTCGTAGTCAAGTTAGTAAACTCTGGATGTATTTCTTTTTTTATTAATGTATTTACCCATTACCTTATCAACAAAGTACAATAAGTATGCAGGGTGTCAATTAAATATAGTCACCCCTGGTTTTTTCAAAAACTACTCGACCAAAATAAAATTTATTTTTTATTATGTAGTACAACTTCTAATTTCAAACATTGCAACAATAATTAGTGTTTTTTTTTAATTTCTTAAAAGTGTTTAAAATTGAAAGTCTTGTTTTTCAATAAATAGCCTTTAAATTTGTAGATTCATCGGAATTTTTTTTGCTTTTGCATATTTGCAATTGCTAATTACGTGCTGTTTAGGTATTTTTACCTTTTACCTAAATAAATACTTTCCACTAGATCATTTGTAATAGATGTTACTAATTAATTTACACTATTTGATGTGTTTTTTAAATATGATAGTATAGATAGTAATACTTGATTTACGAAAGGGTGAATTTGATTTGTAAAATTTGCTGTGGTATGTACCACAGATGTCATTTATTTGCAAACGATCGAATTTGATATGAAAAAGGTTAAACATTTCACCAAAGGATCAATTTGATAAGCAAAAGGGTGAATTTAATTGGGAAAAAGGTGAATTTAATTTGCAAAAGAGTGAATTTAATTTGCACAAGGGTGAATTTACATAGCAAAAGAGTGAATTTGATAAGCGAAAGAGTGAATTAATTTTTCGAAAGGGTGAATTGGATTAGCAAAAGAGTGAATTTCTTTCGCAAACGGGTGAAATTTATTTGGAAAACGGTGAATTTGATAAGCGAAAAGGTTAATTTGATATGCGAAAGAGTGAATTGATTTTTCAAAAGGGTCAATTGGATTAGCAAAAGAGTGAATTTATTTCGCAAAGGGTGAAATTTATTTGCAAAAGGGTAAATTTAATTTTCAAAAGAATGAAATTTATGAACAAAATGGCAAATTTGATTAGTAAAAGAGTGAATTTGATACGCGAAAGAGTGAATTTATTTCGCAAACGCGTGTAATTGGTTAGCAAAAGGGTGAATTTGATTAGGGAAAGAACGAATTTGATATGCGAAAGAGTGAATTTATTTCCCAAACGCGTGTAATTGGTTAGCAAAAGGGTGAATTTGATTAGGGAAAGAACGAATTTGATATGCGAAAGAGTGAATTTATTTCCCAAACGCGTGTAATTGGTTTGCAAAAGGGTGAATTTGATTAGCGAAAGAACGAATTTGATATGCGAAAGGGTGAAATGGATTAGCAAAAGATTGAATTTAATATGCAAAAGAGTGAATTTAATAGACAAAGGTGTGAACTTGATTTCCAAAAGGGAGAGTTTGATAATTAAACGAGTGAAATTAATTTGCAAAAGGGTGAGTTTGATTAGCAGAAGAGTGAATTTTATTTTCAAAAGGATCAGATATAAATTGTTAACCGGTGAATTTGATTTGAAAAACCTGTATCACAATAATATAACCGTTAATTTTAATTAGTTATGATGTTGATTGATTATTTCTACCTACGCTACATTGTAAGCCCCTTCATTTAGATCGTAATAAATTTGTATCTCGATTGCCACTAATTGTGGCGGTGATTTCTCGAATTTTAGGCCGCCTCCCATAACAGTTAACCCTTGTCGTATGAATTAGTACTGGTCCGTATATTTTCGATGTTATCTGTATTATAGAGTTGCCTTCGTCCGTTGCTACTTCAGAAAGTAAAAGTGGAAAGCGGGCATCGGTTCTTCCAGTTTCTTTCTGCTTTCTTCAAAGCGCGAATTCGAGGTACACCGAGATAGAAAAAAAATTGAACTTGTTAATAGAATGTTGTGAGTTAATGTTGACTATACCTTTATCAACATTACGACTTATGTAACTGAATCAAGTTGAAAAATTACCCGCTAATTTGTTGAAAATGATGTCGCACAATGTTTAGAAGAAGAGAAAGTGGAAATCTAACCGGAAAGGAATTGCAGACTAGAAACCTGTCGACGAAGGGTTGAAAACACGACTGGTACATGTTTTCCTTTTTGTTAATAGGTCGAAAACGAAGAAGGTAAATAAGGAGGTGCGAGCCGAGGAACCGGTGAAAGACGTGTTAGTGACCCACTGCGCGATGAAGTTGACCTCTTTCTCTTAGGATATCCGCTTCGGTCGCTTTCTTTGTCCGTCAGTCATATTGCAACATATTTCCTACCCTGGGCTTAAAATTTAAATCTGATTTTCCACTAGGGCTTAATAACGAGCTTTTATTCTTAGATTAGATTTACTGATTAAAAAAAAAATACGCAGGTTCGCAGTATGCTTTTCATATGATCTGATACATTTTCAGTGGTTTAAATTTTAAGAGATATACTTGGATTTTTTTTTCAAAATAATTCTGTATTGGGTGACTCTTCTTTGCAAAGATCAGGTGAGGAAAAAAAATTTAAACGTTTACCTTGTTGGTATGTCTCGGTGTGGCCGAAGGTAACGGACCGCAAGCTCTTGTGGAACTGTGCCTCTCACACCATAGAACTCCTTTTGGATCCTTCTGCTCCTCCCTCTTCTGGTATCCCTACTACTTTCCATTTCCAACCAATTACATCTAGTTAACCGTTTGTAACGGGACATACGCTTCTCCGGCAGACCGCATTTCCCGAGCCCCGTTTTGGAGACGTCTTCGTACGTCTGCTGCGGATGTGCGATACCGGCGACCGCAGGCTTCATACGCCATTTCGAATCAACCGGACCTTCAAGAACTTCCGCTTTGTACCTGTACCGTTTTCTCTTCATGTCCACGATGGACAGGATAAAATCGACGATATTCCATATTTGGCAGATCCGCCTTCACAAATGATCCTACCTAAGTATAATGGAAGGTTTTCATCGGATTAAAAAAATGCGGCCTCAGGGTTCCCATTCCAGGCCCCATGTTATGCATAATTTTCACGAATGACCTTTACAATTACTTTCCCACAATTCACTTTACAGCGTATGCTGATGATTGCAGTTCCCAGTTGGATGGACCAAGTGAGATAGAGCTGGTCGAACAAAATATTGAACTGAAATCCAATTTGTAAAAGTGGTTCATTGGATATGGTCTATTGCTAAACAAAGAGAAGACAAAGGTTATGATTCTAAAAACTTCTAATTCAAGAAATAGTCTAGACAAAGAACCGATAAAACACTTGGGTACAGTCACAGATTCACATCTCTCCTGGGATGCCCATTGTCAATTTGTAGCATCTAAACTTACCAAACAATTATTTTTACTGAAAAGCCTCAAATATAATGTTTCTCAAAGATAGATTTAATAGATTACACGACATTTGAAAAATGGCAAAAAGGAGGGAAAATTCGAGAGGTGAGGTTGAGATGGGAAGTTGGTGTCCCAGCAGATCGAAGTAGCTCAAGTGGTCGAGTAGTATTTAGCAGAAGGTCGTGGGTTCGAATCCCGCTCGTGACACTGACTTTTTTTATCTCAACCAATACCTTTCATAAAAATTAATTGAAAAATGTTAATTGGTGGTTGAAATGTAATGGGTTTCTCAAAGAGTTTTAATAAATGTTTACTTCTCTTGTTTCTAATCGTATTTTGTCCATGCCTTATTGGTCTGTGGTCATTCTAGTCATGACAAACTAATCTTCAAAAAAACAACGTAAAGCTATAAGAATTTTAAGGAATTTAAAGTATAGGGAATGTTGCAGAGAAACTTTTACTAAATTAAACCTTACGACTTTGCCCAGCTTATATATATTACAATGTGTAATGCATGTTACAAACAAAGTGCGTCTATAAAAAAATTCAATTCTGCACATAAACAATATACGAGAAATTGTAATAAAATAGTTCCTGAACAGCAGAACCTTAAAAAATGTGAAAACTCTTGTAAATATTGGGCTATACATTTTTTCAATAATTTACCAGGTGATGTCAAACTCTTAACTGAAAAAATTTAAACTTAAAGTAACAAAATTCCTCACTGTTGTACTATTCTTGACGAATGTAATGACAAAACTTGTATTTTGTTTACTTAACACAATAAAACTTTTGTATCTTTGTTCCTGGACCTTTACTTTAAATACAAATAATTATAACAAGTACAATAATAATTAACCTTTTTAAACGTATTTACCACCCTAGGACTGGTGCCCCTCCTCACCTCACCACACCCTCAAGCCATCCTATGAAGTTAAGTACTTAAATGCCTACTAATCTCCTGTATACTTCGAAACCTTACTCACAAGGTCAGAGTATTTCAAAGCAAAATATAAAACGTCATCCTCTCATTTTTCCCTCTTATGGAACCTCATCATTCTAAATCCTAAAGCTCGCAAAGCTCCTGCTGAACCATCAGCTTTCTTCCTGTGATGTCCAAAATCATCGAAAGACAGAGTAAGGTGTGAGCGACAAGGGAGCGTTTTAGGTCCAATCCTTTATAAACTGAAACGCTTCCTGGAGTCTGATTGACCGATGTTGCAGAGTAGAGAAGGGAACGAATACGGAGATATCAGACAGACACAAGCCGGCGTCCCACGAGGGATCATTTTAGCCATCCAACATCCAGGGGATCCTTCCAAACAAAATCCTTAGAGAAATTGTCAAAGCACCTTATTAAAAAGGGGACGACCAGGCTGTTGTGTCAGGGATTTGGACTAAACCTTTTTTGGTGATTCACGAGTATCCGCCACTTCTTGTGAATAGGCCCTGGCAAAAAAAAAAATTTAAGTTGAAATTTTCCCTTTTTTAATATCTTTATTTCGTCGTTCTACTTACTCAAATCAACTATGTAGATAGATCATTTTATAGCATTTTTTTATGTAGATTGCAATAAAAATATAGTAAAAGTTATCAATAACCAAAATATTTTTAAAAAACAATTTTTTTTCAAGTGATCTAGGTTATATAATTTTTGTTTTGTGAAACTATTGGGTTGTCCGGAAAATAATGCAGGATTTTGGTATTAAACAAAAAAAAAGAAACTATTGGGTTGTCCGGAAAATAATGCAGGATTTTAAGTTTTCATTAAAAAAAATCTATATAAAATATTCTGTTTACGTTTACAGGATTACTCATTTGTATGNAGCCGAAGATCGTGGGTTCGAATCCCGCTCGTGCCATTGACTTTTTTATCTCAACTAAAAACCTTAATTAATTGTAATATATTAATTGGTCAAGCGGATCACGAAAATAGTGAATTTATACTTATAATTTTTGTTAATATTTTAATTTATACAATGTAAATAAATTCATTAAACCAGAATTATATTTGGTTATCAAAGTTTATCAATAAATTAAAAAATTCAAAAAACCAAATTTTTTCAAGTAACCTAGGCCATAAAATTTTGGTTTCGTGAAGCTAATATGAAATTTCGTTTTAGCACCTCTAGAGACCCCTAACTATAAATTGTTGTTTGAATTTACATTTATCGATTTTTTGACCCCTAAAATTTTTCCGATTTTTAACAAGTTGAGAATGTGCTGGAGAGTTTTGCTGATCAACGTCCTTTATGATGAATTTTGAATAATGAATGAAAATAATCTCTTGTCAGAGAAAAAATTTCATATTAAATAAAATTAAAATATTAATAAAAATTGTAAGTATAAAATAAATTTAATTATTCGAAATTAATTATATAGGACGTTTATCAGCAAAACTCTCCAGCACATTCTCAACTTCTTAAAAATCGGAAAAATTTTAGGGGTCAAAAAATCGATAAATGTAAATTCAAACAACAATTTATAGTTAGGGGTCTCTAGAGGTGCTAAAACGAAATTTCATATTAGCTTCACGAAACCAAAATTTTATGGCCTAGGTTACTTGAAAAAATTTGGTTTTTTGAATTTTTTAATTTATTGATAAACTTTGATAACCTTTACTATATTTTTATTGCAATCTACATAAAAAAGCTGTAAAATGATATATCAACATCGTTGGTTTGAGTAAGTAGAACGGCTAAATAAAAATATTAAAAAACGGAAAATGTCAACTTTCAGATTTTTTTGGCGAAACCAGGGCCTATTCACAAGGACGTTAAAAAAGGTTTACTCCAAATTTTTAACACACCAACCTGGTCGTTCCCTTGTTAGTCACTTACCTGACAATACTCAATGACCTCGACATTACTTTTGTCTGAGTTGATCCGATATCGCTTTCAAAATTAGGACATTATGTTTTCGACCAATCCCAGCAATACTGCCCAAGCTTTATCCACAATTTCCTATCTTGAGTACCCGCCCCGTCGCCTTAAACCTCGAGACCTCGCCAATAGCATTGTCACTTTGTAGTGGTGGCCAACCCTATCCAAGCAACCTCTATCATCCAACACACTGAGCTAAAGACTGGGGCAAAGCGATTTATATTGAAAAAATTCCACTTTACATCAACTAGGTAGCTACCGACTTCCACTCGTCAGGTACTTAGGACTATACCTATACAGCAGACTGCTGAGGGCTTGGACAAGTACCAAAACTTTTAGGATGGAAATCTTTTTTTGGCCGTCAACACTCAACTCTTTACAATACATTACTAAGACAATTTTGGACACACAGAGTAGAACTATTAGGTTCCGTCAATCCATCCAATATTTAGGGCATCCTTCCGATCAAAAGTCCTCAAAAAAATTGTCAAAGACGAAGTCACTTATTTTAAAAAACACAATGACCCCGGCATTACTTTTATCTCAGGTGATCCGATATCGCTTCCAAAAGTAACCCATTAAATTTTCAACCCTCCATACTGCCAAAGCCTTTTTTTCACTTTTCCATCATCAAGATCCGCCACGTCGCCTTAAACTACTATAATCACCCTTTGCCCCTTAACCCTTTTATATTGAGTATTAGCTTTGCCCCTTGACTTAGTAATTGAAAATAATATGACATAAATATTATAAAATGGTTCTGAATTTCGAATTAACTTTTCTCATTTCTAAAAAACTTTAGAATTGTAAAGGAGTTCGCGAAAATGAGGTTTTCAGGTGGCCTACACACTCAGGAGGGAAACCCTCCTGAAAGTGGGATGGGTGATAAAACAAACATACACAGTTTGTTTTAAAGATTTGATTTTTTCACATTCTAATCGACATAATCACTAAAAACGTCTTAGCGACACATTTATTTTTTAGGCTTTTATTGCTTCTCCATGTTGATTGGTTCATGTACTGGTCAAATAAGCCATCGGTCTGATATCCATTTAAAATAACTCGACACCTCTGCTGGATAAAGAAGAGAAAGTGTGAGGGGAATTATTTTCTTAGAAGAAAAGAAATCGGACGATGACCGACTTGAAAAGGCGGTTCAGTTCGACTTTGACCTTCATCGGTAATGGGAGTCAGTAAAGGGTTGTAAGTAAAATTAAAAAAAAAAAAAATGAAAAAGTCAGTAGTTAAAAGTTGGTAAAAGCTGTACTAACAATAATGGTAAAAATTGCATTGAAAGTTTGAAAGTTTTTCTCTTGGTTTCATTTGGTCTGTGCTGTATAATGTGTACGTCTCTGATTTCATGTCCAGTTCAATGAAACATGTTCTCTCCTCTTCAGGAGAATTGTACATTTTCATAAAATATGCTATTTCCTATACGAATTTGCTTATTATTTTATTTAATTTAGTTAATTTTGTTGTCAATTTGTATAGCAAGGTAATAATTAAGTAATAACTTTTCTAGGTTCAGACGCGCGTGTGTGCTCACCATTTTTTGCGCGACGACATTCTTTGTGCACTGCCAAAAGAATGAAGACAAAGAAAAAGGCATCCTGGGTAAAATTGATGATACAATTTGTAAACTATAAGCTCGTACTAATTATTTGATTATATGGACCATACAACATCGGAACTTCTTCAATTTTATTTCTTTCCTGCGTATAATTTATGTTATTATCTCTTATAATTTTTAAATGGAACAATAGGACGCCGGAGAAAAAATGGCGAATTTGATATGTAATAGAGCGAATTTGATTTGCAGAAGAGCGAATATAATTTGTTTTTGCAAAAAAGGACTCTCCTCAAAAAGTTAATTTGATTAACAAATTGGTTAATTTGGTTTGAAAAAGGGTGAATTTTATTTGCAAAAGAGTGAAATTTATTTACAAAAAAGTAAATTTTATTAGTAAAAGAGTAAATTTTATTTGAAAAAAAAGGTGAATTTTATTTTCAAAAGAGTAAAATTTATTTACAAAAGGGTGAATTTAATTGTCAAAAGAGTGAAATTTATTTACAAAAAAGTAAATTTTATTAGTAAAACAGTGAATTTGATTTGAAAAAAGGTGAATTTTATTTTCAAAAGAGTAAAATTTATTTACAAAAGGGTGAATTTGATTTGCAAAAAGTGAACTTGATTTTGCAAGTGTTAAATTGATTGGCAAAAGGGTGAAATTTATTTAAATTTAATTTTCAAAAGAGTGAAAGTTATTTGAAAAAGGTGAATTTGATTTTCAAAAGAGTGAAATTTATTTACAAAAGGTGAATTTGATTTGCAAAAGTATGAATTTAATTTTCAAAAGAGTAAAATTTATTTATAAAAGGGCGAATTTGATTTGTAAAAGAAGGGTGAATTTGAATTTCAATATCTATGCCACCCTTACTCTGTAGGTTAATTATTTGTAGTAGGACTCAAAGTTGGTATTCATTTTTTGCTCCCATATACTCAAAAATCCTTGTGTATCATTTTTTAGGAAAAAAAAAATTTCCTCATCAAATTGATTGTTTTGATTGTTGACATAGGTTGGAAGTAGAACAATCGAGCTTTCCATCAGTTGTCATAACATTGAATTTGGATAAAATTCAGTGTAGTTAAGAATTTCTAAGTGGGACAATACAGCACCGTGGGAAAAAAAGTGCCTCAGGCTATAATCTAGCCCAAATTTTTGTTTAATCTTTTTTCTATTGTGCAATTAACTTTTTTTCATATAATTCCTCATTATGTCCATTTTAAATAAATTAAATTAAAGCCGTGTGTTAGTTTGCATAGTCAAGCAGATTTTTTCAGCAAGACCCTCCATTTTCTAATGACCCGTCCAGTCTTCTACAGATGGATAAATCTTGAAAGCTTAGATTTCTGTTGTAGATTTTCTCCCTTTTAAAGGGAGTTCTTCAACTGCAGCGCCAGATCCCACATATCCACATCAATCAGTGGTCAACTCAGTAAACAAAACTCGCACCATGCCCTGTAAATGCGAAGAAGGCTCTTGCAATTGTTGTACTGGTAATGTGTTGACCAATTTCAATGTGTCAATGCGAAACAAAATTTGCGTCAACGTCGCTTATGATCCAGATGACTTCGAGTTCCTTTATAAAGTCATGTTCAATGAAAGACAACTCTATCAGAACACAATTTCAGGTATGAATTTATAAATCATGGCTGATCTTTTTCCCAAACTACATAACAAAAAGAGACATGTGCTGGTTAACATTTGTGCTTTCCAGGTAAAAATCCTCCTCCTATCTGCTTGCCATTGAGAAGATTTCTCCCAGGAACGGCATGTTTGCGATTTAATAACGTTTATATGATAGGACGAAATCTTCATGCCTGCCTCACTTTAGTGGGATTATGGCAGGAATTCGAACTTTTTAATGTACGACAAATTTGTTTGTGTATGTGTGTTTTATGGTTATTAAATGTAATTTCTGTTTAAGATATCTTTTGACTGCATCCGTGTGGGAACTAGTGGAATAGCAATCGTCAAACCGGAAGAAGGAGGTGGGTTACCAATTCCCGTTGTCGGTGAAGATGTAGACCCAGATGATTTAGATTATAACGATAGTGCTAAAACAATACTTACACACTGATCAGCATTTTGTAACAAACTCAATTAAATAGTAATTTCCCCCAAACTATGGAGTTTTTTTTAAAGTAATTTTATCTTACCTTGATCCCCAAGCTCTATATACATCTCAATGAACCTCAAGATTCAATGAGTTACGCAGGTGTGCATCAGAGAGGGTCCTTAATGAGGATGCCTTGGTAATAATTACCTGTCATTTTCATATAAATCTTTTTTTTTAAGTACTAATAGGGCTTTATGCCCCCTTACATATACTTATATTAGAAATAAATTAAGTTTTATAAATATAATAAAATAATAATAAAACATGTAATAATATATACAGAACAATAATGACAATAATATATTCTTTAAAATTCTAATTGTTTATAATTGAACAATGAAACATTACCAACCACATCACGAAAGAAAAGCAGAAAGAGAAAAAAAGGAAGAGTGAAAAAGAAAAGGAAGATGAAAGAAAAGTTGATGATTCATGTCATTTTTAAAAACTCAGATGCCTTGGACCTGAAACAAGCCAGCGAGGAAGCAGAACATACTTCTCGGGGGAGCAAATTCCATAGTCTTGACCCTGCAATTCTGAAGGATAAGATTAAAGGTTTAGAAGAGTGTTGAGGGCTTGGGATATGTTTGGTGCGTTTGGTTAAGGAATGAGGGAAAACAGTTCATAGATTATTGAGGACATTTGTGATTCAATTTTAATTATGTATTAATTTAAAAAATTAATAGGGGAGCTGTTGATATGAGGAGGAGATGGGCAATCTGTACTAATGGGTTTATTGTAAATTAATAAGGACTGGGATTTGTTAGGGTTTAAAGAATGCCATTATTTCTTGACCATTGGTTGAGAGAATGAAGATCACGGTTGAGCAGAGATATAGCTTCAGATGTTGCTTGTAGGACATTGACTATAAAGCTCAGTGTCATCAGCATAAAGATGAAATTGGGAGAAATTGAGAACTAATGAAGATCATGTAGAAACATGGAAAAGAGTAAAGGCCCAAGAATAGAGTCTTGGGGTTCACCAGCTGAAATTGAGAGAGAAGAGGAGGTAGAATATGAAGCTTTAACTCTCTGAGTTCTGTCAGACAGATAGTAGGAAATGAGATTAGTAGCAGTGGAAGAAAACCCAAAAAGATGCATCAGTTTCCAAATAAGCAGATTATGATTTACACAACCAAATGTATTGAAAAAATCAAGTAGAACAATAATAGTACACTATCATCAATGCCTAGGTGAATATCATCTGAGATTTTGAGAAGAGCACAAGTATAAGATTTTCGGAAGCCAGATGCCAAATGCTTTGGATAGAGATGGAAGAATACTAATAGGGCGATAGTCACTAGTAAGAGTAGGTTTAGGTTTCTTGGGTAATGTATTAAATTCTTGTGGCTGGCGTGACATCAAGAACCTGGCCATTACTTACTTCCAGCCTTCTTTTTATTTTTGAGGGTGGGAAAAGACAGCTACCTTCAAGACAAATTTACCATCTATCAAAATACATAATACAAAATTGTTTCTGACTGCCTGTGGTAACTAAAGTTTCAGTCACCACTACTGAATACAGACAATAGTACATTCTTAACAACACCCCTTGATTTAAGCAGGGTGTAAATAAGACTCGCCGACTTAGCAACTGCCACATCCTGGTTGCTAAAAATAAACTGCTCATTGTGACTTGCAGATTGAATCCCTCTGATCATTGGACTATCCATCTAAATTGTTATCGAGTGATCATTTTCCAGATAATGCTGAGAAAAACCTGCTGGAAGACAGGAAGTAAATAAGCTGCCTATAGAGGTTATCATGGTTCAAAGATCTTTGGGGGGGGGGAACTTAAAGACATTCTGATGTTGTACAGGGATAATAATTTTTTTAATAATCTCCAATTTAACTAAAGTGTCTCCAATGTCATGTGACCCAATCTGTTTCCTGACTCATAATTTTAAAGTAAAGGAAAAAGAATTCAGATCCCATTTAGCCTTTGTATACACACAATTTTTGTATTTTGTATTACATTTGTATTGTTCTGTGGTATGTAGCATAGGTGTGAACTGATTTGCAAAAGGTAAAATTTAATTGAAAAAGGGTAAATTTAATACAATTAATTAAGGTTTTTAGTTGAGGTAAAAAAGTCAATGGCACGAGCAGGATTCGAACCCACGATCTTCGGCTTGATACGCCGCTGCTCTACCACTTGAGCTATTCATTTGTCGTTGAGAATCCAATCCGATTACACGACATTTGAAAAAAGGAGGGAAAATTCAAAAGGTGTAGTTGAGATGGGAAGTCGATGATCGAGGTCACGATAGCGCCAGTGGTAGAGCAGCAGCGTATCTAGCCGAAGATCGTGGGTTCGAATCCCCCTCGTGCCATTGACTTTTTTACGTCAACTAAAAACCTTAATTAATTGTAATATATTAATTGGCCAAGCGGACCACAAAATTAGTGAATTTAATGGTAAATTTAATTTTCAAAAGAATGAAATTTATTTACAAAAATGTGCATATGATTTTCAAGAGTAAAATTTATTTACAAAAGGGTGCATTTGATTTGCAAAAGGGTAAATTTAATTTGTAAAGTGTGAAAATGATTTTCAAAATGGTAAATTTGATATGAAAAAGAGTAAATTTAATTAGCTAGTGTTAATTTTATAAGCAAAGGGGTGAATTTCATTGACAAAAATGTGATTTGATTTGCAAAACGGTGAAATTAATTGGCGAAACGGTTAGTTTAATTTGCAAAAGGATGAATTTAATGTGTAAAAGTGTGAAATTGATTTGCAAAAGTGAAATTTATTTGCAAAATGATACAATTTATATGAAAAAGTGAATTTAATTTTTTAAAGTATGAATTTCAGATGAAAAAAGGTAGTATTTCAATTGCAAAATTTGAATTTGATTGACAAAAGAGGGATTTAATTTGCAAAAGGGTGAATTTCATTAGCAAAAAGTGGATTTAATTTGCAAAAAGGTTAATTTAAATTGCAAAAGTGTGAATAATTCGGATACCATTTTGCCCTTGTTGTAAAATATGATTTTGTATTTAGTAATTTTGTATTCAACAAGTTCATAAAAAATATGTAAAATAATATGGAATAAATATTGGCCATTTATGTATCTCTAATGAAACCAACTTATTGCAAAAACATGTTAGCGAGATAGACAAAACAGTCGCGATATACCACAATTTGCCATGAACACATAATTAATTATGATACAATTAAAAAGAATATTAAAAATGGATAATTTGATTTTTGCTACTAAGGTATAATTTTATACTTCCATTGGTTGTAATTTCTTTATTACATCTATTAAAATATAAATAAAATGATACAAAATATAAACAATATCAAAAAAATGATCTTCAAATTAGGATATTATATTTTTAAAATACTGAATACATATATGGACGGTTTTTTTTGTGTGTGTTAAGTAATATAAAATAAAAGTTGAAATATCACAAGAAAATTTAATGTTATACAAGTTATATTTAATAATTAACAAACCAACATGCAATTTTTTGGCAAGAAGCCATTAAAATTTAAATTTAAAACAGTACATATTAATCACAGTTGTTACAGCTTGACAGAATCGCCTTCATCATGGTGTCTAAAGGAGAAGCTACCTCCAACGGGCATTCAATAAACTATGTCCATACATATTCGATAAGCACGGGTGCTATGACTGTCCTACCATATTGAGTGGACAAAAGCCAGACGACAAGCGAGGATGAAAACCAAGACGGTTTTGTGTCTTCCCCTAGTTGGCAAGTTATAATTTGAACGGGTCTGTCTTTACCGAAAAATGCTCAAGTTGTAATACACAAGTTCATATTGTAAAACGACTCTTAGCATTGTCTTTTGTCAATTTTTCTGAATGTGTGAAAGCACTCACACACAAACACACACGCACATTTATAAAACTATACATCTCAACAAAATATTAAATAATGTAAGTACACATGTTACTTACTTATTACTATCACAAAATGTGGGGCTTTAGAAACAGTTATTTTCTAATGATGCTAACAAATTATTCAGTTATTATAACTATTTAGATCTCTTAGATACAGGACTATCAGGCGGTGTTAGCATAGGTTGATTATGCTGTCTACGATGTCCTGTTTTTATGACTAACTTTTTATGAGGTCTGGGAGAAATGCCTGGGTTGCAGGAAATGTCCCCGCCTTCTCCGCTGGCCCAACTTCCTGTATCTTCGCCTAAAAGTTATCACCATTAGAAATCTTTATTTACAAGAGATTAAGTGTGGTATTAAGAACCTCCTCCCCCGGCATGAGAGTTGTATGCCATTTTATGTGTAGTAGAATCTAATAAAGCTGCGAGAGTCGAACTGCCGTTCGATCCTGCTGATGAAACCGAACCGTCTTCCATAATAGGATGTATGGAACCTAACGAAAAAAAAGTATATATAAATTTATATATTATATTTTATATAAGACGTGATTATAACTACCAGGATGTTTCTGCTGGGAATTAAGTTCAGCAGTGGGTTGAAGAGGTGAGAATATGTTTGCAGTGAATTCTTCAAAGGTTGAAGGCTTTTTGTGATTTTTAATAACTGTTTCTAAAGAACGGCCTCGTTCTTCATAACTGAAAAATTGGATTATAATTTCATTAATTTCTTCTTTACAGGTGTAACACTATCTTATGAAAATAAACATTACTATTGCTGATAAAATTGAAGCATGCTACGTTTTGCTCGTGAAGCACTCAATGCAGTCGCTCTCACCAAGCCGGGCAGTTCTTGATGGCCGACTATCGCTTCATTATACAAAGGGCCAAAATATGGAACCTTGAAATAATAACAAAAATTTATGTTATTCTAGAAAAACAAAAATACTGCATCCTAAATACTTACATCTGATTTCCTAGATACTTGAATTCTATAAAGCTGATGTGGCAGAGGATAGATTACTATTAAAATGTCACAAAATTCAGTAGGAATGATACCACGCCTATAATCCCTTGTATGCTCAGACCAAACAATATGCACTTCATCATTTCCCAAATGTCTTGTCTGTGAACCCGAATAATCCACCACACACAATTTATTTACAATAGACCAGAAATTATTCATTCACATTATAGGAAAAACATACCTTTTGAAGTAAAGCCTCAGGGGTTGATGATGGCATCCTTGTTGAAACGTGTAACATGACTTCAGTGAATGAAGTGGCGTAGTATGGCGCAGTTATTCCGGTCATTTTATTCCGCTGTAAACCTCCCATAAATCCCATATGTGTTTCTAGTTCCACCTAGGAAAAATTCAATCATTGTTGTCTCAATAAAATTAACTTGCTATTTTAACATGGATATGTTCTTGGGAGGGTTACATGAATGTTTTCACACCACGGACTTCCTGTTCTTTTTACCAAGGAGTGTGCTTGCATTGGGTTGGATTAGATTAGGTTAGGGTTTTATAGAATTAGAGTTAAGTAAGTATTGATTATGTTAGGTTGAGTAGGGTTAGAATAGGTCAAGGTTTGTTAGAGTTAGATAAAGGTTTGATTGTGCTAGCTTAGTTATGGTTAGATTATGTTAGGTTTTGGTAGGGTTAAAATAGTTTAAGGTTTGGTAGGTTAGATAAAAGTTTGATTATGTTAGATTAGGTTAGGAAGGGTAAGGGTTGGATATCGTTAGATTTAGTAGAGGTAAGGATTGATAGGGTGTGGTAAGGTTAGTGTTTGGTAGAGTTAGATAAGGTTAGGATTTGATATGGTTATGGTCTGGTAGAGTTAGATTGACATAAGGTTTAGTAGGTTAGTGTTTGGTAGAGTTAGATAAGGTTAGGATTTGATATGGTTATGGTCTGGTAGAGTTAGATTGACATAAGGTTTAGTAGGTTTGAGGTTGGGGTTTGGTAGAATCAATAATGTTAAGGTATGGCAAAAATAGATAGTAAGGTTATTCACGATCTTTGTTTTAACCCTGTTAACTCTATTAGGTTGTTTGATCAAGAAAAAGGATGACATAGACTTGTAAGAATGGGCTATTTAACATTGTTTGATCTAACAGGGTAGGGCCAATGTTAGATGTTAAGTCGAATCAAATAGCAGTATAGTCACATTGTTAGCTATTTGTTTGTGTGGATAGGTTACATAATCAATATTCAATGTTTTCCTGTGAAACAAACTGTCCGGTATGACAATTGTACAATAGGGTTAAAGTGCAGTTTTCTACCACAAAAACGGCTAATTTTGGTGTACTGCTGGAATGTTGCCAAACAATAAACTTATTTAATATAAAAACGTGTTTTTACTCAATGGGTTTGAATTTTTGTGGTTTCAAGAACAAATGGGTAAGATTGGATAGAAAATAGGGTTAGAAATAATGGTTCGAGGGATTGGAGTGAATTATTTGGAGGTTGGGATGCTTGGTTTAACACCACAGTTTACAATGAGACTAAGGATAAATTAAAAAGGAAAAAATAAATTCAAATAACAACATCGTCTTAATCTTTTTTGTAAATAAAATAGCTCCTGAACGGCTGAACCATTTTCAATTAATGAGGTAACATTTGAAGCAGAATTTTATGTAATTGTGTTTTTTGGGGTTTTTAGAAAGAAAAAAAAAAGTTTTGAGCTTATAAGCACAGGCCAGTACAGGAGAAAATAACGATTTATATATTGCTCACCTCCCAAGCCAGACCTGCGATAAATTCTTCATAAGCATGACTTCCTCCTGAATTAGATAATATTGAGTTTTTGTCCTCCTGACCGTGTGCGACATAAATTATCGCAACTTTATGTGTTTGACGACATCTCTGAAACATTACAATGAAATATAATTTATAATTAGGCAAAAGAAGAAGAAGAAGAAAAAAAAGCAAATTTAATATTTCAACTAACAATTTTGCCATAAAGTCTACTTTTACTGCTCGATAAAAGTTTATTTTCCACATTAATTAGTTTAAAATTCTCCAAAGTTTTATAACTATTAAGAACGTAGAATAGCAAAGCTTGAATTATTTACTGAGAAAAAATTCTTAAGAAATATAATACTTGTGAATCAAGATTCCTCATTTCCCTCAGAAGTTTGTCATTTTTGTCAACCAAAAACAGCTGAGAACGTAGATCCCAGCCATGCATTCCAAACTGAGAAAATAGGAGGCGACAGTATTGAAACGGTGCTTCTTCACATTTTTCAACTGGTGCTTCGGATATTCCAATATCACTAAAACAAAATATCATTATCAGGCCCAACTTACATATACAATATTGCACTGTTATGCAAATCGTCAATATCATTCAAATCCCTTTTATATTACGTCTCATACCTATTATAACACTAATGAGTATCTAGGAGTGTACAGAAATGGTTCTATTCACTTGACAAAGATAAATATATTAAATATATATACACAATTAATGCAATGTCTTTGAAATTGGAGAAACAAAATACCAGGAATCAAATTCAGGAAAAGTTCAGGGAGGCTATTTCTTTTTATTATTGGAACGAAGAGGAATTCTATTTCTGAAAACCATAAAGATGGAGAAATTGCAGCTTCTACGGCAACTGACATGGAAGAAAGTTCATCATTAAAATTTTTCATAATAGAAGTGGCAGTATAGCCATTATGTTCATTGAGAAAATGACTGTCCTATAGAGCAGATTATAAAATAGAACTTATCTTTTTATAATGAACATGGCTGTTTTTGAACTGGATACATAATTTTTTTGACCGTTTTGCATTATCTGGGAGTGGGCATGGGTTGGGTTGGGTGAGGTTAGGTTACATAAGGTTCGGCTTAGAAATAGGCTAGGTTAGTAGGTTAGAGTTAGGTAACAGCTAGTGTTATGCATAGGTTAGGTAGGGTTAGTGTTTGATTATGACAGGTTAGATAAGGTAAGGGCTAGTCTTTGGCAGAGTTAGATTTAATTTAGAGTTAAGGTTTCATAGAGTTACATAAGGTTAGGGTTAGGGTTTGGTAAGGATAGATAAAGTAATCGTTTGGTATTAATTGGAGTTAGGACTTGTTAGGGTTAGTTAGTTAGTTGGGGTTTGATTGTGGGTTAACGTAAGGTAGAGTTAGATTAGGTTAGGGTTAGGTAGAGTGTTAGAGTTTGATTACGTTAAGTTAGGGCTTGATGGGGTTAGGGTTTGGTTACACAAAGTTAGATAAGGTACAGGTTAGGTTAGGGTTTGATAGTATTGAGCACAAATAGATCTACTCAGGTCAAGGTGCAGAAAACCTTGTGGCCACCTCTTTTATTACTATCCCTTGGTATGGTTAGATTAAGTTTGATTAGTCTTTGGTAGTTACATTGGGTTAGTGTTCGATAGAGCTAGATTAGGTTAGGGTTAGTGTTAAGCTTAAAAATGGGTCAGTTTAAGTATGAACGGTTACAATTGATTTAAGGATTCTTAGCTTTAAATTCTTAGATAAAATGGACAGTGTAATGAATATTAAGGCAAATGTTACCATTTACCTTGGTATTTGATTAGCTGAATTGCTAATATAATCTTGTTGCATTATACGCATGCTTAAAATAGAACCCATTGCTTCCTGCTCCAAATCTGCACATAAAGGTGCTGAAGGTACATTTCTAGGAATATCCAAACTCTCCAATATTTCTGGAGAAGAGTATCCAATGTATTGCAATAGCTAGAATGAAATATAAAGAAACATGTAAAAATTGCTCTGTTAGAAGATCATAACAGGACAAATCTTTCTTACTGACATCATCTAAGTTGTCCATGTCTTCAGCTGAATTTGAGTACGTCGGAAGCAAATAAGGCTCTCGGTGCCTTAACGTATGTTGCGGCAGTGAGCATACACTCAGCGAATTCATTATTGAATTATTAACATTTACGTCAGTGCAATTGACATCAAAACAAAAAGAAGCTGTATCTGCAAAATATGTGGTACATTATATTTACACAAAATATTTAAAAATATTTCCTCACCTGAATCAGAAGATTCTTGGGATGCTGTGTACAGCGCTGAAGCATCCCACGAAGATTTTCCTGCCAGATCCCTGATAATAACTCTGACTTGAGATGGAGCTGACACCAAGCCTTGAGCCACACTGCCTCCAGGAACGTCTAATGCTGGGACTTCGACCAAAGAAACAAGCTGCTGAAGGCTTGTAACAAGTACCTGGAAAATTAAATATAATAGTTTATGATATACAATTATTAAAAATGTAACATTTTTATCAGGCAGTTTACCTGAATGTTTGGAACAGTAAATAATTGTAATGACAATTGGTCAGCAGGAAGGCCGACGACGTCATCCTGTTCCACGACTATTGAACCGAGATTTGCACCTCCGTTTGTAAGAGGAAAATGGCCTAAGTTATTCACCAAATGTGAGGTCACCTGTTACAAACATTGATTGTTAAGGACACGGTATGCTGGATGTAACCAGGCTCAATACTAAAGCAAAGTTACAAATGTAAAAACTTACAAGTCTAGCAGCAAGTTGAATGGAATGCGCTGTGGAAATTAAATGAGCCGGCGATGCTGGGTTTGAGGCAAATATTGTTCTCCTTGTTGGTGGAATATCTTGTTGCTTTAAATCGTCAAAACTGATATTCGGATTAAATTCCTGGATTAGATCAGGATGGAATGATCCAACTTGCACACCTCGTCCTTTCCCGCCTTCACTCAAGTCATCTAAAACCTATAATCAATTGTGGGTGTTATGACCATTTAATCTATTCAAAATAATTTATCACACTAACAAAAGAATATATATAGAAAATGATTGTTTAGTATTATGCTGAGGTACACACATACAAAAATTGGTACCAAATGCATTTACCACAAATCAAAAATTATTTTTCACACAAATTAAAATAACTATGCTTTTCCTAAGGGTTTGCATGGTTGAGTGAGAGCTAGTGTTAGGCTTAGGTTGATGGGTTAGGTTAGGTTGGCTCAGTGTTACATTAGGTAGGGTTAGAATTAAAGTTAAACTTAGTATTAAGTTTGCTAGGATTAGGGTTAGGGCTGAAGATGGATTAGGTTAGGTATGGTTAGGACTAGTGGTAGCCATAAAACCATAAAAATACATACATATAGTTTGAAATGAACAACAAAATATGAGTTCTCAGTTTTTTGTCTTTGAGTGCATATTTATCTCTCTCCCTCTCTCTCTCTCTCTCTCACACACACACACACGCACGCACACACACACACACACACACGTTATGAGGTTGTTAGGCTAATATCAACAATTTTCATATATATCATGAAAATATAGCATTTATTGTTTTAGTTTGAAAATATATGTATAAAAAAATACCTTGAAAACATTGTTTAATAAACATGTGCGATTGTGGACATTTACAAGTTGATTGAGAGGAATGTTCATCGTCCACTCTCCTAAACAGAATACCAATGAAGTCAAAAGTCTTTTATCACTGTCACCAATTGGCATCAGATGATTTAAAGTTCCGACCAAAACCTGGAAATGTGGCTTGTGTTATTTCATTTTCCTTGTAAATGAAATATAAATGCAACAAGTTATACTTCAACGATTCTCGGTGGTATTTCTGGAAATCGATTTAATAAAACATCAGCGTGGTCACACAATAGGAGTAACACATCTGAAGCCGTTTGGGCGACTGTTTTATGATTAAACTAAAACAAAGTACATGGTGGTTATGTGCTTACACAAACAATTATTCCTTATACCTAAATCATTTTCGATTTGACTTGTTCTATTTTTATTTACACAACAGATAAATAAAAGCAAAAGTAAATTAAGGAACAGGACAATATTTTATTTTTCTGCTGTTTATCAGTTCTGGCTAAGCTCATATATTGCACACCAATATTGCATCTAAAATTGTATTGAAGCTCATGATGTTATATACACCTTGAGAATATTTTTTTAAAAAATGTGGAAATCTCTCTATAGTATTAAAAAATTTAAGGGTGAGATAGAAGGACCTATATGATTTTAACGGAGTAGAAAGAGAAAAGGTTAGAGGGGGTAAATGCAATGTTTAGATAGAATTTTCACTATATTCTCAGTTTAGGGTTAAGGCTGGGGCTAGTGTTACGCTCACAGATGGGTTAGGTTTGGTTAGTGTTAAGTTAGGTAGGATTAGGGTTAGGTAAGGTGTTTTACAGAGGGGTGTCTGTTAAAAGGAATTTCACTGTATATTACGCATTTAAAAATACGAAAAATGTAAGATAAAACAAAAAATCTCTTTTTGGTAGACCTTTTTTTATTAAAAGGTGTATTTTAAAAAATTTGGGTTAAGATTCAGACTAGTGATTATATGGAGATCGTGAAATACGATCTGGTGTGACATAGGTTTTAGAAAAACATTTTCTTTATTGTGCCTTTGATCTAAGATGATCTCAATAAAGATCGAAATGTTGGCACGATAAAGAAACTTTTTCTAAGACCTAGGTCACACCAGAACACATCTCATGATCTCCATATAATCATTAACTAACGGTCACTAAACACCACACACGTTGAGACTAGTGTTAGGCTCAGAGATAGGTTAGGTATTTAAAAAAAGTGAAATAAAAATAAAAACTTTTTTGTTAGGAATTTTTTAAAGGTGTTTTATAGAGGGGTCTGTTAAACGGGATTTCACTGTATATTAAGTATTTAAAAATAAGATAAATGTAAAATAAAACAAAAAATCTCTTTTTGGTAGGCCTTTTTTAAAGGTGTATTGAAAAAATTCCATAAATAAATACATGTCTTCAAAATGGTAAGAGATTGCCAAAACATCATAAAATCATGAATTTTATTTAAACCTTTACATAATAAAGCCTATAGGGGCGTTGGTGGCCGCAACAGTTTAGGCGTTGGCACGGCGCTCATCAATATAAGGTAAAGGTCCCGGGTTCGAATCCAGCGGCCCTGCATTCGAACCCGACATACTTACAAATGGGCTTTTTTTCAAAAACATCGACACCCCGAGGGTATATAAGGAAAATACCTTATATACCATACACTAATGTAGTGGTAATTTGTTTTTATAAAATAATTTAATAGAGAAGGTGTAAAAAAAAAGTAAGTACGTACTTACCCTAAGTGCAAGCAAAAGAGTATTGATTGCTTCTTTAATTTTGGGATGTTTTGCACCCCTTAACAACTCTTGATGTAAAAAAATGCCAAGATTTGATAACGCTATGCAACGTGCTACACCTGCACCTTCTGTTTTGCCCGCGCTCAAAATCGTTTTCAAAACTTCATCCTGGATAACAAGGTCACATTCAGAATATTATGCTGAAATGTTCAAGTGAAATAGAATTACCTTTAAATTGGGACATTTTGATGCCCTCATGACATCCGGATTTGCTTCTAAAACTGGAAGCTCCAATAAATAATCAGGAAACGATAACAAAGCTCCAAGAATAGAAATGGCCTCTACTCGAGGGCTCTAAAAATAAATTGTCATCATTAATAACTATAACAAACAATAATAAATGCACATACCGTTCTCAAATCAGATGAAGATATCACAGAATTTGCCGCTTCAATAAAATCTGCAATCAGCAATGAAAAACCAGGTAGCTGAATTGAGAAAAACCGAGGGCCACAATGCTTGATAAGAGTATTAATGACTGTCTAAAAAAATTGACATAACATATACTTCATACGAAGAACACTATTTTATATATGAGTCTTAAAAAAAACTTACTTGATCTTTGGAAAGCAACCCCTTGTGAAGCATAGAATAAAAAAGGGACAGATGTTTAGGATGTAATGGCACATCATGATTTAGAACGGTCATATTACATAACAACCGTAATGCACACAATTTCCCCTTATGATATGCTTCAGACAGATTAAGAGACTGAAATAAAAAATTGTTTATTTACTAAAATTAATATTTAATTACTAATTATAAATACAATCTAACCTGAAAACTCCACGGTGCGAAAATAGTAAGAGGGGGCACTAATTCTGGAGGAGCGGGAGTTATCTGAGAATCACTCGGAATTCCTTGATTAAGTCTTATCTAAAAAAATAAAAAATAAAAAAAATATAAAACAATATTAGTAAAAATTCAACGATCTTACCTTGGCAAGTGTTTCAAAAAGATCAATGAGAAAAAGAAATACGTTATAGTGCAAAACTGGCATTTGTATTTTGTTTATGTCTCCAAGGGCTCCTAGCATTCTCAGCCAAAGGATTGCCGCTACATCTGGCAACCAACCACGGATAGTACCACCACTCATAACTGATTTTCCATCTTCAGTATTTTCTTAACAAAAATAGTTCAAACATTAGACAAATGATCTAAAAGTTGTCATTTATACATTTTAATTTCGGAAATACCTGTTAAATCACCTTCGTTGTTCAGTACATCCAATTGCATTGGAGAATCTTTGAATGAATTGCTTTCAACTCCACTCGATGGTGCAGGAGACGGTGTCCTCGTTGCGCACTCTGAATCATAATCAACGTTCACCCTAACTGCTACAGAAATAAATTATTAATAAATAGGATGTAACGGAAAAATTAAAAAATATAGCAATCAATGTCACCTCTTAAAGAATCCACTGAATGCCATTTTCGATTCAGTCGAGATTCCAATCCTAAATGGCTGAGAGCAGGCAATCGGTCATCTTCCAAGTCAAGTTCACATACGCCTTTAAAAAGCATTGCCGGTTGAATTTGAAACCTAAAGCTTATATCTCAAAAAATATAAATGTATACAAACCAGAAATATTTGGGGATTGGAGATGATAAGAAATTTTTCTTCTAGCCCATGCGACATTAACTTCACTAGTAGTACGCCTTAAATTTCCTTCTTTTTCGATGTTTGTTGTATTGTCTGAAGCAGTTTGAACAAAAATATATTAAAAAATATTTAAAAGGTTTTTAACTGATCCAGCTTATTTCATTTGGGTTAAGTTAAAAGATGAGTCGATAAAACAGGAGACAAAAGGGTGGCCCAAAAGAGGCAAATTATTTTATTCAATGGCTGAAATTTTGTTAATACAAAATTCTTATTCTTTTAAAATAATTTTGTTTATATTTTATATGGCATCAAAAAATTGTATACAGCCATAATAATATAACTGGGTAACAAATTTACTTTTTATCAACACAAACTATATCTTCACTGACACATTACACAAAAATTACCTTAACCTTAACTCTAAATTAAATCTAACTTTGCCAAAACCCTTACCTTATCTAACTTCACTAAACCCTAACCTTACCTGACCTATCATAATCAAACACTAACCCTACCTAACCTATGCATAAAGTGGCCCATAGACTGTCAATATTATTGTACAATATAGATTGCACAATAATTTGACGGTTGCCCCTTAACGTTCAATAATATTGCACAAAATTTTGTTTGTGCAATGAACTTGAATAGTCTGAAAGCGATATTGAAGTTTGTGCAATATTTTGTGTACTTGCTGATACTTCACAAACTGACTGATATTGCGCAATAATGCCAACAGATGGTGCAATATTTTCCAGGTTGTACAATATATTTTCAATCTTTCGTCAATCATGCAATGTATTGCACCAACTTTCAATATCGTCTACACACGATCAATTAAATTGCACAACCCAAAATATTGTGCAATAATATTGATCGTCTAAGGGGTGCTTAACACTAGCTGTAACCCTAGCCCTGATGTAACCTAACTCTAACCAACTAACCTAACCTATTTCTAAGCCGACCCTTACCTAACCTAACCTCACCTATGCCCACTCCCAGATAGCGCAAAACGGTAAAAAAAATGATGTATCCAGTTCAAAAAAGCCATGTTCATTATAAAAAGACAAGTTCTATTTTATAATCTGTTCTATTTTATGCTTCTTATGGACCTCAGGTGCATAACTGCCAATTAGGGAATCAACTGTGATATATCTTCGGCAGATAAAAGTAAAAAAAAAGATGTTTTGCTTCGTTTACAATAAAATTGGCTGTCTACATGAAAAGTGACACCCAGTTTATTAAATGATAATTATTTAAATTTTTTACTTAACCTTTGAGTGGTCGCACTGGGGTAGTTTTGTACCCCAGAATTTTTTTACTATGTCTTGCAGAGTCCACAAAATCAAACCCCTCTAGGCTCATTCAATTGTAGAAATAACTTATAAGGAAGTATGGCTAGGGTGGCAGCTGGAATGTTAGTGTGCAGCAATCATCCCTCAAAGAGGACAACCCGTTCTTGGGGTACAAAACCACCTTGTGCAACTTATTATGTAAGTTTTTTAAAAATAATTTCCTATATTTTTTGTTTATCTATAAACCTACATATATATAAATAATTTTTAAGAAATAGGCTGGGGTTAACTTGGTACTCTTGTGTGACCACTCGAAGGTTAAAAACTTTCAAATAGTCATTTGCCAAATTATACATTAAATAATGCTACAGTTTGTATGTGATGTGCGCTGTTAAAAATAGAAATGTAATAATTTGTTGAAAACAAAATTATGAAGCTTAGTACCTCTTGCTGTAGGCAATGCTTTACTCATATTTTCAGGATCCACCGGTGGTATTGCATCTGATTTTCCCGTTTTTGTACCGCAAACTCCTTTCCTTTGACGTTTGGCTTTTTGTTCACTCAATCTGTCCAAAGGTAAATCAGTCAATTCCAAACTATAAACATGGCGGGCGAGTACTCGTGTCAATGTTTCAAGTGTTTTCTGTTGAATAGAAATATTTAGTAAGCGAACTAGTAAGTTTTAATGTGTAAAAACGTACCGCCCATTCTTTAATGAGTTCTTCCCATTGAGTCAACATGCTTAGAACGCTAAAGAATTGATCCCAAAGAATTTGGGAAATGACGACATTAAGGTTTGCTTTAATCCAAGTCACTATCAACGTCTAAAAACATAAAAGTACATTTTATTTATGAAATTTAAACATACATAAAGCCAAATTGTCTGACTAAAAAACTATTTATTAACTCAAATAAAGTTATTATAATCAATACAACACAATATACCTGAAAGATTGCAGGAGCGAGCCTTCCTCCGAGTGTTTCTTCTTTTTTCTTTGGTGGAGTAGGAGAGACTATAAGGGAGGTGATATGTAGTAGTATAATAAGCAGTTGTTCCCTACAAATGAATAACATTAAAATATTATGTTGTACAATTGTAATATAAAATAAAGTACCAAGTTTTAGCCTCCATATGTGTATGCATAACCATATATCTGTATATATTCAGAACTCTTTTACAGATTTCGACTTGATCGTCAAGGAGGTCGAGCGAATCGGGATTAACTTCTAACAAAAACACATTGGCCGCATCTGTTATGAAAACTTGTAAAACATTCTAAAAATAAAACCCAACATCAAAATATGAAGTGTCTTTCGCAAAATTTTAAAACAGCATACCTGCAGGCCAGCTCGAATTTGGAAATTTTCTTTGCTAATAGCTCCTAAATAAGAATCATTCCTTAACTTTGATAATTTGGAATAGTCATCTGGCCCCTATAAAAGATAAACCAAAAGCAAAAGCTCTGAATGCGATACTACTAGGCTTAAACTAACAAGCAACATTCAGTTTTCTTCTAAATAGACTTTTACTTAATAACTCTGCATTAAATATTTACTAGTGCTTGCTTAATTGTAACAATTAAAACTCATGTTATATGCATTTTTTTACATAACAGGGAGTGCACATAGGTTGAATTAGGGTTGGTTTTACAGTTAAATTACATATCCACGATTCATTGTTTTTCAGTGAAGCAGAGAAAACATGCGTCTGTAGAGCACAATTTTTTTTGGTATAATTTTGTTAGAGTAGAATTCCTTAATAATTTGATGTGTAATAAGCATATTTTGAGATATTGCCAGGAAGGAAAAGAAAAGGCTTCTGTTAGTGCCTATGCCGGCTGAGATTCCTATACCCAGGAAAGTAAAAGTTCAGAAAAAATCTCGGAGTGCTAGGTAATAATAGCGATTCCAAAATTGACCAATATTGGTCATAGAAATTACGAATGGTGGAGTGGTTGTAGAGTTCAATCCTTTTTAAAAAGATGGTTCCTACTCACAGTAAACAGCTTACTGTGATAGGAACCATATTTTTAAAAAGGAATATTGGTCATGGTGCATAAGGTCTTAAAGAGGCTGACTCCTTTAACCACCCTTATAACTTCAAATAAACTTTTTTTAAATTTCAAATTTACACTTTTTAACTTCAAAGAAATGTTAATTTGAAATTAAAAAGGGTTAATTGGATGGAAAAAATTTATACATAAATCTATTATACACTTGCTTGTCCTTTATTATATTTATAAATTAGAAATTAATTAAATATGAAATTATTAATATAAAAGGATATAAGTATATACATTTTTTAGGTAAAGGAAAGTAAAATACATACTTCGATACTAGAAAAGTCCACTGAAGAAGGTCCAGAACTTTTGCTTTCAACAGGTTCCAACATAAACGGTGGTACTTCTATAACCTATAAATATAATTAAAGTAAATAACTACTACATCAAGTAATAAAGAATATATCGACTGACATTCATTTGAATCCAGTCTTTGTAAACAGTGATAGCCCTTCGGATAGCCGGTGCGTAAGAAAAATTCAAGAGAAACGCCTGCCGATATATTTCGTGTATAAGATTCACGTTGTCCCTGTTTGAGTATAGTACATCCCTGACAGTCTGGAATGCGGACAGGTTGGGATCCTCGCTGAAAGACATCCGCTTACAAAAAAGCACATGACTTAAAACGTTTGACATTTACCTTAAATGAATATCAAATGGAGGAGTGAACGGTGCATTGACTGCTGTGTCATTACCTGCTTGACCGACACTTACTCTTCTTAGTTCTGAGCCTGGCGATCTTTCTCCCTCGCTTTCATTAGGCGTTACACTAATAACACCAACAAATATTATTTATACAAAAATTAATATATGAGGTTTAAACATTCACAATCGGTTTATGTATGCATTACAATTTATAATTTTTTAATATTATTATTTATTTTTATATGTATATTACATACCTAGCAGACCTTCCTATCTGAGGGACTGGGTGTGTTTTGGTTAAATGTGTAAAATTTGCAATCCATTTTATTACAGCTACTTTGCAGTTTATGATTGGATCAGGTAGTTTACCATTATCAACATTGGTATGTGTCCTCATTGATGGAATTTCTAAAAAAAAAAAAAAAATAAAAAAAAAATGAAGATAAAGCAAAATCCAATTTGTATATAATTATTCATTTATAAGTACGCTAAGTACATAATTATTGGGTTGTCTGGATAATAATGCAGTTTTATGGTTAAAAATAAAAACAATTAATTAAATGATTTTAAATTTTTTTATTAATTACTTTTATCACTCTCAGTCACATCTCCCAATGTGATGACAACTTCTCTATACCCTCTGAATAGAATTTTGAATCTTTATTATTAACAAATTCTGTAACCACATTTTCTAACGACTTTTGATCAATAAAGTTTGTATGTTGTAAAATGCCCAGGTGTCTAAAAAAGGCAATCGGTAGGTGAGAGGTCTGGAGAATAGGGTGAGTGAGGCAGAACCTCATAACCAACAGTTTCAATAATGTCAATTTCTGGTTCAATTTGAGAGCAATACATTGCTGACCTGCTGCTTGATTGTTTCACCAGAATACAAAATGCTGTAGTAAATCAGCCCACCAAAGAGTCATCACAAACTTTTCTGATGAATTCGGGGCTTTGTTTAGTTACACAAACTTCATAATGATTTCTTTGGCGGTCGTTTAATGCATGAGGAACCCAACTTTCGAGCTTTTTCACCTTTTCAATTGCCTTAAGGTGGTCAGCGAACTAAAAGAACTTTGCAAGTTCTTGGACAGTTGTTTTGGGATTTTACTCAACCAAAGCTCTCAGAACATCATCATCTAGGGAAGAAGTCCTTCTTTGTCTCCCTTCAAAAATTTTTCAATTAACTCAGAGCAATGCTCTCACTCACACTGTCATGGCCCCAGACTTCATTAATGTTTCTGGACAAGTTTAAACTCATAACAAGAAATCACACGAAAATCGCACATTGACATCGTAGCAAGGACTGAATTATACTCAAGTAGCAAAATGTTTCTGAGGTAAACAAACATTTTTGTAAAGGAAGAAGATTAAATTGTTAGCATTAGTTCAAAAGACAAATCCATGTTATAAACAGTTTATTATATAGAGGGGTAATTGAAAGAAAACATGAAAACCTACATTATTTTCTGGACAACCCAATAATTATAAGTTGTATTAAGAGCTATGTTGATGACTGTTATTGATGACATTCATACAGTTGCAGTAAATTTTTAAAAATTTTTTAATTGAACAAAAATATGTTGTTTTATTGTTTCAGGTCTAAGGTTTAGATTAGATATACTTTGTCACATTTCACCATATTCAGTGGCAGTAAGCAATGAGACAACAAAAATCAGGAACCAAACTCAAGAATAACTCTTACAAAAACTTTTTTTTTTAATTTAATTAATTTATTTTAATTATTATTTATTTTTTCAGGGTTCCAACAGCGGAGGTCATATCAATCCCCGAGTGCTTGTGTTTTTTTAAAGCTCATTTGTAAGTATGTTGGGTCCAAATGCAGGGTTGCTGGATTCGAACCCGGAACACTTACCGAGCTCCATGTCAAAACCTAAACCTTTGTGGCCACCGATGTCCCTCAACGATTGTTTGATGGAAATTATTTTTAAATAACTGTTAATGCCAGCACTAAAGTGTAAAATATAAAATTCGAAACTTGCCTAAGTACGGTTTAAAAAGGTTAGTATTAGATGAGAAATTGGGGAAAATTTGAGGTAAGTAAACTTCTTTAAAGCGGTCAAAAAGAAACGTGAAACACTTGGACTGTTTGTAAGCTTTATCTTTCCATTCAATTCTCGATACCTGCAACAAAAAAAAAAAAGAAAAATTATGCTGGAATCATATAAATATAATACCAATAAAAATGATCAAAATAATTTCATGATCTAACCTGAGTCACCATAAATTCAAGCAATGCATCCATATAAAATTTGGTAAGATCATCTGGTGAGCGTTCACCGCTTTGTGGCGGATATACTGACTGTATTTCAACGACAGATATCGGTCCTGAAAATTAAATGTGGAATAAATGGAATATCTGACAATTTGCCTAGTTATTTAATGACTTTAAACGAGTAACGAAGTTCAACATAAACGTTGTCCTTGTATAATAGTTACCATGGAAATTATCATGAAAGATAGCGGTTGAATTACTACCAGCATGGTCAAGATGTGACTTATGAAAACCAGGAACAAGACTAGTAAAAAGTGTATTGGCCTCTTCATGGCTATTATCGCCTAAAATTTGGTACCACAAAAGGAAATACCTGAAACATGAAAATATATTTTAATTGCAGACGAAGATGAATCCCATTTCTTAAAAATGTAGACGACACAAAGTTGGTATAGGAAAAAAAAAAAAAAAAACAGCATTTGGTTATTGAAAATCTGATTTTTTGTATGACAGGACAGGGAGTTAAATTTCTGGGTTTTGCCCCATGAGTACAGATTCTCGATTTGTTTCCTGCCCCTTAGGTAACTGAAAAGACGGTGTCTGTTACATCAAGCAGATCTTGAACTTAGAACATCATCGTAGTTGTTTTAACAGAGTAAAACATAATATAATTCTAAATTAGGCTTAAGCGTTAAACTGTAGAAGTTAGGTGCAAGCAAAATTATTTATATATGTCTTTTTAAAAATAAAAGTCAGATGTAAATATTAGCAAACCTTATTGCTTCTCTTCTGAGTTTATGCGAGTTTCCATGGTGCAATAATTTTGCAATTAACCTAGTAAGGCTGTGCGACTGCCATCTCTTTGAAATTAATTCTGGAAGCAACGTCAAAAGTTTATCTAACACAGCTAGTACAGCTTCCAGTTCTTCTCTATGAGCTTTGTGCACTAAAAACAAAAAGAAAAAATTACACAAAATAAATATATAGACAATGCCAGCAATTTTGAACCAGTATATATAATCCACAAATAAATATGGCTATTTACACCCAGATCAGTGGTTGAGGAAAAATTGGACAGCACTCGTTTATTACAAGCAATGCAAACTGCATCAACGAACATATGATTGATAGATTTTTTCCATCAAACTAACCCTTTTTAACTTCAAATTAACCCTTTTTAACTTTAAATAAACCAATTTCAATTAGAAATAAATGCTTTTTAGTATAAAATTTACCCCTTTATAACTTCAAATTAACCAACTGAAATTATAAATTAAAATTTTTTAATGTAAAATTACCCCTTTATAACTTCAAATTCGCCTTTTTTAAATTTTAAATCAATCCTTTTTAACTTTAAATTAACCAACTGAAATTAGAAATAAACATTTTTTAGTGTAAAATTACCCCTTTATAACTTCAAATTAACCTTTTTTAATTTCAAATCAACCCTTTTTAACTTCAAATTAACCATTCTCACCGTTGAACTAAAACAGTACTTTTCAATACTAATATTGTTGTTATTTATATTTTTTTTAGTATTGTATTTTTTTTTTTTAATTGTACATTGTATGTTTACTTGTATCAATCAGTGGCCACCCACCCAAGCAAGGGCAGGTTTTCCGTTCTAAACATGAAAAAAGTCTTTCTCACTCCATATACAATTTCTGACAAAATGTGTTGAGTGAAAACCACAAACCTGAGCACAGCTAGATGTGTGCACTACAATGCTAAACACTTTGAGGTCGAGAAAACAGCGGTCATTTTTAACTCCTGCTGTCATAATGGCCTTATTTCACTACCAGAACCACAAATCAGTTTAGAGTTAAAGGAAGTAATCCTTCATTGTCCCAATTTTATAAACAATATAACATTTGCCTCTTTAAGAAAACAAATTCCTGGAATTTGGGCCTCCTACTGTTTTAAAATACAAAGATAGATTCACCGATTCATATCAGATTTGTTTTCAATCAAATTTGTTGCCACGGTGAAGGTCCATCATTCGGGCAATTTTATTTTATAGACTCCTCCAAAGCTGTGGATGTGTTCAGGGCACCCAGAAAATAAAAAACTAGACTACAGGGTTTTGACAGCCCTTGGAGGTATTTTGGCTAAAAACCCTTATGCTGAAGCATAGAGGACTGCAGATGAAACAATGAAAGACGGAAGTTTCAACTTCAACTTGCATCTTGTTGAAAGTGTACTGATGGATGTATGTAGAGTTACCAAACCTACAGAAGAAGAAATAGCTGGATTCCGGTCTTCAGAAGGAGAACCGCCAGGTCATTGACACATCATTGTGCACTATAGTCAAAGTGGTCCAAAGTTAATATCAGTTTTAAGCAGACATTGTGATCCCATGTTGTACCCACTGATCTCTCCCTGTGGTGAGACAGGAAGGATGGGACTCCAAAATGGCCCATAGTGGCATGAGAAAACAAAATCGTTTTGAACTACTAACAACGTTACAGTTTGTTTCTTATTTGCATTCCCCCCCACACACATTCATAAATCATATCATTCCACGATGCCGACTCTTCTTTAGTTCAAAATAGTTGGGCTCTTAGATCATATAAACATTTATAAAAATTAAATACAAAAAAAAATTTACTAATTATTTTAAATATAAAAAAATTATATTTTTTATGTTTTGAATTAATACAAAATTGATATAAAATTACTACAAAAATTGAAATTAAATATAAAATCATGGTTCTTCTCTAAATTCCCGATTGTTAAAAAATATAGAGTATTTGGTCTCTTAAAAACCATATGAAAATCAATTACAATAAAAATTAAATGATGTAAAATTAAAAATAACAACAAACAATTCTTCTACCATTTTTGAGATTTTTTAAAATATAAAATAATTATTTAATTAAAAAATCTCGAATTAACAGAAGAATCATTTATTTTTACATTTATTTTTATATAACTTTTCATTTCAATTGACTTAATTTTCATGTGGTATTTCAGATAAGAACCTATTTTACATTTTAAACAATTCTACCATCAAAACAAGAATCCTTAATTTTTATGCTTGATTTTATGTAATTTTTAATTTTAATTGTAATTAAGTTTCATGGGGTCTAAGAGCCCATTATATTTTTATATTTTTTAAAGTATTTTTAAAACATTCTCAAATATGCAGGAAATTTACTTACATCAATTACATACAAAAAAGCCTTACAACCTTTGAAATTAAAAAGGGTTAGTTTGAAGTTAACTTGAAATTAAAAAGGTTCTTATTGAATTAAAGAGTATATTTGAAGTAAAAAAGTTTAACTTGAAATTTAAAAGGGTTAATTTGATGGAAAAAAGCTGTAATACATTTTTTTAACCCATAATTTTTTTTACATGGTGTCATATCCATGATTCAATGATACCCATGAAGCAGGGAACATATGCGAGTGTTTTTTTTTTTTTTTTAAATCTATAAAGAAAGTTAACTAATGATATCCAGCCATCGCCACTTTCCAGCTTTATTTATATATTCCGTCAGTTATTTTACTATATATTGATGTAAATATCGATATTGACAGGACACTATCAAACTGTCAGGTAATAATATTCTAACAAGAAGTTCAAACAAAAGAAATGGAAAGATTAAAAAATAAATAAAATGTTTTTCATTAAATTTATATGTGCCAACATATGTAGTACCAAATTATTTAGAATTTTAGTTTTTGTTTCTCACTAAATTAAAAGTAGTAACTGAAAACTCTTAACTTCATAATTAAAATTTTCTATCATTAACAAAAACTTGTATCTTTTTAAGGTAAGGAATTTGTAGATTTCATGACATTTTGTTAAATTTTAATATAAATTGTTGGTTCTCATAGTTGCCTTTTTTTTAATAGTATAATACAATTGCAAATGGTGTTTATGATACAATAAAAAATTCTATCAGGAAAAATATATAGTATACTAGTCTACCTCAAAACATTTTTGGAATGCAATGAATATAATTAATTGAGTGAAATTAATGAAAAATATAATTAGTTGAGTGAAAATCCAATTAAAAGAAAGAAAAAAGCATTAGGAGCTTTTTCCCCCTACAAATGAGCCCAAAGTTAACAATATAACTGTATATTTAAAATGATTAAACTACCTTTTAGCTCAGTTTAGATTAGTTAATAAAAAGAGCATTTAATTTAAACTAAAGTTCTTACAGTCTGCACTCTAATGAATATATTGTTGCTTAAATAGGTCCATGCTCAAAACAACACGGTATTTTTTTTTTAATATTATTATTTATTTATTTTTACATGCAACTATCTAATCAATTCATTACGTTAAAACACCAAGTATCATGCTTTTTACAGATGTCAATTAATGAGAAAATAAAATTTGTAACATATATATTATGATCTGATCATTGCAAAGGCAGACATAAAATGTTTTCACTTAAAAAATGTAAGAAAAATAAGCTTTTTATTTGTCTGTATTATTTTAATAATATAAAATTCCAATTGTCATGCATTTTTTGAAAACATCACTCGATTAGTTAAATAAAACAAAACTGATATCAAAATTCAGGCAAATTGTACATAAACTCTACGTTATGATGAAAACGGCACAAAACATATTTCTTTTTAACAGGCAATACAGAGTTATTTCATTTTCCAAATAGTTTATAGAGGAATTTTTAATCTGGGTAAAAAAAATATTATCTACCAATGGAAAAGGAAACGGAACATGGAAGATGAACACAAACTAATATCTACAAAATTAAAAATAAAATACTTTTCCGTGCTCAAAAGAAATAGGAAACCACAATAAATTGCTTACCCAAGTGAAAAGGCAATTCTGTAAGAAACAAAAAATAATTATTGGCATATTAATACAATTGACCAAGTTATTTTGTAATGCTTTGTTTTTTAATTATTTCAAAATTTAACGATTTACTTAGTATTTTTTTAACCAATTCAAAACCAAAACTTTTACCTTTCTGTCTGAGATTCGTTTCTGCATTTATGAAGCTATCATAAAATATGTAGTAAATGTGGTTGTAATTATTTTCAAATATCGCTTTTGCTTCTTCCACATCAACATGTTCTGAAACAAACGGCAAACTTTATTAAGCTATCTTTATCTCCTGAAAGAAAAAGCACATGTGATAAAATTGAATAACAACTGAATATTTTAGTATGATGAATCTAGTTTCTAACACTATGGAACGGCTCTTATTCCAATTTTGTACAGCGAGTACCATATTAGAATTTTGATAAAATTTTATAATATAAAATATAATGTATTAAAAAGCTACATTTATACTGTATAGAAAATGAATGTTTTTGCCAAATTTATTTTAAAAGGAGAACGTAATTACTAAAAGTAATAAAATACACACAAAAATTTTGACTGAAAAAATTTGATTTGAATATTTTGGAACTTGTCAACATTAGAGATCTAAGAGCAATCAGTTAAACACAGTAGTAAATATTGTATTATAAAAATTTTCTAACTTAAATAAGTCTCCGTTCAACTGACTGATGACTGAATTATTTCCTGACTTTAAATTGTTACTGCTAAACTGACTGATCAGCCTTAATTAATAATTTCTCGTTACATAATTTAATTTAACACTCATCAAGCGTTAAAAATAATATAAAACAATGGACACGTCAATTAAAAAGTATTACACGATTAAATAAAAATGTTTGTTTGTTGTTTTAGTTTTTTCTTAATTTATTTACACATTTTTTTTAAGTTGTCAGGTTTTTTTAAGAGCTCGGTTGTAACAAAAACCTCAACATGAGGGCATTGAGTTTTAGGCTCAATTAACTGCTTTGTTAACAAATTCAGGTAATTGCAAATTTTAAAAATTAAATTTCTCCATAGTGCCAAATGTAATAAAAACAGTATGAAGAAACTGGCAGGAGGTACACAAAATTATTAAGATGCAAAACAAAGAAAAAAATTATTTTAAAAAAAAGTGATTAAAAGTGAAACTGTTAAAACTTCAGAAGAACATGAACATATAGAAACACAAAGAACATGAGATTGCTAAAAACTATATCACTGAACCACAGATAAAGTTCATTACTAAGATAAAAGGAAATTAAACTTATTTGGCGACGACCATAAAAATTTATCAGTCAGCCATGGCTATGCAATGATTCTGGGAACTCATTCTATCATGAATAACTCATATAGGCTGGCTATTAGATGGCTCTATAAATTTCATATATAACATGTCTAAAACTATCTCTGACATCAGAAAAATATTACTTTTAACAAAAGTTAACATTGAAGGAGTCAAAATGGAAATATTGCAGTTCTATTAAGAAAGACCTGGTGCTCAATGATCAATGGTACAAAAATGGTTATAAAGGGGCCAAACAATGATCCCCACATCAGTCCATCACAACCATCTTCCAAGCCGAACTAGCCAAAGAAATACGTCTCAAGAGTGCAACAATAATACTATGAGATAGCCAGGTCTAAAAGTTCTCTAAGCCTCAAAACTTGTCTGAAACTGCGTAAATATCCTAAAAAAATATGCAAATGGCCTATCACTTAAATGGATCCTAGGTCATGAGAAAATTTCAGGGCGATGAGGCAGCAGACGTCTTAGCTAAAAACGGAGCCTCAGAACAATTCATAGGCCCAAATCCATTTTGTCGGACTGGACTCTTGGGCAACAACCAAAGAATACAACTAAAGAAACAAAAAAATAATATTGGGAGGAAAAACTAGACAGAACTGCAAAGTTTAAGTGCTAAGGAGGGAAATCCCTTAAAAATAAAAAGAAATAAATGAAATAAAAACATAACAGATAATTGGATATATCTGCACCCTCGGGATAAACCTGGGTAAGTCCAAAACTTTTTACCATTGTGATTTTAAAGTTTTGACCTTCAGATTTAAAGTTTAGATGTTCAGTACAAATGCAATTTTTTTAGTAACTTCCTTTTATCAAGCTCACATGTCATCAAATTCAATGTAGTCCTTGTAAATAGCTTTTATTAAATTTATTTAACTTTTCGTTACTTATTATACACCAACATCTAGTGTTACAGACTTTAAATTTAGATCATTTGCTGAAATCTAGTCGAAATAAAGAGACAATTTTAACTTTTATAAAAAGCACTCAATGTAGAAAAAGGAAGCCACACCACAAGTGGCCAACATTTGAAAAATATTTGACCCAAGGAACAGAAGAAATTTGACTATTTTCTTACCTAAAATGGAATCAGATATAAGCCGGTCTTTGTTTTATATAAGTTAGAATGAGTAAGTTAGTAATAGTTGTTAATGTAAGGAAATAGTATAGAGAATTTTGTATGTAATTTTTATATGGGGCTGTAAAAATAAACCAATCCAGTAAGAAACGAATGTTTCCCACAAACCTGAAGGGTGCAGAAATGTGTACAAAAAAAAAGTTATTTATTGGGAGAAATTTGTACATCATGGACAGGGCTCATCGGGTTGAGGTTCACCATAAAATCCCATCAGCCAGATGAGCTTTGCAACCTGGAAGGACATTGATAGAGGAACAGGCTGCGTAATAGAAGCTCCCTTGAATTATAGGGTGTTGCGCATACAGCCAGATCATGACCAATCCTTACAGGAAGGGTGGTGAACATCAGGCCCAATGGATTTTGCTTTTCCTTCCCACCACCCTTATTGGTAAACAAATACAAAAGGGATAGATTGGAAAAGCAAAAAACCGTTCAGTCATACACTCAGTAAGCCACTCGGTCAAGACACGATGCCTATTGTCAAGGGTCAAAATGAGTCAAATAGAATCGACTGTCGAAGAAGCCGATGCAAGAAGAGTTTCTGTTTGAGTGTTGAGTTTCTAGCACACAGCAGAAAGAGAACACACTCTGTCAGCAGAACAAGAAATGAGAACAGCCGGTGAGATGAGTCGAAGAATTGACTTTTGAGTGTATAGTCTGATTCAGTCATCCAGAGACTCAGTCAAAAAATTCAGTCTGCCAATGCCAGTAAGGAGACAGCAAGTGAGACAAGTTATATATAAGCAATTGTCGAGTGTGTAAAACTAAGTGGAAACGATGACGGACTTAGTTGATCAGTCGGAGCCAGAAAGGAAATGTTAATGGGTATAAAAAATATTTTTAAAAAAAATGGGGCGACTTTTAAATGAACAGTGAACGATTCCTGTGATCATTGTAGGAAGATTAATTAATCAGACTAAAAATTTGCATACTTTTTTTTGTTTCACCGTGTGAAAAGTGGTATAGAATAAACATTGTGATAATTGTTAATAAAGTTAGCCTGTGGGGAAAAAATCGGTAACGTTCAAGTTGAGAGAAGTTTTCTGGAGTCCTTTGTCGTACGACGATTTTTAAAAGTTGTTGTCTTTGTTTTGGGTCGTTTGGATGCCGTTTGACGTTTCGTCCCGACAAAAATTTCCAGAGGATTAAAAAAAAAATCGCTTACCTAAAATGATTCTAAGATGTTTGAACCGAGTGGCGGTGTCTTTTTTCGGATCTTGCAATTTCTGTGTTGACTTTTTAATATCCGCATGAAGCTTTTTACTGAACATTTTAATCCGAGGGGGCGATGAGTGTTTTGAGGGGTTTGATTTATTTGTTTATCGAGCCGTTTCCTCTGAACAAGTGGACTTTTACGTCCATCTCGGGAGGGACTTTTTTAAGAAGTGGGTTGAGCCGAGACGAGGAGCCGGTGCCGCTCCGTCCTCCCGTTGAATCGCCCTTTATTTACAACCAGCATCGACGCCTTCCCTGGATGTCGAGTGTCAACTCGCAGTTGTTGCTGTGTACAGCCGCCCGTCTCGCGAAACATGTGTTCTCACTTCTGTACACTTTTTCCACGGACGATTGGATCCAGTACAAACCATGCACCAGCGCCAGCGGTGGAATTGACCCGAACCCATCTATCGGTGCTCTGCCTCATCTTGCCCTCTTCTCTGATTAAACAGTGTTACCAAAATGTCACTGCTGATTGTAATTGATATGGGGACAAAACTAGCTGGCACGCTTAAATGTTCCCTGAAAAACTTTTCATATATCGATGCTTATTACTTTTAGTATATCGATACTTTTATCATATAGAAAATGTTTTTTTTTCGGTCATTGCCGGCACCACGCGTATATCTTTCTCACATTTTGAAAAATCTGCACTTTCTACTGATAACTTCATTCTAATTGGCTACTCATCGGACCTTACGGTTTTTGTTGCATTTCTCTTTGTATCCCTCCACAGGTGGTAAATTGAAGTATTTGACCATTTGCATACACACACATTCATAATACACATTTATACTAATAAACCTAGTTTCCTAATATTACAACTAAAGTGGAGGTCGGCAAGATGGTTCTAATCCTACCGACCTCATTCCATTCTCGCGAATAAATACATTCAAACAGTATGTACAAATTCCACTCATCCATAAAACTAATCCTAAGTTTTTTTGACAGGCTTGTAGAGTACTCGATATTCCTCGCAGCCACGTCCATTCACACATAACCTCTCACGTTAATAAATACGATCATACTAGAAAGGACGCAGCATCTCGGTAGTATTACTACAACCAAGATTCTGTCGACCCTTCCCACAATCATACTATAAATGTATTATCACTAACCTAAAGCGGTGGGCCTGTGAGTTACTCAATATTCAGTCACAGCCGCACCCATGCATGCTAAACCACTCACGCTAATAAATACGTTCGTACAATACAATGGGGGGGTGAACCACATGTGGGAGTTAAAATGTTATTATATCAATATTTTTAATATATCGATACTTATATTATGTAGAAATTGTCATTATATCGATACTTTTATTATATAGAAATTGCCAATATATCGTACTTTTATCGTATAAAAATTGGTATTATATTGATACTTTTTTAATATTAATACTTTTATTACATACAAATTATCATTATATTGATACTGTTAATATATCGATACTTTTATTACATTGATACTTTTATTATTTAGAAAATACTCATATTTTTAATACATCGATACTTTTATTATATAGAAATTGTCATCTTTTATTGTATCAAGACTTTTAATGTATCGACAATTTGATTATACGGACATTTTTAATATATTGATACTTTTATTATATAGAAATTGTTATTATATTCATACTTTTAATATGTCGATACTTTTGCAATATATCGATACTTTTATTATATAGAAATTGTCATCTTTTATTGTATCAAGACTTTTAATATATCGACAATTTGATTATACGGACATTTTTAATATATTGATACTTTTATTATATAGGAATTATTATTATATCCACACTTGTAATGTATCAATACTTTTGCAATATATCGATACTTTTGTAATATATCGATAATTTTATTATATAGATATTTTAATATATCGATATTTATATTAAATCGATACTCATTATATATATATATATATATCCTCCTCCGCATGTATTCCTTCTCTTTTCTGTCTTTCTCGCGTATTTTGTATTGAACTGCAGCCATTTGAGTATCTCGATCTGGTTACTGACTCTCTGCTTTTACTTGTATATTACGTCGTTATTTTAAAAAGCTAGCCTCTTGTTAGTACCTCAGGTTGTCAATTTAAGAATAGATACACAACATACAATACATAACATATATATCGCCACAAACATAGAAGTCTGGTCACATTCACTCCCCCAGAGTACTCGATATTCCTCGGGGCGGGGTTGAACCCACTCCATTCGCGCTAATAACTTACTTTTACTCTCCAGACGTCACACACTCACCCCAGAGTACTCGATATTCCTCGGGGCGGGGTAAATAACCCCTTCCTTTCATGCTTAAATTACATTCATTCCAACAGAGTACTCATAATAAATTGATACTTTTATTATATCGATACTTTTTTAATATTTCGATACTTCATTAAATTGATACTTTTATTACATCGATACTTCCATTGTATGGTTATTTTTATTGTATTCATACTAGTATTACATGGACACTTTTATATATAGTGCTCAAAAATGAACAGGGATCCATTACCAATTTTGTAGTATTTAATTTCGCTAGCATTTTTATTTTATTTCTATTATAAATTGCATTAAAATTTATTATAATTATTTTGTTTTTTACTGATGGAAAATTTAATTGAGGAATTTTGAAAGTTAACAAAATAAAAGGTTTTAATTACATAATTTTGTTTATTGGACACAATATTTTTTTAAAATCATTGATACTGTATTGTCTCGAACGCATCTGTCGGAGTTCTGGTTTATCTTGTCCTCTTCTCTGATTAAACCGAGTCACAATAATGCCTTTCGTGATTGAGGCTGATTTGTAGACAAAACTGGCTGACACGGTTTAAATGTTCACTGAACAAATTTTCATACATCGGTACTTTTAATATATCGATACTTTTATCATGCCGAAATTTTTTTGTTTCGATATTTTTATTATTTGATACTTTTAATATATTGTTACTATTATTTTATCAATACTTCTATTATATCGATACTTGTATTATATAGATCCTTTCACATATCGATACTTTTAATATATCGATACAGACAATTTCTATAATATATGTATCGATAAATTTAATGTATCGATATTTTTCGAAAATTGATCCGATATTCTTCTAATATTAATACTGTAATAATTACTAAGATAAAAAAAATGGCGTCAATACTTCATCAGTGTCGATACGCGCTTTTCGAACATGGATACAGACTATTTTTGTAAAGTATCGATAATTTCAATATATGGGTAGTTATGATGTATCGAAAGTTTTGAAAATTAATCCAATATTTTTCTAATATCGATACATCATAATTACAAATACCGAACGAGTGGTGGGTATTATGTCGATGCTTTACCAATATCGATACTTTACGAAAATCAAAGCAGACGGTTGTACATATATCGATAATTTCAATGTACTGATAGTTTTGACATATCGAAATTTTTGAAAATTGATCCCATATTTTTCTAACATCGGTTCAGTAATACTAATATCGAAAGAATGGCGTCGATACTTTTCCAGTATCGATATTGTTAATACGTCGATATTTTTCATACATCGATGTATTAATCATTATTAATATCGAAAGGATAGCGTCCATACTTTTAATGCATCGATATTTTGTAAATATCGCAACAGTAATCGATCAAATTTTAACAGTTATTCAAAGGATGACGATTATTACAATACATTTTATGAATGGCAAGATGAAATATATTAAACATTTTGAGTTGTTCTTTCAAGTTGTTTTCGTAAATGAATTTATAAATTTAAATTTGCGATAGTTAATTAAAATGAAATAAATGTAGGGTCATATTTTAGGGCAAAAGTAGGAAAAGTATGAGGGATAACGCAAACATGTTAATTTTAACTCAGGGTCACAGAGGATAGATAGTAAAAATGGAACGATAATACGTAATTGTGCTTGTAATGTAATTTTTATCTAAAGCAAAGAATTTACAAAAGGACTTTTCTGTACGCGCACATGTCGCAGGATGAAGGATGGTGCCTTGACGATGACCCCGTCTCCACTCATCCTCACGTCCTTTCCCATGGCCAAGAAAAGAAGAATTACTCGACCGCCTCATTACAAACCTTCATTGAACTCTCTCGAAAAACAAGCGGCCGATTGTATTCCTTTCTTCAAAGTTCCCACGTAAGACCGTGCACCTCAACCGTAACTTGTTTATTTCCTATTAAAATTATGAAGGTAGCTTTGAGAATTCACGTAGAAACTCATTTGCGAGCAGTATTTATATTAGAGCCGACTTTATATTTCTATTTATGTCGATTCAACATGAAATTTCTTTGTATTTTTCCAAAAAATATAAACATTTTTTAAGTGATATTCTCGGTCCCCCGCACCCTATGTGCTGTGATAGATGTACAAGATATTCGGCTAAGCTAATGCACTGCTGACCTGCTTCGACCGGGGTGGTCCTCGTCCAAACAATGCCCGGGGCAAAGTGAATCTTAACCCTTTTTAATTTATAAAATAGTAGAGATCACGTAAACATTAATTAACATTAAAATGATAAAAAAATTATAATTATTAAAAAAAAAAAGAGAACGACTTAGAAACTGTAAAACTAATTCAACATAAAAACTGCAGTAAGGAGGACAGAATACATCGGCGAACTCCTGGGACCAATACAGGCCGGCGCGGCGCCTCGTACGGGAGCATTCTAGGTTCCATCCTTTATACAATGTACATATACACTGCTTGAATTGTCTTCTAATCCGAATCCTATCCAAGCAACTTGCAACATACAGGAAGACTTTAAATGTATTGATGAATGTACAAAAACTGAATGGGGGAAAATGTACATCGTGTATATCTTTTTTCCTTGCTTATAGAAAGGGTTAATTTGGCGGAAAAAAGCTGTATATATAGTATATATAAAAGTGCAGCGGACGAAACAGCCTTCATCCTGGCCTGGGTATATGCAAATTTTGTACCTTTGATATATCTCCGCTTCTGCCAGGAAATGGTTAAACCGTTGAATTAATTTCGGTCGGCCGATAGGGCCGTGCATCCTGTCCAGACGCGATGGATGATAGATTGAATTTCCTCAGGTGGGGCGAAGGCTATTTATTTAATTTCCCCTCACTTAATTTGAAATTGATCTTCTAAGATCCCAACTATTTTATATCTAAAAAAGAAATCACAAATATACATGCTGTTTCAATGTTTTAAAAAAGAGTTAATTTAGTATTAAAAAGGGACCGTTTGAAATGAAAAAAGGTGAATTCGAATTTAAAAATGCTTGATTAGAAATTAGAAAGAGTTAATTTGAAATTTAAACGGTTTAATTGTAAGGTAAACAAAGATTAATATAAAATTAAAAAACGTTAATTTTAAAGTAAAAAGTTGATATTAATTTAAAAAGACTTCATTTGTTTGTCAAAAAAGGTTAATAAGAAATTCAAAATGGTTAATTTGAGGGTTGAAAAAAAAGGTTCATTTGAAATTGATCTTGTAACATACCCACCATTTTATATTTAAAAAAGAAATAGCTAATATACATGAAATTTACTTTACACGCGTAAACTATCTTTTAACTTTCTTCTATGTTTTAAATGTCAATGTTAAATTAAAAAAAGGGTAAATTTGAGAATGAAAATAGCTAATTTGAAGCAAAAAGAGGATTAATTTGAAATTGAAATGGGCTACTTTGACCGAAAATTTTTAATACATTTTTTTAACAATGAAAGGTTTTGGCGTTGTATAGTACATGTACTTCAGTTTAAAATCCTGTATTTTAATATTTAATTTTATATAAGTTTTTAAATTTTAATTTGCAAATAATTTTCATGGTTTTAAGAAGCCAAGTTTTTTATATTTTAAAATAATTCTCTAATTTAAAAAAATCTTTATAATTAATTTTATATAATTTTTGAAGTTTACTTGTAATTTTCATGTGTTTTTTAATTATTCTATATTTAAAAAAAAATCAACTACACAGGAATTTGAATACATGCTTAGATGTCATACAATCTCTTATGTTTTTTTAACGCTTTAAAGAAAGGGTTAATTTGAAATTGAAAAAGGTTAATTTGAAGTTAAAAAGGGTAATTTGATAGGAAAAATTTAACTTAAATGGTGTCATTAAAAATAAATTCAACCGTGTTTTTCACTGTCCAATTAACATATTATATTTTTTTACATTTATTGCTCACCTCTTCACCATTGCAGATGTTTACGCTGGATTTTATGGGGTTACTATTTAAAATTTGGTTCTAGTTATTCCTGATTGTAAGAAGAAAAAGTATATGTCATGTTTCAGACACCCTGTATTTGACAATTTGACATTTTCTCATTTAAGCAATAATTTTTGATAATCAAAACGAATCCAAAAAATTTCTTTTTGCACTGTTCTCAGAAGAAAACGCCTTGCGGAACCCTGTGTATTCTGTGATAAAAGGAATTTTAGTTTTGAATAAACTCGAAGGAAAAATCATTACGAGGATTTATTTACTTTGTCCGATAAAAATTTTGACCTTTTTACTCGACAATAAGACACATTTTGCACGATAACGTTACTCATAAATTATCTTTGGAGATGGGTAAACCGGGGGAAAAGAGGTAAAAGTTTTTGCCGACTTGTCCAAGTTTCGGCCGGCTGACATGGGTTATACGCGTTGCCTGATGAGCATCATCAATTTTCTCCTTGACCCTCTGGAAAAAGGCCCACGGTACTGACGGCGCCCCGGCCATTATCTTCTCGGACCACTCCCATCTTTTCCAGGTAAATCGATGACCCTGGAATATCCTCATAAACCCATATTGCAAAAAAATCCAAACAATAAAATACACTCTCGACCGTGACCGGGGCGGAAACAAAACGCGCCCCTTCCATTAAGCGAATTATGCTTTCCCAGCCGGCCAAAAGAGAATATTAGGACCAAAGACGATTGCAGGAGGCAATTAAATACTTCTTATTCAAAGAGATTCGAAGGTTTTTATGTTCTTTCCGACCAGGTGGGTTCCATTGTCATATAATGTTTCTATGAATTAAATTTTCTTATTCCCCAAGCATTGCAGCCTGGCTTATTGAACTTTTCCTTGGTCCTTCGGTCAGTTCGATCCTAAATCCTTATTTTAAGAAGTAGAAATACACTGATTGTCATTGCTGGGGTCCTTTTTCTCGATATCCTAAGTTATGTCTCCATTGAGCTGTCGCATTCGAAGGCAGATTCTTCTCCTCATTGTTCCATGTTGTTTAGATGTTTTCCCATATATTAGCCGGTATATAGCCCTATCGTTCTTTTGATTTTTACTATGTTTAGCTGAAGCAACGTGTATTCACGTATGAGACGAGGGTTCTTTAATAGATTTTCTGTGTCTGTCACCTCTGAGGTTTGTCCACTTCTCCTTTTGCTTTGTGCGGACCCATTATTGACCTTCTCATTCTTGGTTTATAATTGGTCTTTCAGATCCTCTGGCATGTTTGCCTGGTTTTGAGATTTTCAAAAGGGTCGTGTTTTCCCCATATTCTGCTTGTTCTGAGTTTAACCTACGACCAATTTCCACGTGAACGAACCTTTTTTTTTTTTTTAACTTTGTTATTTGTAATCAATTTAACCAAATCATTGTTTCAATCTATTCTGTCTTCGTAGTAGTAATTATTGTATTACTTATCTTTTATTGAATAGTCTATATAATTACTTATCGGCCTTCGATTGTTATAATTTTATTTTTTTAAATGATCAAGGATAAAGTGGATCAAAAAAGTGTTTTGCTGATCGAATTCACCCTATTCCAAATTAAATTGGCTCTTTCTAATACATATGTAATATCTATAGGGTATGAATACATTGTATCTATGTCTACATATATATTATATTTAAAAAAATCAAGTAATGTTAATTAGTAAGACATTTAGTAAAAATTATCGAGTAGAAATTATTTTTATAAAGTTAACGAAAATCGCGTGTTTAGCGACATTTTTGGAAACGGGATATACGGTTATTTTTTTTATAATTTTCATTCGATCATTTGTAATAAATGTCTTCGTAGCTAATTAACATTATTTGATGTTTTCCAAAGATAATGTATATGTAGAAATCCTTGATTTCCAAAAGCGTAAATTTGATTTGCACAAAGTGAACTAAATTTGCAAAAGTGGGAAATTGATTAAGAAAAGGGTGAATTTGTTTTGTACAAAGAAGGAATCGATTTGCTAATTGGTGAATTTGATTTGCAAAAATGTGGAATTGATTTGAAACAAGGTGAAATTATTTGCAAAAGCGTGAATTTGATTTGCATAAGAATGAGCTTAAATTGTAAAAGTGTGGAATTTATTTGCAAAGGGGTGGAATTATTTTCAAAAGTGTGAATTTAAAGTGAAGTAAATTTGCAAAAGGGTGGAATTGACTTAAAAATGGATGCATTTGATTAGCAAAAGTGCAAAATTGATTTGCAAAAGCGTGAATTTGATTAGCAAAAGAATGAGCTTACATTGTAAAAGTGAAGAATTGATTTGCAAATGAATGAACTTAAATTGTGTGTAAATAAAAGGGTGAATTTGATTAGCAAAATAGGGAATTTAAATTGCATAAGGGTGAATTTGATTTGTAAAAGGGTGAATTTGATTAGCAAAATTGTGAGATCGATGTTCAGAAAGGTGAATTTGATTTTCAAAAGAGTGAGTTAAATTTGCAAAAGTGTGAAATTGATTTGCAGAAGGGTGAATTTAATTAGGAAAAGTGTGAAATTGATGTTCAAAAATGTGAATTTGATCTGGAAAAGAGTGAATTTAATTTGCAAAAGGGTGGAATTGATTTGCAAAAGGATGAATTTGTTTATCAAAAATGGGAAATGGTTTTTTGAAAAAGTGGAATTCATTTGCCAAAGTATGAACTTGAACTGTAAAAGAGTAGAATTGATTTGCAAAAACGTGAATTTGATTTTCAAAAGAGTGAGTTAAATTTGCAAAAGTGTGAAATTGATTTGCAAAAGGGTGAATTTGTTTTGCAAAAGGCTGGAATCGAGTTGCAAAAGAATGAATTTAATTTACATAAGGGAGAATTTGATTTGCAAAAGGGTGGAATTATTTACAAAAGTGTGAATTCAATTTGCAGAAGGATGAATTTGATTAACAAAAGTGCAAAATTGATTTGAAAAAGAGTGAATGTAATGCCAAAAAGAAAGAAATTCTTTTGCAAAAGGCTGGAATTACTTAAAAAAAAATGTGAATTCAATTTGCAAAATGATGAATTTGATTAATAAAAGTGCAAAATTGATTTGCAAAAGAGTGATGTAATTTTCGAAAGAGAGAAATTCTTTTGTAAAAGGATGGAATTATTTTAAAAAAATATTAATTCAGTTTGCAAAATGATGAATTTGATTAACAAAAGCAGCATAAATCCTCTGTTGTCGGTAAAAGACTCTTATTGACAACAGCTTGTTTCGAATTAAAATGGGAAGTTCATCACAAACTGTAAAGCAGCATCTCCGCAACCAATCATACACCCTTTAAACAGAAATATCTTAATTACAAAAAAGGTTTTTCATGCAATAGGCCAGTTTCTCAGTTCCGTCGTCGCCCGTTTCGGATTTGCAATCGGGAGAAAATAGAAAAAAAAGATGCTAGATTGAACGTACAGATAGTTTCAATTTTCGTTTTATATTTTTGGAATTAGCTAATTTAAAGGTAACATTTTGGACTGCTTTTTTAAATTAAGAGCTGTTTATTTGACTCTGTATCATCTCTATTACAGGTTGGGTTATTTTTAGACAATTTAAATTTTCCAGAAGGCTTTCAGGACCTAGGGATATTGTCGACTACCCTTATTTTCGTACCGAACGCCTTCGTTGTTTTCGATTATTATGGTCGGCTTATCGTCATCTTCAATGGTGGTTATGTCGACCAAGGAACAACACACTAAAAAAATATGAAAATAGGAGATTAGGAGGAATGTTTATTGCTAAAATGATTTGATAAGTCGTTTTATTTCGTTTCTAAGTCTTACATTTGGGATATAATAGATTTTTTAAATACATGTTACAATGGAACTGTTCAATCTTTCTTAGAAAATAGTCAAAAATTGCTTTTTTATGCAATTACTTAATAACGACAATTCATTTAAACGTGAGAAAAAAATGTATCCTAGACTGATTTTTTTGCCAAAACTAACTAAACATTCTATATCTAACTATAAGCATGCAAACGAACATTAAGCAAAATATGTTTCGATTTATCATAAATCAATATTTCACACATTTATTTGCTACAAATAAGATTCAAAAAATTGGATTTGATTATAAATTTTTATTTTACTGCTCAGTCATTTTCTTAAATAATAAAAGTAAACTGTTGGCTTATTTATTTTTTTTAACAACAAAATACAGTTTACAGATTAGCAGTCTTTTTTAGTACAGGTTTCTCAAGCATGATGTTTCTCGCCCAGGACCAGGGGACGCTCTCTTCGGAAGGAGCGTCTTCGGTTTCCACCTGTTGGGTCCTTGTGAGAGTACGTGCTTTAAAGAGAGACGACGTTTGGGCCTGGGTGGTCGAGTCGAGATCGTTGTCTGTGTTGAATCCAAATGTAGTCTGCTGCTCGTTTACTGTGGTCGATGTGAAAGAAGAAGAGGTCGTCTGGGAAGACTGAGTGGAAGAAGATGAAGTTGAAGAATAGGTGCTGTCCGCTGTTGTTTCGGACGTCGGAGTATCCTCCATCGGCCGTAAAGGTGGAGTGCTCGGTTTTCCTTTAATAGTCCTAAAAAATAACTTTTGTTGGAAATGTTCCCTCAAAAATAGAAAATCAAATGATATTCGTTTTTACGTGATATGTGATACTTATGATGACATCATTATGTTATAATTTAAATATATTAATAGAAATGATTGTTTTTAGGTCACAGTTTATATATGAAACAATTAAATTTAATTTGACTAAATTTTTTAAAATAAGGATGTTAATAAAATTTCGGTAGTGTTAGAAATAACCCTTTTCCCAGTCCGAGCACAATGTAATAAGTTGGTCAAGGCCCTAAATATTTTTAACTGCATTTGCAGATTTATCTTTATGCAGGTGATATGTATTATTTATTGGAAAAAATGTATTTAATAGCGTGAATGGAGAGGAACATCCCTAATTACTCCGAGGTATATCGAGTTCTCTGTGATTGTGTGAACGAAGTTTGGTGAATGAAGATGTTCCCTTCAATCCCACTGATAAATACATTCACAAATTCATTCACACTACCCACAGCGAAGTCGATATTCCTCGGTGTAATTAGCGTTAAGCCTCTCTATTCGCGCTAATAAATACATTCATACATCAAACTTTGTTCACCCTACCCCAGAGTAATCGATATTTCTCGAGATAATTTGAGATGCTCCTCTCATTTCACGCTAATAATAAATAATAATAAATATACAAGTAATCGTTATTCCTCGGGTATTTATTAGAGCGAATTTAGGGAATTATCCTCAATTACCCTGCGGAATATCAAGTATCTGGGGTAGTGCGAACCAAGTCTAGTTTATGAACGTATTAATTAGCGCGAATGAATGGGATCATCCGTAATCATCCTGAGGAATATGAAACAAAAAATATAATGAAAGTATGCATGTATTTATTATGATGGAAAGGAATATCGTCAATCACCCAGAAAAATAACAATTACTCTGGTGTAGTGTGAATGTATTTATTAACGGGAATGGAGGCAATAATCCCAATTAAACCTAGAAATATCGAGTACTCTGGGGTAGTATGAATATTAGTGTGAATGGAGGGAATTATTCCCAATTACACCGAGTAATAACCTGTACTCTGGAGTGATCTGAATATAATTTATTAGCGGGGGCTTATCCCTAATTACATTGAGGAATATCGAGGACTCTGGGGACGTGTATTTGCGTTATTTTATCCATAATTTACGAGACCCTGCGATTCATTGTCAAAACTTGGCTGGAGAAACAGAAAAAGAAGTTAGTGGGATTTAAGAGTCGCTGTATGTCGATCGTTCCTGATGCCATCCCAGCCTGCGTGATCTGGCGTGTTTCGCCATTAAGTGGCTTTAGTGGTGAGTCTTAGCGAGACTAGGCGGACCGGGATGACCGCAACAACCGTTGACCGTTAAAAGCTCACTAATGCTTATATTTTTCATGAGCTCCTCGATATTTTTTTGTAATTCTCACCTGCTTACCCCTGAGCCGAGGAGACAGGAATAGAGCCGTAGTTGTAGTAGTAGCACCTCGTCTGTTCGCAAATGAAATCCTTTATTTTCGTGCAGTCGTCGGTGTCCCATTGCAATTCGGGCGCGGCGAGGGTAACGCAACCGTTCGCCGATCCGCTGTCCTTCCTGAAAAATCGTACAATTCAATTTTTTATTAGTTTTATCGGTATTAAAACCGACTGGAGAAACTTGTCTGGTTATTAATTTTACCTTTGTTCGACGGCGCCCAGCTGCCTCGCTACTGGCATGTCGTCTCCGGGTTTCTTTTTCATATAATCAAACGTAGCGTTGAAAGGCAGACCCGTGCTCAACCAGATAAGCATGTCAGTGCCGAGCCTATTGCCAGACGTCCAAAAATCGTATTTGTTGTATCCTGAAAGCAAAAGTTAAATCTTTATTCGAATGCCCGAAGAAGAAGAAGAAAACATTTGAAGAAAACGTTTCACTCACCGGCATTGTTGAGGTACTGCATGATGGAATCTGATTTCTCCTTAGTTTCAAAAGATGCTAGCTGAAGACCGATCGATCGACAATATTGGTAAGCGAGGAAATAATTCAACTCGGGAGAGTAAGGGTTCATTCTACTTATAAAATATTGCACTCCATCTAATTGTATTGTTGTAATCCTTTGGCCTGGGGAAAAACAGAAACAAAATAATACAAGGAAGATGCCAGGTGAAGAAAATCTGTGACTTTTCTTATGACCGAAGTGTTTTAATTAAAAAACGAATAAAAATAGCAGGTCTAAATAAATAATAAACATGAAATCAATAATAATAAATTATTAATAAACACTATTTCTCGGTTATGTGCATCTTATTTACTTATTTATTGGTGAGCAACAGGAAGCCTTTTTTTTATAATAATAATATATTTATTGTACTGTTTTTATTTATACTCTTTTTTATTATTATTAATAACATTAACAAAATACTACTAAAAAGAGATGCCATGGACATCCAATAAATGAATAAACTATATATTATGTAAGAACATTTTTTGATGAAACATTTGGAAGTCTAGATATCCCTTTTTTTCAAGTTGAGACGTTTCAGAAAAATATAAAATGGTTTCTTACAGAAAATACCACATTAATTAAAATTAAATACAAAGACAAATTCTTCTTCTTTCAATTTGAGAATTAAAAAAGAATACAAAGTTAATTCTTATCTAAAGTACGAAATGAAAATCAATTACAGTGAAGATTAAAAGTTAGATAAAATTAAATATAAAAACAAATGAGAATTTTTTTAAATTAAAAAAAATCATTCACCAATTATTTACTATTTAATTTTAAAAAATAATTTGTTTTTGTATTTAATTTTAATTTTTCAAAGGTTACTTTGAAGTTTAAAAAATTCAATTTGAAATAAAAAAAAGGTTAATTTTTTATTCACAACCTGTCCTCAACAAGGGTTTTGGCTGACGGAAGAAATTTTATATTAATTCAATAAAAAATCAATTATTCATAGCATAAAGAAACGAGAACTAATATATAAATCATAACCAATCGCAGGCAAAAGTAAATGACAAAAGAATTTAAAAAATTAAAACTGAAAAATTAAAAATCCTGTTGACCAGGATCGATGCATGCAAATTTCTTCTAATGTAGCATTTTCCCCTCAAATTAATCTTTTGTAATGTCAAATTAACCCTTTTTTAAAGCATTAATAAACATGGAATGAAATATAAACCTTTTAAAGTTAAATTCCTGTGTATTTGCGATTTTTTTGTTAAATATAAAATAATTAGCCTCTTAAAAGATCACATAAAAATTAATGACGATTAAAATTTAAACTTAATTTAGAATGAAATAATAAAATAAAGGATTATAAACTGGAATATATTATCCTGGCCAAAAATGTTAAAAAATGCATTTTAGTTTTTCCGTCAAATTATATCTTTTTAATTTCAAAATAACCCATTTTTTGCATCAAATTAACTATTTTTCATTTTAAAATTAATTGTTTAACTTCAAAGTAACCTTTTTAAAATCAAAATTAAATATAAAAACTAATGTTTTTTCTAGTAATTCGAGTTTTTTTTAAATATGAAATAATTGGTCTATAAAATAATTTTGTTTGTATTTAAAAAAAAGTCTCGAATTAATAGAATCATTTGTTTTTTATACTTATAATTTTAAGAGCAATTAATGTTTAAGTCGTATTTTAGGAAGAACCAACTTTACATTTTTTTAAAATTCTCAAATCGGTAAAAGAAGAATTTGTTTTTAATTTGTAATTTTAAATTTGTATAAGAAACCATTTTATATTTTTTTAAAGTTAAAAGAAGAAGAATTTATTTTTATACTTAATTTCAAGTGTTTTTTATTGTAATTAATTTTCATTTGGACTTTTAAGATCCCTAAGTACCAATTATTTTATATTAAACAAATTTCAAAAACAGGAATTTTACTTTACACGGTTATATTGTTTTCATACCATCTTAATTAATTTGAAAATCAAAAGGATCAATTTGAAATTTAAAAAATGGTTAATTAACTTTTAACTACCAATACATTTTCGACGGAAGAAAATACAAAAAAAATGAAACTGCAGATTCATCGATTCCAAAGTGGGAAAACAAAGCAGCCAAAACTTTTTCGAAAATTTTTCCTTGCCTTTCGAAAATAAATATCGACATAAAAGCTTCAATTTTTTGCCTATGAAAATTCTATTGTCATTTTTAGCTCTTTGTTGTTTTCTTTACCCATGGGAAAAGAGTTAAGGCTTTGTGCCTTTGGTTAAAAAACATAAGGAAATTTGAGCAATAAGCTGATTTTTAGAAACATTGAAATTTTCTAATTTTTTTAACAATAAATTGACAAAAAAAAATCGACATTCACCCCTTTATTGAGACTGTTGAAACATTTAAAATCTATGAGATTCATTACAATATCGAAAATTTTGAACGGACCAGGAGAAAATCTCCAATTCTGTCAAATATCACGGTTTTTCTTGGTTTGAAAATTGTTATATTAGCTATAAATTAAACAAAAAAATATCTGCCATGAAGCTTATGAGATGCTGTTCGATTTGACAAATATTACAGGCATCGTTTGAAAAACAACAGAATTGAATAAATACAGAATAAAAAAAATAATAATAAAAAAAAGCGACCGATTGGTAAAAAACAAATCAAAAGGGTAGAAGAGTAGAAGAGAAGCTCACCTGCGACAGCGGCGAAGGCGAATCCGAGAGCAAAGACCTGAAGAATCATTATTGTTCTTCAACCGGAGACGAACAAAACAGGACTTGAAACTTAACTGAACTTCAGGTGGGTACCTCTTCCCCTTTTCTGTATTCTAGCCCCACTACTCTCCCACTAGCCGTGGTGCCGGTTGGTGTATGCATTTTAAAGCACACACACAGATACACCTGAGGTCTCGGTCAAAGTGGCTTCTCTCCTCAAAACGCCTTTAAAAATTAGAATCGTCCTCCAGTACTAGAACAAAAAAAAAATCGCATCGCTTTTGATGTTTTTTTCCCCTATAAAGAAGGAGTGAAAAATCACTTTAATCCTCGGAGCAAACCTGGAATCTGGAAGACCAACACGAATCGCCTCCGGGCATCTGTAATCAGGAAGGAAAAGACCGAGGGAGAAGGCAATTCCCTCGAAAATTGTTTCAGTCAAAAGAGTAAGTTTGCACTGGAATTAAAGGCGGTCGACTTAGAACTATATTATAAACAAGTTTACTCCGTTCAGAAGCGTGGTGGATAAGTATCGGCCAAACGACTACTACCAAATGCACTACTCGTTACTAAATATTAAGAATTGAACTTCATTTTGAGGAAGACAGAATTGTTTGACAATGGATAGAGATTGCTTGATGCAAAACTGGCAAATTCATTTTAATCGAAGCAAAATTAAAAGAAGAACAAAACTTATTTATTATGTAATAAAGTAGGTGTATTGAAGAATACTTGTTTTTACGGGGGTTCGCAACAGCAGTGGTCTTATAAACCCTCAGGGTGCCGATGTTTTTGAAAAAAAAAAGCCCATTTGTAATTATGTCGGTTTCGAATGCAGGGCCGCTGGATTCGAACCCGGGACCTTTCCCTTACAGTGATGAGCGCCGTGTCAAAGACTAAACCTTGCGGCCACCGACGACCCTATGAAGAATCCTATTATCGGGTTGTCCGGAAAATAATGCAGGATTTTAAGTTTTCATTAAAAAAAATCTATATAAAATATTCTGTTTACGTTTACAGGATTACTCATTNGAATTCTACTCAGACGGAATTAATAAGTTACCAACACGTTGGGAGAAATGTATTGAGAGTATGGGAAATTATTTTGATTAAAGAACATTGCTTTAAAGAAACTAGTTTCTTTTTTTTTGTTTAATACCAAAATCCTGCATTATTTTCCGGACAACCCAATAGTATGTGCATTGTTATAAGACATTCTGGGAGTCTTCCATTGAAATTATTAATTAAAAAATGGAAATCGTTTGCTTCTTGATTCAATTTGGAGAAAAAAATCATAACTTTTGGCCAGTTTATTTTTCATTTAATAATTCGTAGACGTTTTGAACTATTTACGCCTGAATTGTGATAATATAGCTTTTTTGTCAAATTAACCTTTTTACCTTCATAGATTGTTTAGGTAAATTCAGAAACCTTTGTTCCAGTAGTTTTTTAAAATTATGGATGCCGCCTTTCGCTCACCTAGTGAGTATCATAAGCACTAGAACCATTAAAACATTATTACCTTCAAGTTAGCCCTTTTTATTATCAAATTAATCCATTGATAAAACATCGTAAAAACCTAGGAGATGGTAGAAATGTAAGAACGTAAATTAAAATTTCTGTATTTCAAATAAAAGTTTAAATATGAAACAACTGGGCTCTTAAAAGACAATGTGAAAATTAATGACGATTAAAATAGTAAATTATTTAAATTAAATATAAAAAATGTAAATATAAAGAAAGGTTGACGACGGGGAAAAGGGTTAATTTGTGGTCGGCGGAAAAGGGTTGATTTGATAGAGAAGTTTAATTTGATATTAAAAAAAGGTTACTTTGGCAGGGGAAAGGGTTAATACGTCGGAGAAAACGGTCAATTGAAGTTAAAAAAGGGTTAATTTGTCGCCGGCGGAAAATGGTTGATTTGATGTGGGGATGGTTAATTTGACATTAAAAAATTTAATTTGGCAAAGGGAAAGGGATAATTTATAGTTGTCGGAAAATGGTTGACTTGACGGGGAAAGGTTAATTTGATGTTAAAAAAGGTTAACTTGTGGTCGGTGGAAAAGGTTGGATTTGACAATGGGGGGAAGGTTAATTTGGCAGGGGGAAAGGGATAATTTGTGGTCGTCCGAAAACGGTTGACTTGACGGGGGAAAGTTAATTTGATGTTAAAAATGGTCAATTTGAGGTCGTCGGAAAAGAGACGATTTGACGGGAGAAAGTTAATTTGTGGTCGGCGGAAAAGGGTTGATTTGACAATGGAGGGGGGGGAAGGTTAATTTAATATGAAAAAATTAATTTGGCAGGGGGGAAAGGGTTTATTTGAAGTTAAAAATGGTTAATTTGTGGTCGGCGGAAAAGAGTTGATTTGACGGGGGAAGGTTGCTTTGATGTTAAGTTAACTTGTGGTCGGCGGAAAAGGGTGGATTTGACAGTGGGGGGAAGGTTAATTTTGCAGGGGGAAAGGGTTTATTTTGAAGTTAAAAATGGTTAATTTGTGGTCGACGGAAAAGAGTTGATTTGACGGAGGGGGGAGGTTAATTTCATGTTAAAAAGGGTTAGCTTGTGGTCGGCGGAAAAGAGTGGATTTGACAATGGGGGGAAGGTTAATTTGACATGAAAAAAGTTAATTTGACATTAAAAAAAGTTAATTAGGCAGGGGGGAAAGGGTTAATTTTCAGTCTGCGGATACGGATTGATTTGAAGAGGGGAATATTAATTTTATAATAAAAATAGTTAAGTCAGGCATAATTCAGAAATGGTTGATCCTATCAAAATTTTTCCATACAGTGAAAGAAGCATAAAATAAGCTCTAAACTCGAATTGTGCAATAAAAATATTGGATTCTCATTTAAAATAACAAAGTTAGTGTTCCATTTCCCAGCTAGATCAGAAAGTTATGTTGTCTGTTACCACCACGCGTTCCTAGCCAAAATTAACTGGGGGCTTGTATAAGACCATTTTTTTTGCTTAAGTTTGCCGTTTCCCAATTAAATGGGTGTAATACGGAAATTGATACACCCTGTATATTATGTCACTTTTAAACATTAAATTTCACATTCAGGGTGAATCTGTGAAATAGAAAAATTGATTGGTTATCGAGAGACGTCTCGTTAAACTTTTACGTTGGCCCATTATAATCACCAATTTTCAGTGGGGGATCTAGGATTGTCACAACTGAGTGGCGACTTTATCTATTCACAGTTAATTCCAATTGTGAATAGCATAAATTACTGTGATTCCTCCTCTATCCAGGTATCTTAATTAAGATTAAGCACCCACCTTTTGCTTTAATAATATGTTTGTTTTAAAGTTCTCCCGAGTTGAATAATTTCCATTGTGACATCTGTAAATGTAGATTTAAGGGATGGAATTGTACCAGTTTATGCTTGCGCGCATGTGTACAAAAGGTTCGACGGTTCAACCGGGCAAGTTCATTTATTTAATAACTGACCAAAACGAAGTTGGTGAAACCTTGAAAACGGCACGCATGAAGCACCGTCCGACTACGCGTATCCCGCCTTTCTAAGTATATATATTTGCAAGTGGGGTCCGAACAATTTCAATTATAACATATAACTAGTATTTTTTCTAAAATTCCAGTTTTATGCAAAGCATAAAGTTAAAACGTTTCTCGAATGATATTAGAGCGGCTACATTTTTTATTCTCTTGTCCAATTGTAAATATTTACTTGCTAATTTTTCCAATTTGAGTAGTTTTAATGTTATTTATTAATTTTGAATGTATTTATTTGCGTGAGTGGATAAATATGGATAGAAAAGTTCAAGGGTGGAATACTGAGTACTCTGATACACCAAAGTAGAGTAGGTTAATTAGTTTTTATATATTTGTCGTTTAATATTAGTTACTGGCGTGACTACCCGATTCAGTGAATGTATCTATTAGCATAAGTGTGGATGGACACGATCTAAGGTGGAATATCGAGTATTCAAAAATACCAAGGTAGCCTAGGTTTTTTAGTTTTGTATATTTGCATAGTAATAAGGGGGTAATCACTGACGTAATAGTAAAAAACCCTTTTGACTGCCGAATCGGGTGAATGTATTTATTTAAGTGTGTGGTTAAATGAGGACACGTTCTAAGGTGGAATATCGAGAACTCAGCACACCCAAGGAGTGCAGGTTATTTAGTTTTTTTATATATTTTTCGTTTAATATTAGTCATTGGCCTGATTTCATAAGCTCTGGTGTCTACTCGATTCAGTGAATGTATTTATTAGCTTGAGTGACTAAGTGTGGATGGACACGATCTAAGATGGAATATCAAATACAAAGTAGCCTAGGTTTTCAGTATTGTAAATTTACATAGTGATAAGGGGGTACTTACGTAATAGTAAAAAAAAAAACCTTTTGAGTGTATGAATGAATTGTGTGACTGTGCGAATGTATTTATTTGCGTGTGTGGTTAAATGAGGACACGTTCTAAGGTGGAATATCGAGTACTCAGCACACCCAAGTAGTAAAGGTTATTTAGTTTTTTATATATTTAAAGTGTAAGAGGGAGTAGACACCGGCGTGATATCAAAATCGATGGTGTGAAACTATTGATTAGCGTGAATGGTTAAATGTGTATGGACACGGTCTGAGGTGGAATATGGAAAACTGAAATACATCAAAATAGTCTAACTTATTTAGTTTTTGTATGTTTGTAATGTATAGTGGGGGTAGTCACTAGCGTGATTTTATAAACTCTGGTGACTAGCCATGTAATTGTATTTATTTGCGTGAGTGGTTAAATATGGATGGACACGTTCGGGGTGGAATATTGAGTATTCAAAAATACACTTTAGTCTTGGTTATTTAGTTGAAATAGAGGGGTAGTCACTGGCGTGTTATCAAAACCCTGGTGACTACTCGTGTGAATGTATTTATTTGCGTGATTGGTTGAGTGTGAATACGGCTTGTAATGGAGTATCATCGTGTACTCCACAGACTTGTAGAACCAATTAGGCTAACTAGTATAGGAAATGAGTAATTTTTCCTCATTATGAAGGCATTTATTGACGTGAAAGTTAAAAACGCCTTGGTGGCCACTCAACCAAAGAGCTCTTTTCTGTCCTGTCAA